TACAAGCTGCATCGATCACTGCTGACAAATGTAGAAAACTGCAACAAGGACAACTTCCCCCTCGTATTCTCAGACGTTGAGCTGGTCATTCGTGAAACTCCAGAGAACCTGGACTTTATCGAGCGATTCATCCCAAAGCTTGAATGGAATGCGCTGGTGGACACGGCTAGATCAGTGAGAAAAGCTTACAGAACTGAGCTGACCCGGCAACTAGCTCGGGGACACCAGCTTGCCCGAGGAACAACCGGAAATGTTGTCTGAGGAGTTCCTGAAAGCCTTACATCATGTGCTTATGGAGGTGGGTCGGCTGGCAGCTACTGGGATCTGACTCATGCTCGTGGGAATTAGATGCACGTTGAAGAGGGCAAAATGATATGTCAGGGTTGTGGTCACATCTATCCTATAGCAAATGGCATTCCGAATATGGTGAGTCCCCTGAGGCGGATCTTGCGTCTGACCTTGGTATAGCTTCTGGCAGAACATGAAATCGGGCGATGATCCGCAATCGCAATTTACTGTTGTAACATATGCATCTTGTCATCTCCATCCTCTCCCTCCAGCTCCGCCGCCTCCATATACCTGATCTGGCCCATGGTTTCCATACCTCTGCCCTGGGCCTTGCCCATGACCAGGAGGCGGGCCATGCCCATACGGCCCGGACGCCGGCGGAGGCGGCCTCTGCCCCTGGTCAGGACCCCGATTGTAAACACCAGGCCCGCCTCCTCCTGATCCCGGGTCTTGCCGACCAGGACCTCCGCCTCTTCCACCGTAGCCGCCGGATCCAGGACCATACGCATTTTGAGGCGGTCCATATCTGTTCGAGGCCGGAGGCGGCCCGTATCCTCTAGGTCCACGGGGATCATTGAAAGGTGGCATAGCACCAGAGGAAGGAAGTGGCGCGGCCATAGGATCAGGTACCCAGGATCGTGCAGGTGGACCTTGGGGTGCTGAGCCTGACACGTTTCTCGGCGCACCAAACCCAGGCAGAGAAGAGGGCCCGTCCCCGGGTTTGGCCCCGAAATTTGGAGACGTCGAGCGATCCTCCCGGTGCCCATTGCCCAAACCTGGTAATCCAGGTGGAGCCTTCTCCTCCTCTTTCGCCTCGAAGTTCCACTTTGATTTTGAATTGGCTCGCTCGCCTTCCATCTTTAGACCTAGAGCTTTCTCCTCGCCCACGTGCCATCTGTCTGACTCTTGACCACCTTGGGGCCTTGCACGACACCAGAACCGTGTCGTAAAGTCTTTCGATCCCGAGCAAAGCAGATGTCCTAGAGGATGGAAGGCTAAGCTGAAGACGGAATCCTCGTGTGCAGCTTGCATAGTCGTTATGGGGTCCGCTGGATTTGGAGCTAATAGGGACCAATACATTATGACGCCGGCAGAGTCCCCTGAAACCAGGAGATCGTGGTGGATCGGATGCCACTCGAGGCCTGAAGTCAGCTGTGATGGTCGAAAGTCCACTCACAGTGGATCTCCTTCCCGTGACCCTTCATCACGTCCAGCTCTCTGAACGTCCGGATGTCAAATAATCTGATCAGACCATCTCCGCCTGCAGTAGCGACATAATGGCCGTTCGGACTCCAGTTGCACGAGTTGATGACGGCTTTATGTGAATGTCTGAAGCTCAGCGCAACATCTCCAAGCTCGACTCACAATGTACTCAAGTCTCTCCCAGTACGAGGATCCCAGAATTTGACCAACATATCCTTACTTCCACTGACCACGAGGCCTTTGCTCGGATGCCAAGAGACGCATCTGACATCCCATCCATGTCCTACTCGATGAGCTGGTACCAAACCATTGGCTTACCGTTCAAAGCCCTCTCCTCTTTCGCTTCTCTGTAATTCCAGATCTTGACCAGACCATCATCTCCTCCAGTCACGAACCGCTCATCGTTCGGACTCCAGTCTATCCCATGACAGGCCTCTCGATGGCCTTGGAAGCCATGGATGTTGGTGAGTTGAGGGGTGAAGTATTTGATCCCTCCCAGTTTGTCGACCGATACGAGTGATTGTCCATTATGTGAATACGCTAGCGCCCGTATGGAATCGTCGTGTACTTGCGTGATAGACTCGTAGTTGAAAGAAGATCCATTCCACAGTGTGAATTGGCCTTTGTCATTGCCAGTCAGCAGACGCCGAGCGTCTGGTGTCCACTACGAGCGAGTCAGGTACAGGAAAGATCATTTACTCACCTTGACTACGCGCGTTGGGGACCGCTCCTTGTTGATGGATGTGTGCACAAAATGGTCACAGACAGATGTGGAGGAGTTGAGACGGTGAGCTTCAGGTGATAAAAGCTGTGGGATCAGCGCAGTTCCCGGCGGAGATACTCACCCCAACTATGTCAGAGGGACTGGGATGTATGGGGGGCAGGTAGTTCAGCCCTCTCAATTTGACGGTCTGCACGTCAGTCCTTTGATCCGTCTGATTTTGACTCACCTGGCGCCATTTCAATACCCCTCCAGAATAATCTACTGTCCGTCTAGGCTTGTACCTCTTTGCCCTCGAATCGTTGCTCAGCCTGGAGACTGCAGCTTGATACGCCGCTTGTTCCTGAACCTCTTCATTGTCCGGATGGTTTGGTTCAAGGTAGCGTGAAGGTTTCCAAAGATCTGGGCCACGCGATGGACCAGCAGCGGCCATTGCAACGACGCGAAACCGCCTGGTCGAGGCCAGCACTCAGAGCAGGATGATGTCTGGATATTGAGATTGCAGGCTCGACCGACCCGAGCCAAAATATTTGGATTACCCGCCAAAATGCTGCTGCGCAGGAGATCATTTGCATTTCTACCTTGAACATCCTTCGATTCTTCTCGCAGAAGGGTTACAAACACCTCGGTTGGGCATCGGAGAGGTGGAACCTGATCCGATCCTCATACATCTGGAGACTATGGTGCACTAGCTGGCCAGTCATATAACCCTCTTGTGCGCCTGAAAAAAATTTGTCAACATCTCATGGACACACATTTCGGTCATTACTGATATCCTGGCCGGAACATGGTGTACGATCCTGTGCGCGATAGAGTGGTCCAGTCTCCCCTTGAGGCCTCAGGGTCTGAGCAAGAGTCCTGGAGGAAGTCGGCTACGCCAGTGGATGACCGATATGGACGAGAAACTGAGCCCAGATCCTATCCACCTTCATTCCAACATGAACATTCACCCCCAGGCACGTACCCAGTCTCTCGGTCAACCTCTGGAGGTCTGAGAGGTCTTTTGCATGATGATGATCGAGCTATTCGACCAGGCAGCGGCAACGGACGTGTCTCGTCAGGTACATTCGAGGACCAAGGCTCCTTTGGGCATCATCAATCTCAAGCTGCGGGCTATCATGCAGTACCACCTTCTCAAGGACGCGCTTCCATTCATGGTCTATTGAACTCGACACCCCTTGCTCCCCCCATCTCACATTCCAGCTCTGCATCCTCTCATCGCACGTCTTCGCCCTCAAACAATTCGCCTGCGACAGGCACACGGCATCGACAAGACAATGCTTCAATGGTCCCGGTGACACCGCTATCTGCCAATCCTCGATTTCAGTCTCCGTATGCCTCCGTCAGTCCTGCATCGGCATACATCCCACTTCCACCAGATACTCAGTTCGCGGTCCCAGATCACCTCCCTGGACCCTCGCGTCGCAGTTTAACCATGGACCCCTACGGACATCGAAGCACTCCTCATACCGTCATGTATCGATCTCCTTCGACATCCGAGTCACCTCGAGGCCTGCCCCAACCTCTTCCTTACTCAAGACCAACTTCCTCATCCAGTCAGAGCTTCTCTCATCCTTCTTCATTGCATGGGCAACACGACTCGCCTCATCGCACAGCCCGGATTCTCTCAGAGGATTTCAATCAGCCTCGAGGTCCTGGTCCCAATCGAAGGGAAACGATGCCAGCCATCCCCGTCACTTCATACTCGCCCTCGCGACCGGCCATGAGTGAGCCGCCTCGGTCTCCTTCGCCGCTACGGACCGCGCCATATGATCCGTACCGTTTCGGTGAACCGACGACGGTGTCACTTCAACCTATCACATCTGAAGAAGTCGCTCACTTGCGCCTTCTCGCCGTTGAGAACAATCCACTGAGACGAAAGAAGCGCAAACCTCTACCTTCATGGTCTGGCCCCTCACCGAGCTCACGGGTGCCATCCGAGACCGACATATCATACTTCCCACCTCAAAGCGGAGAGCTACGCCGATCAACATCGAGGCTGTCCATCACTCCTGGGCCCGGATATCCACCTGCTAGTGATGGTGCACCTACTCCTACCGAGCGGAATGGTAAATCTCAGAGCCTGAAACGATCTGCCAGCGACATGGCTCAAGAACACGATACGTCGAGACGGAAAGTTAGTGACAGCCACTATGTGGGAAACGCAGCACAGGTTGCGGATCACTGTGAGTCGCTACAGTCGTACAATGCTGACGAACAGACAATGCCAGACCAGATGTGGGCGTCCAAAATCGGGAACTGTCACCGATCATCGGCCTGAAAAAGTTTAACAACTGGATCAAATCCGTCCTGGTCGGTCTTTTCACCCATCGTCCAAGGGGAGGGCCTGGCGCCAAGGTCCTAGATATTGGCTGCGGAAAAGGCGGAGATCTCCAGAAATGGAAACAGGCGAGAATCCAACTATATGTTGGGATGGGTGAGTCCTTCGGCCGCAGCCCGATCTGAACGACAACAGACATTGCGGCGACATCTATCGACCAAGCTCGGGATCGCTTCAATCGACTCAACAGGCCTGGCTTTGACGCATTCTTCTTCGCCCACGATTGCTATTCGGTGAGTGTTCCGCCAAGTCGACTCCGCTAACATTTCAAGCAATCCATCAAAGATGCTCTGCCTGGTTACCTGGCCAATAAGGACATGTACGACAATGTGTCAATGCAATTCTGCATGCACTATGCCTTCGAGTCGGCTTCAAAGGCGAGAATGATGATTGAGAACGTGTCAAGATATCTCAGACCAGGAGGGAAATTTATTGGCACTGTGCCGGACTCTGAGCTCTTACTGTGAGTGCCACTCACAATGTCATGGCTGAAAGTCCAGGGATCGTCTCAAGGCTATACCCGAGGATGAAGATTTGAGATTCGGAAACGGATGCTATTCTGTTCAATTCGAGGAACGGAGACACAAGGGACTCTATGGCCACGCATATCACTTTTACCTCGAAGATGCGGTAGACGATGTCCCAGAGTACATTGTGGACTGGGAGAATTTCGTTTCGTGAGTCGCAGCCCCTTGAGCATTTCGGTCCTGACCGCCATCGAGTCTGGCGAGCGAGTATCGACTAAAGCTCATATACAAAAAGAGCTTCCACGAGATCCTCCAAGAAGAGAAGGATTCGCGAGATTTTGGGCCTCTTTTGGGCAAAATGGGCGTCATCAACCCCGAAGACGGCTCGAGTCAGATGGATGGTGACCAATGGGAGGCAGCGAGTGAGTTGACCTATCGGACAATGGAGCTGACGAGTCAGACCTGTATATGGCATTTGCATTCGAAAAGTCATAGAAAGTGAGAGAGCTAAGGTGGACGGTAGCATGTCGTATAATGGCGGGAATAAAATCCAGTTGTACACATGAAGAGGAGATGCATCTTGGAACAAAGCGCGATTCCACACATGACGCTGCTACAGTGATGAGACGACTTTTTGTGATACACGCGTATCCCTATGCTAGCTCGGCGTTGACAGATCTCGCCTCTCCCATACCTGAATGACAGTCTCTCCAAGGAAAACCATCTCTTTCCTGACTTCCTCGACTCTAAGGTCCTGCATTTCAAACCACTTTTCGCCGTCCGCGCCCCCTCGTCCTGCTCTCTGATGGATTTTCCACGACGTCATACCTTCTTCGTCTTTCGTCCGAGATGGTTTGCTGACCCCTGGACCTGTTCCAGCTGAAGATGTCGTCGCAACAGTGGAGTCTAGAGTGACGTTTGAAAGCAAGTCATATATGGTGTGCATCGGCGAGGATGGTTTCGGATCGACATCTGGGCTCATCAGTACGGAATATGGCAAGAGAAGAACTCACAATCCACCACATCGACGCCCCGAAGAGGGAAATTGACAATGGTCGGGTTTTTCTCTTCTACAAAGTTGTTCTTTGTGAAGCGCTTGATGTGAAGGATCAGATACGGCGGTAGGGCCGTCAAGTGATGTCGCTTCAATGTCGGTCCAAATTCCTGGGTGGTTTTGCCGTCGAATTTGGCGAGGATAGCGGACAAGGGAACTTGAGGAATGATCTTTTTCTCATTCAGATCGGTGAATAGGGGTGTAGCTGGGAGATCGAGGGCTAAGAATAGGAATGGAGATGAAACGACTTGGATCTCTGCGGAATGATCAGCCACGGTGGGATTGGGTGTCAACTCACCTCGACCAATGTCGAATATTGGCCTCGCATGATCCTTATGGATAATGACCTGTTGCGTCTCGATCTGCACCTTGCCCTGAAATGTAGAGTAGATAACACTTGAATTCCTCTTCTTCGAGCCTCCCAGATCCCTATGCAGAGTGTTCACCAGCCAACCCAGGAACTCGACCGGATCTCCTTGCTCTGTCATCTTGAATTTGCCATTACTTCTTTTGGCGACTTCCTGTAGGAACTCGTGCGGACTAATCTGAGCTTTGAACAATCTGGGATTCCATAAGCGCTTGGCCAAAGTCGCTAACCGCTTGACGAGCTCGGTAGGTCGAGCTTGCTCCTGGAGCTGAGGGGTGTTTGGATCTAGGAGGAATTGCCTAACGGGAGGGATGTGCAGGATGAGTTGCAGGATTACATTGAGATAGTCGTTGGCCTTGACGTTATTCAGACCGATGTAGCCTGGATAGTAGGCTGCCCCGTCTAGAGTATAAGATGGCGGCGGCAGGTTGGAAAGAGCGGGTAGGGCGGCGGATTTGTACTGAGGATTGAGGACACGGAGAATGTCGTTAAGAGATGGGTCGGAGACGGGGTATCCTTCAGGCAAAACGTAAAACTGGATTGTGAGCTCAAGGCGGGGGAGCCAAGCTCACCTTTTCCGTCTCCAAGTTCAGCCATACGCGATGGTTCTGATCCACTGCGTGCCGATAGGCCCAACTGCCTCTGCCTCTCCCTTGGAAATATTTGCCGCATACCAGACAAGCGTAGACGTTGATATTGCTCAAAGATTTCGAACATAATCTTTCAAAGTCAAAGTCTAGGTTGGAACGAGATACCTGGATAGGTCAGCACGACTGGGCGAAGAAACACTTACCGTATCCAGATACAGGTCTCGACGAGAAAGGTCCTCGGGTTCAGGCCTCGACTCTTCTTCCTCATCACTACTATCATCGATAGCTGAGCTTTCGGCTCCCGGTGGTAGCGGCGCAGTCGTCGACGGAGGTGGAGGCTGTTTTGACGAGCCATTGGCGCCATTGGCGTGTAAGCGACCGTTGGAAGACGAAGAAGAGGGTGAAGGAGGCAGAGTGGTGAACGTCTTGTCAGTGTCCAGACGAGCTCTTTTGGCGGCGGGTGGTGAGGTAGGTGGGGAGCGCATAGGCGAAGACTGAAGAGTGGTCATGATCAGTGTTGTATGTCCAGAGGTATGTATCGCAGTCTGCTCCGCCAACCGTCGTTTTGAGACTTGAATGACGAGAGTGCAGGTGTCGCCCGCTATGGGACAATCCGGACAATGGATGAAGTGGCTTTTGTTGGCGGGTAGAACCTTTGTCCGCTGCTGTCCTATGGTTCCATAGAAGTCAAAGCTACTGCTGTAGCTTGTAGGCGCCCGTCAAATCCGTCGCTGCGTCTTATATCCTCTCGCGCTGTCGATGTCTATGCTCTCATACGCCTCAAGCAAGTCACCGTCGTGCTACAGTATCACAAATCCCAGCTGGTGAATGCCAGGAAAATATCCACGTCATAAAATCCCGACGAAACTTTTGTTATTCCGAGCTTGTCTTTGGGTCTTGTTTCTTTCTTATATTCAGGCGATAGGTGAGTTAAAGCTGCCGTCCACCACGAGATAGACGAGATCCACTGACATCGTTCCACAGTCACTTTGCTAGTCTTTTCACCCCGCTGAGAAGACTGAGTCGCTATCCCATAAGCTCTTTTCCCACAAACTTTCACTTGTTGAAACTTTCAAAATGGACTACAAAGAGGACGTTGAAAAGTCTGGGGCCGGTGCCGCCAAGATCCACAAGATCAGAATCACCTTGACTTCTCGAAATGTCAAGCCCCTCGAGAAGTGTGAGTGCGGCGTGTGACTCAACATCCTTGGTCCCTGACATTTTGTCCAGTCTGTACCGATTTGATCAACCGAGCCAAGGACAAGGAACTCCGAGTCAAGGGACCCGTCCGACTCCCTACCAAGCACTTGAAGCACACCACCCGAAAGACGTGAGTTGTGGTGAGAGCTGGTGCAAGAGGATCGGTTCTGACGGTGCTGTAGTCCTTGTGGTGAAGGATCCAAGACTTGGGACCGATACGAGATGAGAATTCACAAGCGACTCATCGACCTCAACTCGTCAGCCGATGTCGTCAAGCAGATCGTGGGTAATCTATGGTCGTTTTGAGGATAGCTGCTGACAATCCGCACAGACCTCTATCGCGCTTGAACCCGGTGTTGAGGTTGAAGTCACCATTGCTGGTGTGAGTGCAAAGACAGTGACCCAAGGATTTGGCTGACCGTGTTGCAGTAAGCACCTCTTGGGACTTTTCTTCGTCTGTAGTCGGCTTCTGTAGTCGGCTTCTGTCATGTTCATGCATGCTGTTGCCGCCCTAATCTGTCTGTTACTGGCATGCTGGGGAGATGTTGATTGCACCGCGCTTCGGACCATTATGTATCAGGTGCACTGTTACCTGCACGGGCGGAAATGTAAAGGTCGGACAGACTGGGATGCAGTTGCCGTCCACAGGTGATTCGCTACTGGACCGGCCCCCACCTGAAGTGCAAAGATGTGCATTCCCCCTTTCGGGACCCAACTTCCCCACTTGTACTGATCACTTGATGTCAACTACAGAACAACCTGTGCAAGTCGAGGCAACACGTGCCAATGAAAGGCATGAGATCGTTCGTCTGGAAGTACAGACGGTCCAATCTATAGCGCGCGGTGGTTGGAGCCAAGTGACTCTTGTAGATGCGAAGTGGGGATCCGGACCGAATGTTGTCGTCCAGAGACTTGTTCGGAAGAGAGCAAGGCAGCCTGTCGCATTCAAGGTAAAAGAGGGCTTTTGGTGCATGCGCTCACCCGTGCCTCTCTAGCACCGAGAGCTAGAGGTTCATCAGGATTTGAAACACCCCAACATTGTCAAAGTCGAAGGATGGTGGTACGAGATGGCCGCCGACCATGAAGCCGAGCACGGCGAGGTGGGGGAGCCCAAGCGAAAACCTGGAATGCTGACGGGCACTATAAGAACGTTCGATACCTGAACCTCCTGCTCAGCCCCTATTGCCCTCAAACTCTCAATGATGTCAAAGGTGAACTGTCTGAACGACTCTTACTCCTGTTCGCACAGCAATTGTTCGGCGCCCTGGAGTATCTGCACGCCCCCGAACGATCTGTTGCTCATCGGGACCTCAAGGCCGAGAACATCCTGATACGAATAACAGCGGAGGCAGAAGGTCAAGGACACCTTCAAATGTATCTCTGTGATTTTGGGTGTGCGAAGAGAATTCTGCCTACTGAGCAGAACGGGGTGGAAGTAGGAGAGCCAAAAACGCGAGCTCGTGAGCTTCGGGCAACTCATACAACGCGCTGACAGACCTGTAGCTGAGATGCTCAGACAGAGTGGCTTTGGCACGTACACGACAGCCGTCGACATATACGCAGCTGGCCTCTTGCTCTTCTATGCACTACTCGGTCGAGATCTCGTGCCAGCTCGACCAAATCAACAAGAGCAATTACTGGAATATGAACGGGTATTCGGACACGCTAAAACAGCGTCAGAGATAATCTCTCTCATCGAAGTAAGAACATGACTTTCTTGCGACATGCTGAGACATGCTGCAGTCCGAATCCGCACGCGACGCCAGGCCAACACCGAGCCAGTCCGTGCTCCAGCTACTGGCAGACGTTTTGACTCCCGACGTGAACGCCAGACCGGAAGCGCAGGAGCTCGTACGCCGGCTGAAAGGGCTTTAATAAACGGTGCGCAGCCATGGCGTCCGCACTTTTCAGTCAACTCAGCGTCGTAGTCCAACCCTGCTGCTGTCACTGATTTCTGATGATACCACCAAGGTCATGGAAGGGCTGTGGTAAGCGAGTCCTGAGATTGTCATGATCCATCAGCCCGGTAAGGAGTAGATATCCATGATGAAAAAGGTTGCCAATAAATGCGCCTTGCAAGACGACCAACGATGCAAGCGTCTGCCAGCAGAGTGGGATTATGCTACATTTTCGACATGTTTTGATGACTGCTGAGATACTCAACCCAATTCCCCATCTCTTGTATGGATATCTACGACACCCCTCACTCCATTCATGAGCTCCATCCCATATCCCAGTAGAGATCCATCTTTTCTCGGTGTGTAAGACTTGATCGACGGATCGTACGAGAGAATGAGCATTCCAGCCGAGACGAGGAAATCGAATATTCTGCCCGACTTGTTCACGTCGATTTTCATCATTTTCCTGTTGGGCTCATCAACACCGGCCTATAGAGTTGCACGTGGCGCGACTGACCTCGCGTCCCGGCGGCGTAGCTGCCCTTTGCGCCGCTCATTCTCTCTGATGTACATCTCTTTGATTGTGAGGTAAGGCTTGGGAAGGACACGAAGTGAGGAGCAGAGCGATTGCTCTTCGGTAGAGAGGAGATCCAACGATGCGGAATTGGCAAGGTTGAGTGGAGTGGCTGAAGAGTATTCAGTAGGTTTGCGGAAAAAAAAAAAAAGACTCACCTGGCTTGCGCGATGCAATCAGAGGGATGCGCGGGGTTGGTTCGCGACTGTCCATATGCTTTTTGGCGTCCACCGGCGGCGGTGTGCCATACGCTGCACCGTGGAGGAAGCGATGTTGGCCGGCGTTGGCACGCGCACCAGTAGGCATGACTTCGGGTCGAGTGGAATTGAGCGGTCGATAACCGGCCTGGATACGAGTCAATGACGGTGAAGGGGGTGTTCCTCACCCTTGCGACTTTGGCAGCGTCATAAGCTTCTGCCTCTGCGCCGGTCGTGATGCCCATCTTTCTGTATTCTTGCAGCTCGGTGATCCTCTTGCGAAGTTGGTGCTCGTCTGAAATGTTTCAGTCGGGAAACATCGTCAGTGCAACCCACAAATTATGCCCTCGATCAGTGTCTCGTAATCCTGAGCTGTCTGCAATTTCGCAAAGACCTTGTATCTCTGCACAAGCTCTCGTTCATCGCGAGCTCGCTTCTTATCCAGCGCTTGCAGCTACGTCATCAGCCTTGCGTCAAACGCTAGATGCCTCACCCTCTTGTGTTCCGTCAAGCCTCGGTCGAAGAGTAACTCCTTGGCCTCTTGACGCTTGTCCAGCTTGTTGAAGTATATATCCAGTAGCGCGAGCTTGATCTCTAATTCGTCCTCATCCTCCTCATCGTCGGCCGGGTCGGCTCGTCCCTTGCCCTTGCCATTGACGTCGGGCTTTGTAGGGGACGGTGAACCGCTCATCCGTGAGCTACTGGCCTCGGGCTGCTCTTCATCCCTCGGTTCCGACTTTACTCTGACAGGCTCTGGTTTGCCATTCTTCGAGACTGGCTTTTGGTCCTTGGCTTCCTTGTCACTTTCCTCATCTTCGTCCTCATCGTCCTCTTCCTCTATCGGCTCGGTGACCTTGGCAGCTGGCTGCTCATCCCCTCCGTACTTGTACACTAGCCTAAACTCGAGATCCTTGATCGCCATTTCTGCTTCATTGTCCACTTCGTGTTCAAATTCGAGACGTCCGGGCATGAAGCCAGACACTTCGTGATTGGTCGGGGCAGAAACCATGGGAGGACCGGCGGGAGGGAGGGCTAGGAAAATCAGCGATGTCGGTTCGGCAGCACTGACTCTGAGGTTTGCGAAGCTCCTCAATACGAGCCTTCTTGCGGTTCTGAAACTCGTCTGGATCGATGTCAAAGTTCTCGTGCATGGACTGAGAGCTCAGCATGCGACAAACTCCTTTGACTCACGGGCATGAACTCCCGTTTGACATATGGCCTATCCGAGTCAGGATCCGACTTTTGTTCCGCCTCGATATAGGTCGAGATATAATGCTTCTCGCATTCCTCCTTGGTCCGCGTTCCAACATGCGAAGCGACTTCGATCCAATTGCCCAGACCATGAATTATCAGACCCGAGATGAGCAGCAGCTCTTCGTCGGCTCCCCAGTCCTCTGTGAAGATCGGCCAAGAGTGTTGCTCCTATGTCTGGTAAGCAATCACTTCACATGGCGCGCTTGATGCACTCACGACGACCTTGTACTCATGCCATGGTTTGTGAGGATTGAACTCTTTGCCTTCACAAAAACAGTTCGGACAGATGTCTACATCTTCGCACCCTTTCGCAGCGCACTTGATTCGCACAGTCTGAGTGACATCGACACCACCTACATGTATGCGTCAACAAGGCAAAGTTTCCGCTTACCGGCAGATATACGTACAGCCATCACATGTCGCCTTGATACCCGGTTCAAGAGCTGATTAAACGTCAACGGCTGGACATGGAAGCGCTACGCACCTTTCCCCGAGCCGTTGGGATCTGATCTGACCCGACGGCTGGTCACGGTCATATCGCTGTGTCAAGTCCTCCTCCACCCAATCTCAGACTCGTGACGAAACGAGTCAAAGTAGGTATATGTCTCTCGGCTAAGACGCGAGACCGAAATATCGGAGGTTGATCATTCGCGTCGTGTAGATACAAGGATCTTGAGAGGAACGATGCAGGACCTTTTCGGGGTCGTGATGAGATCTGAACCTCTTCAAGACGCTCTAGCGATGACTTAAACTTAAAGGGGTCACAGAGCTCGTGTTGACCTCCACGGTCGTAGTGAGGTCAACGAAAACAATGGGTGGCGGGGCTAATTCCAATTCGGAATCAGGGTTGAAAATGAGTCCAAAGTGCTGATGGTCGTGTCCAGACCTTGGCTTCGGTTCCTGAGCGATGTGATCTGATCGCAATGTTGCTTTCGATACCTTCTGGAAGCGTATATCGGCTCGAGGACGACTCTATGCTATGCCTTCGGGCTCGCTCTTGTATGCTTCATCATTTCACCCCAGGGGTCAGGGATTCCAGAGGTATGAAAATTGATTCCGTCAGATAGCTTCGGCGATATCAAGAAACATCCAGATGTGGCACTCGTTCGTAGGCCTCAACCTCCATCTGGTGGAGGTCGGCCCCGCGATCCGCTAGTCACTGTCACTCAGTCTTTTGCATGGACTCATCTCATAGACTATGCCGGTATTCGACACGATCATCATTGGCGCCGGTTGGTCCGGCGCAGTCGCGGCCAAACATCTGAGCTCCAAGGGACGCAGCGTCCTCGTGCTCGAAGCCAGGGATAGAGTGGGAGGTCGTGCGGATACTTGGAAAGACGGCAATGTCAAAGTGGATGTTGGGTGTAGCTGGATCCACGGGTACAAGGAGGGCAACCCTGCTAGGAGCATTGCGGAAGAGCACGGAGTGGTGAGGGTACGAGAGAGGTGTCGATCTGATGTGTCTAGGCTACGCACCTACCGAAGCCCGCAGATGGACTGATCTACGGACCAGACGGTAGGTTTACCCCTTGTCCGTGGACACTCACCCTCTTCAGGCTTGTTGTCTAGCTCACAAGCGAACTCGCTTCGTGCAGCCCTGTCAGCTGCCCAGTCAGCCTTTCAATTACCTTATCCTCCACCTCCTCCGACTGCATCACTAGCATCTGCTCTCTTTGGCTCAGATTCTCCCTTGTTCGCATCTGCAGCAACGGCGGATCCATCTTCAGACTTGAATCAAACGTCGCCAGCTGACCCGACGACCTCGTCTCCGGCTTCGGGCTCCAGCAAGTCGGCAGACAAGGCCAATCTTGTGTCTCTAGCCAGGTCGTTGGAAGTTCCTCTCGGATTGAAGCTTGAGAAAGCTTCTTTACGCTGGACAGGTTGGGAGTCGCTTTCCAACTTTGCTGGATCCGATGCAGCACCTGAGGGTGGCTACGAGGCTTTGGTGAGGAAAGTCATAACGAAAGCCGTGGATCATAAGGCGGAGGTCCTACTTGGGACGGAAGTGACTTCAGTCAAATTGCAAGACGATATGATCACCGTGACTGATCGAACAGGGGAGATCTACCGAGGCAAAACAGTCATCTGCACGATCCCGCTCGGCGTCTTAAAGACTTTGCCTTCCAGCACATTCTCACCTGCTCTTCCCGCGCGAACGCAAGAAGCGATCAAGGGGACACATGTTGGAGTCTTAGAAAAGCTGCTTCTTGTCTATCCAAAAGCTTGGTGGCCCAAGGCGGAGACTGCCGGCTCCTTCACATTCTTACCGACGTCCACCCAAGCAATAAGCGACACGTCGACGCCCAGAGAGATCTTTGACGCCTCGACATTGATCACTGCAAATTTCGCTTGTCCTTCGCTCCCTGATCCTTCCCCAACTCTCCTCACGTACCTCTCAGAGACCCCTGCACTGGCGCTTCTCAAGCACGAACCGGCGGAAGTTGTCGAAGCCTTCCACCACTTCCTCATGTCGCGATTCGGTGTGGAAGATAGTCCGCCTCCTAGTCGGTCGCACTTGACAAACTGGTACACGGATCCTCTTGCAAGAGGCGCCACGACGACCCCATCCATCGTCTCAGAGCACGGCGAACGAAGTCCTATGGATTTCAAAGAGCTGAGTCGACCAGCTTGGGGGGGCAAATTGGGTTTCGCGGGCGAAGCCACGGAGATGGAGCATCGCGGCTCGGTTGCTGGTGCCGTTGTCAGCGGTCAGCGTGAGGCTGAACGGGTCGATAGGTATCTGACGATGAGGAGTGAGGGATGAACTGGATGCATTACAGCTTGTCGATCCTTTTATCTTTGTGAATCTCCTGCATACCCAACAAAAAACTCTAGGAGGTTGAACGACGCTCTATGCTACGCCTCGGGACAGAAGGGTTTGGCGGCAAGCACGTTGTCACGCTTGAACTGGACGACATCGGGCAATGTCTCCGGAGTCCACCGAGAGAAAGGCAAAATCAAATGATCGAATGCAGGAGAAGCCTCGACTCTAGGCGTGAAAGGCTCCCAGTCCCAAAGATAACTGACTGTCCTGAGAATTGAGGACGCAGAATACGCGACGAACTGGTGAGCAGAGTTCATACCTTCCTGTTCGACAATCGGGGCTACCCAAGGCGAAATGAGCCATGTAGGCATTCGACCTCCAAGCCGATCAAAGCCAAAAGTATAGTTCTGTCCGTTTGGAGCGGTGCTTGTGAATGTCAAATCGTCGGGAGGCGTAGCAAGGGGAGGTGAAACGTGATCATGAAAGCCCCCCGTCTCGTCAAATGTCAGAACTGGAAAAGAGTGTTCGTCAGCGGGCCAACGAGTTCTGAATGTCGTTAACCTACTCCAAGCGATCTCGTCCCATTGAGGACTCGCTCGCAGTGCTTCGTAGACTTGCTTGATGAGCTGTTCGCCTTCTGAGACTGGCCCCGTAGGGTGCATCGAATTGGTTCCCTCTCCACAACATGAAGGGTTGATGTAGACGAGATTTGGCAAGGTCCCGTTCGCGGCATCCGCATAAAACTCGTCCATGTAGACGACTTTATCCGTGTTACCGGAGGAATACGTCCACTCGAACCATCTTGCATCCTGGATCGAGTCGTCGACCAAATAATCTTTCCACGTCCGTCCTGACTCAGTGAGAGCCTGGAAGATGGACTTTTGAGGCATGGCGTTGTATGCAAAATTGTTGGCTCCAGCTCCGTTGGACGTCCCGGAGCAAAGAGATACCCGGTTAGGATTCGTTGGCTGTCTTGGTAAGTCGTCTGAGAGCCTCGTAGCCACTCACACCGGGTATATCTGAGAACCACCTGTTGAATACGACAAAGTTCTTACTCAACTCTGCAAGGACAGGGATCTCTTCCTCCGAGTAATAGTGCATGACTTGGGTTCCCAAAACAGTAGCATTGACCTCAGCTCCATAGTGAAAGATTTGTTCATCCGCAAATCCATTCATGGAAGGTGTCAGAGATCCATCTTGAATGGCGCTGTTGTCCGGTATATAGGTACCGTAGAATTCCATGTTGTTACCAATGACCGAGTGATCAGGGTCATCCAAGATGGAGTTGTAGTCTGTCGGACCGGTACATGCTTGACCTTGGCTCGGGTCGGAGATGTTGAGCGGGTTGCAGAACTGACCGTTATTGGTCGGGTTGTCCAAACCCCAGATGTCTAGTCCACCCAATAAGTTGTCAAACGAACGGTTCTCCATCACCATGATGACCACCGTCTTGATCTTGCTCTGGAGATTAGCGATCGAGAGGGGCGAGCCGGACACGACACTAGTAGGGTCCCATCCTTGAGCAAGAGTGGTGGCCGGAGCTGCCAAGATGAAAAAGAGGGGCGCAGGGCGCATGGCGAAAGGAAGGAGTATCGGCGAGGTGCGAGAGGTTCGAGCAAGCGAAGAGGGTGTCTAGCCATCTCTACTTATACACCTCTTGGATCCTCCTGGAAGTCTTGAAAGCTGGATAGACTTCGCACGTTTCCCCACCGTATTTAGTATGATCTGGACGGGTCGCTTGCAGACCCGGTCGTGATGCACCGGCGCTTGGCACCATGTCTATACTTAGTCTGGCTCATGTTTGCGTCCCTCTTACTTAGATTAGCACGAGGTGTCAGATAGAGACCTGTGTCTCGTCAGATACGCCATGTAGTATTTCGAGGGTAGTATTCGGAGACATCCGTTAGCTTCGAATGGATCAATTAGGCATCAATATGTTCTTGAGGTGATGGATGTAGATGTCTTGACCGACTGCCGTTGCCCACCTCTTTGTCAGGAGATTATCTGCCCATGCTTAAAATCCAAGCTAGTGGTATTGTGAATGCGCACGTGGGTGGGGGATGTTGGTGCAATCGACGGTCGTTGTGGAGGACATCGGTGTCATTCGAGCCTGAGTCTGGCATGTGCGAAAGGTAAGGATCTGTTGTCGGTTTTCATCAGTGGTAAGCTCCACCTTCGTTCTCACACGGCGGTATTCTACTGCCCCCGCAGGCGGAAAGGTTGTTCATTCTTGCTGCCAGGTTGGATATCTTTTAGCTCATAGGCAGCTGCAGAGTGATGTTTGTAGATAACCGCGAGAATCCAACATCTGCATGGCTGACTCAGAGTGTCAGCAGTCCCACTGAATAAGGCGAACAAAGTGCAGACTATTGCAGGCAGCGAATATTGGCAGGTATCCTGAGTCTTGCCCTACAAGGTGGCCTTCACTTGTAACAAGACACGGTACGGTAGCTACAGCCATAATTGCAGATCACGCTTAAGGCGGCGAGAGCCGTTTGATAACTCGGAATCAAAAATTTCCGGCAGTCTTTGGTCCACCGGCCGTTCTTTCTGTTCAAGCTTAGAACATCCAGTTAGCAAGATACCATGGCCAAGAGAAGAAAGAACAGAACTCACCTGAAAGGAGCAGCTAAGGGTGAAGAAGAGGTTGGTCCTTCCCCTTGAGCTCTTTGAATCCCCGATACTCGAGCTAATTGTTACAATAGGAGAATGTACCGAAATCTTTCGTGATCAAGGTGAGTGCTCACCCAATGCTGTTGAGCGGGTGCTGATCTAGTCGTAAAGTCTGGCGTCGTCACAAAAAGTATATCAGCCCTCGTGAGGGATGTGAGGAAACTCATGGAGCCCAATACTGCTTCCCGACTACGTGTATGTCCCTTTATACCGAGGGATCTGTCCTGACTTTGGCCCGCTTGCAGGAACGACCCAGTGCACGTCTACGAGATTATCTTACCATTGGTCCGACGCTCAAAGTGACTCATCTGCTGGCTTTCACGTTGACAGATGCGGCAAATGTCCACTTGCGAATGGCCAGACTGCCTCAAGGGCCAACATTGACTTTCCGAGTCCAGCGTTACAGCTTGATGCGGTGAGCGTGGTCCATCAGATCGCCAGGGCAAAGTCTGATACACCTCAGTGACCTTGTTCATTCATCTCTACGGAACATTGGCAAAGCTCCAGGAGGAGAGTATAGGCATCCGCCTTTGGTATGTTGAAACTCAGCGCGAGCAGTCCCCAGGCTGACACTGGACACAGCTCGTTTTGAACGGATTTCAGCAACCGGCAGATGGTCCTGCCATGCCTCAGTTACGACTCATGAGCACCATGTTCCAGGGTCTGTTCCCCGCCATTCAGGTTGAAAAGGTGCGCTGTGCCCTTGAGAGCTTATGCTAAACAGCTCAGTCTGCACTACCGAATTTCCGTCGAGTCCTCCTCTTGTCATATCATCATACCACCCATTTGATCTCCCTCCGCCATTTCACGATCATCGTTAGACCACACGGTGTCTCTAGACGTGTCAGGAAATTAGTCAACGGAAACGCTGCTGCGACATCACGACGACCCGACCTTTCCGCTGCTGACGATATCGCCGACTACTTGTTGAAACGAATCACAAGTTCTGCCTCGGACGGAATGTCAGTAGGGACGGGGGGCTACGATTCAATGAGTGAGACAGAGGCCAGTGAAGGAGAGAGCGATACAAATGCCGTCGAGCTGCCGGAAGACTATGTCGGAAGAGGGAATCGCAAAGGAGAGCGAAAGGCCGTTCGATTGGTCGAGACAGGACCGAGGATGGAGCTGAGGTTGATCAAGGTCGTAGAAGGATTAGTCGGCAGCAAGAGAGGGGAGGGAGAGACTGTCTTCCATGAGTTTGGTGAGTGGACGACGATGACTGATCTTGTTCTGATGATTGACTGACACTTTTGCAGAGCACAAGACCAAAGCAGAAGCCAGCCATCTGGCAAAGGTTCACGCAGAGCAGAGAAAGATCCGTGAAGCCAGACGCGCAGAACAAGCTGCAAACGTAGCGAGGAAAAAGGCCGAGAAGGCCAAAACAAAGGGCAAGGGCGAACCCGTCAGCGAAGAAGAAGAAGAAGAGATGGACGGACATGAACTCGATGTGGAGGGTCTGTCGGGCGATGAAGATCCGGAGGAGGCTTTGCAGAGGCTGCAGAGGCGGTCTAGAGCTGCAGAAGAGGATGATGATGAGTTTGAGTATGAGGATCGGATAGCCGGGGATCGCCAGGACGAAGGAGAAGATGACGACGATGAGGAATGGGATGAGGATGTTGGGGCTGATGATGTCAGTTCAGAAGGGGAGGATCTAGGTGATGAAAGCAGTGAGGAGGAAGATGATGTACCGCATTTGCCGGCCAAGAAGTCAGTGAGACTACGGTGAAGCACATGCATGTATCTTGATGATTTGTCCTCCTCTCACACAAAGGCATTTGTTGGCTATTTAGCGTCGATTCGAAGGACTCGTCCTCAATCTCATGGACTGATGAGGAATGGGAGACCTGTGCCAACTCGCCGCCTATATTGCACGTAATCGTCACCAAAAAACCTGACGAGGTATTTCTCTTCCTCTGAGCCACAATCAGCAAGTGTTTTGCTCGTCTAGACTCTGCCTTCTCACCCCTTATCCGGGAAGAGAAGAACCGTCCAAGGATGAATATGAAGACTAGTGTAGAGATTATGTTACCAAGCAACAGTTGGGTTGCAATGGCCCAGTAGAAGAACCCGCAGTAGGAAGGATGGCGTGAGAGTCTGCGTCCTTGTGAGCTGCATGTCTTTCAAAAAACTCAATAGCTCACGAGTACACGCCATGAGTGATCAGAACATGGTCATCGTGCTTGATGTCTTTGACGACGTGCGAGAATGAAGCGTTGGCATGAATCATCGCTAGTGATCTCAAAGCCTGGCCTCCGACTAACAGAGCGCATACTGGGGATGTTCAAGGGTGAAGTACGAGAGGACTTTGAGCACTCACCAGCGAGGATGACAGGTGCTGAGCAAAATCTCGAGTCGAATTTACCAGGAAAGAAATAGCTCGATAGGAAGTACTCGCCCAGTCCAAAGAGGTGAGCGTAATGGTACTGGTTAGTATTGTTGAGCAAGAATGCTGCATCGAGTGAGCTCGTGGAGTTGACTGATAAAGAAACTCACCATCGACACTCAATTTTAGAGGATTCCAGCCCGCCGTCGTCCAGAATTCGCAGAGGTGGAACAGACCCCAAGCGAAGCCATAGATTCCAAGCTGAGGTCTGGCCCAGTTACCACCAAGACCACTTCCTCCAAGAAGATGCTGAGCTGCGAGTGTGAGCGAGGATAGTGCCACGCCACCGAGCAAAGCAGATATGACCGATACCGCGAGAGGAGTGTTTGGAATGCTTCCTTTCTCACGATAGTGCGGAGCCTTGGGAAGGAGGTCGGAAGCGGAAGCGGGAGTAGGTGTGGCCTGCGACCGAGATTGACCGTTGATATGTGCTCCTGATCCGTTCATCATGTATGATGTGTGAAGAGGATCAGAGGATGTTCCAAAGATATCTCCTCTCTACATTCTTTGATCTGCTCATCGTCCACCCCCCTACAAGTTGAACAATAAGGGAGACAAGGTGCTGCAGAACAAAAGTCAAGAACAATAACTGCCTGAGACGCTCGGAGCCCCACATGGACCCGCAGGTATAAATGCCACGTCAGACTCCTCCCCTCGAACGAAAGCATCTTCTCAACCGCCATCTTTTCGACCCTTGATGACTTATAACCATGACTAGACGTGTTCTTTCAGTCTAGAGACCGCCTGAAAACCATTCTGTCCTCTAGATAAGGTCTGAATCCATCGGCTGACCCTTTTCAAGGGAGATTTTGGCCGCCATGGAGTCTGAGATCTCTGTAAGTCCTTCTTTATCCTCTCGTTCTGTTTACATCGTGACTTGAGCCTGTATCCGGGACTGACCATGCGTTATACCCAGCCGATAGAGATTCGAGCGGCCGTTCATGAGCTGCTAGAAGCCAGAGAGGCTCGAAAAAGGCAAGTCGCCAGGCCAAACCCATGTCACAATATTGACATTTGTGTTAGCCAAGTGGCCTCCTCTCATGATGGGGATCTTCGGCTCCTGCATGGGATGCTCGATCGGCCCAAGGTCCCTGGATCGGACTTTCCAATCATCGATGAGGACGAAGTGGACTTTCGGGCATTAGAAGGAGGTTATGAAGCTTGGAAAGCTCAGTTTGAGCTACATGCGGGGTACGTGTTGATCCCTTCGACGACTCGACGCGATCGACTGATCAGAACGCAGACCTTCGCGTATATCTCGTCTCAAACTGCCGTCACTTCCTCCTCTTTCTCCTCCTCCTACCACGAGCGTCTTTCCTGACGAGGTAGCGGTTGGCGAAATTGTCGAGATACAGCCCCCGCCAGTCGAGCTGGAAGTCAAGGCCGTACCTTCAGAAACCATCGCGATTTCTCCATCCCCAGAACAGCCGACCGTGTCACTAGGTCAGGTGTCAGAACCTCCTAAATATACGCCCGTCATCCAGACGAATATCATTGTGCCAGAATGGATCCCCTTGGGCAACTACAATCCAGCCAAGGACGCTTCGTCCACCCCTTCAAAGGTCTTCATGCCGCTGGAATCTGACTATGTCCATGGTCTACCGAGCCTTCCGCCTTTACCTCAGACGAATAAAAGGAAGCGCAGAGGTAGTAAGACGGAGGAACGTAAGAAAGATCTGGCACTCTTGCAGATAGAGTACAGCCTTACACCGATCAGTGGCAGTTTACCCAGATCGACAAAGTGTGTCCTGACGGGCGATTGGAGAGTTGCAGAGCAGGAATTGAGGCATATTAGAGCCATGGAACGGATAGACGAGAAGAAGCAAGCGGGAAGATGGAGCTTACGGCAGCCTAAGAAGCTCAGGGGTCCAGCGATGCCGAAATCTCATCACGATTTTCTGCTTGAGGAGATGGTGAGTCATCAGTCGGGCCGACGTATAGTGTCGGATCAGTTGAAGACTGACGGGATCAGGAATGGATGCGCATCGATTTCGGCGAGGAAAGACGTTGGAAGATTGTCGTGGCCAGGGAGTTTGCGTATCAATGTGTCGAGTGGCATCTGTCAAAGGACAAGCGCGCTCTGATGGTGGGAGGTCGAGATTGGGGCGAATCAAACAAAGTCCCGATACCTGGTCGGTCGGACCACCCATCAGACGAGAGCGAGGAAGTGAAGATGGACCCCAACAGCCCGGCAGCGGTCTCAGCAGAGGACGGTGAGGATGATGTGGAGATGTTAGTCCAGACAGTGGATGAAGAAGAAGCGAGTCTGGAACCTGAGATGGAGCCAGCCTCCAAGGGTGCAGAAGTTTTGGAGGAAATACTACCTGTCGAAACCAAGGCAGAACCACAGGACAGCGCTATGGAGGTCGAGAAGGATGCGGATGCAGACGGTGAGGAAGACGCAGACGCGGATGGGGAGAAGGAGCCTGATGTGGATGCGGATGGCGAAGTGGATGCAGAAGGCGAGGACGACGCAGATGGTGAAGTAGATGCCGAGGGAGAGGAGGCAGATGCAGATGGCGAAGAGGATGCGCCCGGTGAAACGGAGGATGTCACTGAGGCCGCCGTAGGACTGGATGGTGAGCAAACCAACGACAGACCGGTGTATCTGACGATCAGATATCCCCCCTCTCTCAGCGGCGGAGAGTCCGAAAGGGCAGAACGTCCCCTCGCCTACGCCTTTACGCCAACCTGTCTTGCCCGGAGGTATCGTTTTGCACAAGCGCTTTGCCAATGCTGAGGAGCTGTTGAAATCGAGACGACCCATTTTGGATATGCCCCTCGAGCGGGCCATTGTGGATATTGAAGCGCTCCCGCTTCTTCCCAAAGCGGCGGAGGCCCCAGCCGAGGCTGACGAACTAAATGATCCTCTGTCGTTCGTCGACCTCTTCCCGGATCTCGCAACGTATGCTGGCCCACACCCTCACGAAGAGGAAAAGATCGCTAAACGCCTGGACGAAGGATTGACATCGGCTCATCGAATTGCCCACGTCTCTCGAATCATGGATGTCAACCCTGTTCTCGTATCCGCAATCAAACCCGCTCGAAATGCTTCCTTGGAAGGAACTTGGGATCTACACGACGGCATGTGGTTTGAAGATCCGAAAGGATCTGCCGACGTACCGGAAGATGCCGTTCAGGCCACCTCGAGCGTCTTTACGGGTCGAGCTAGAATGTCTCAGAATCCTAAATACGCCCCCAGTGTACCTATCCCTTCTGCCCAGGGGCTTCGACCTGCTCATGTTTGGACAGACGAAGAAGATCAGGTCCTGCACCATCTAGTTCAGACGTACCCTTACCACTGGCAACTCATCTCCGACATGTTCAATTCGCTAGTCATTGGGATTCCGACTGACAAGCCAAGTGCCTATGAGTGTTGGGACAGGTGGTATTGGAAATGGGGGAGTGGGGCCGGCAAACCTAGACCTGATCCCATTGTGGTTGCGGCTCAAGGTACAGGAACTCCTGGTGGACCCTCTTCCGGGACCGCAGCTCCAACAACCGCTCTCACTTCTGCACCCCCTCCTACAACAGCTGGCGCAGCTATCCCGGGGACATCTACAGCACCTCTGGCAAACGGACCAACGAACACACCTCAACCTATCGCTGTACCTACCCTTCCTTCACAGCAGAATGGTATTTCCTCCGACGCTCCAATGCCTGAATCCGCGCCTCCACCACCTGGCATGTCGAAACGCGAAGCCAAGGCCGTCGGCCGACACAAGTACGAAGGGACTAAGAAGGCCGTGAGACATCAAGCTGTGTACGATGCCATGAGAAAGTTGTCTAGAAAACGTGATGCACTTCGACCTCGAGGCAGTGGTGAGTGTCCAGCGTTTGAGGATCCGGCTCTAGCTAATCAACCCATTCTTCTTTAGTCAAAGATCAGCCTCAGCGAATTATCACAGTACACGAGAGTCACGCCAGTTACCTCATGGCTCAGGTCAGCACGCCGTTCGAGCTGGTCGAAACCAAATTCCAGCGAGATCTTCGTGAGATCAGAGAACGACAACAGCGTTTGGCACAGATGCAAGAGGCTAGAGCTCAAGTTGCAAGGCAGCAACAAGCTGCATTGTTGGCTCAGCAGCAACAACAGCAGCAGCAGCAACAACAACAGCAACAGCAACAGGCAGGCGGACCAGGTCAAGTTCAAGCGCAACAGCCGGTTCAAGCGGGACAACAGCAGATTCAGCCTAATCTCGTTCAGGTCCAGGCTGGGGGTGCGGCCGCTCCCATGCGCCCGCCTTCTGCGCCTATACGTATCGGTCCCAATGGCCAACCTCTGCCGAACATGGCTCCTAGTCAGCAACAAATTCTGACAGCCGTAGCTGCGGCAACGGCTGCACGTCAGCAACAGCAGCAGCAGCAGCAACAACAACAACTACAACAGCAGCAATCTGAAGGATCTGATACCAGTGGCAGTGCCGCTACACCTGTGACTGGACCTCGACCCATGCCTCCACCTGGTCAAGGTCAACCTATCGCGCAGAATCCACAGGTGCAACATCAGATGCAATTGCTCCAGGCTCAACAGCTGGCGGCGAGACAAGCTCAAGCCCAGGCTCAACAAGCTACTCAACAAGCCGGCGTAGCTGTGCCTAATCCTCATCGACGAGCTTCGTCTGGCGGTACACCTCATTCCCAAGGAATGGTTGCTTCGCCCTATTCACACGGTGAAGGTCTACCTAATGGTGACGGGCAGCATGGTTCACCAGCCTTGGGCAACGCGGCCATTGGTCCCCAATCATCTCCATCTCAACAAGCTGCAGCTTTACAAGCTGCTGTTCAAGCTCAAGCGGCATTGGCTCGAGGTCAGGCGGCTCAGCGTCTTCGTGTCCCTAGCTCCGGAAGTCCTCAACTGGCTCAAGGTCAGCCACCTACACCTATCAATCCTGGTGGAGCGCAGGGCGTCAACGTCAATATGAACAATGCATTGATGCAGCAAATCGTGGCGACTCTGCAGGCAAACGGACAACAAGCTACGCCGGACACTATCCGACAGCTTTCCATGTCTATGATGAGAAATGTGAGTGAAGTGGGGCAGTGTCCGGGATCCGGCGATTGAAGATGTTTCGTAGATGGAAGAGAATCGAGCGCAGATGGCGGCAAGTCAACAAATGGGACAGAACATCCAGGGCGTGGTGAGTGGATCTTTCCCCTGTCTCGACATGGAGGTTCTGATGCTCTGCCTCCAGCCCCAATTTGCCCGGTCGCCCGGTGTACAGACTACTGGGTCTCAGCCAAGAGCCAGTCCAAACCCCAGTCAGCAAGGATAGTACGATGCCTCTTGCATATCATAGCAGCTTCTGTAATTATGCAATTCCCAGGCCAAATCAGACAATTATTTTATTCATTGTTCCGCTTTGCCGGACGGACCGTTTGAACGAGGAGATGCCGTTCTGTTCGCTCTTCAAATCTCGTCTTCCTATCCTTGCGTGTCTGAATTGAGTTGTAAAGATGACGACTGACGCTGCTTCGGCCTCGTCGATCCACCTCAAACGGTACAAGCCGTACTTTACGCCTGCCGAAGTAGAGCGATTATCAGCCAAGCAACGGGGCAAGTTGTCTGTATCTCGCGAAGAGAGATCTAGGCAACAAGCATGTGGGTTTATTGACGCTGTAGGCGTCCGATGTGGATTGTAAGTGTGACATCGAGCTGTTCCTTTGTTTGTTTGCCTATCCGACTTGTCCGGCTCACCGCTGTTGCCTCTCCAGTCCTAGACGAACCATTGCAACTGCTCAGACGCTTTACATGCGATTTCACCTGTTCTTCCCTTACAAAGATTTCGCCTATACAGAAGTATCCCTGACTGTCCTGTACGTCTCGTCTAAACTCCACGATACACTCAAGAAACCTCGCGATATCATTTTGGCTTCGTACGCTCTTCGATTCCCTCAGCTCGTGAAGAAGGGTCAGGTGGATATTGGCGCGGTGGACCAAAATGTCCTGGAGGGTGAAAGACAGCGAGTCATGAATATCGAGAGGTTGGTGCTTGAGACCATGTGTTTCAAGTTCGGTGTCCATTTTGGATTGGGATTGGTCGTCAAGCTGAGTAAAACGTTGAGAGGTGAGCAGAAGAATCAAGTTCTGAGCGACACACAAGGAGCCTCAACTGAAGAGTGATTTGATCAGTCCAGAAAGACCTCTCCCAGCGAGGTTGGCGAGTAGCCGTGGATTGGTGAGTGAAGTGAAGAAATCAGTTGAGATAGAACAAGCGCTTAAAAAGGACTCATTCCATAGCCATCGCACACACGCTCCGCTTTCTTTCCCTCCTCATGTCATCGCCATCGCTTCACTGTATACGGCTTGTCTACTTCACATGGGCGATCAGAGCAAGACGTCGTCTGCAGAAATGGACAACCAAGCTAGAGACGTGGCTTCCCTTTTCGGCAACATTGGTTCTTGGGAACAAGCGTATCATACATCCCATGCTCAAGTTGACGGTGAGTAGATTTCGGTCTTCTTCTTTTTCGTCTTCTTCCTCGAGACTGACTTGCGGCGGCGACTGACTCGCTTCTGAACAGACGTGACCCACGCCATCCTCGATCTCTACATCACAATCCTGTCTACTCCTCCCACAGACCCCTCCGTTCTATCCACACCATCTCCCGTTTCACCGAAAGATCAACTTCCATCGTCCAGTCATCACCCGATTTCCTCATTTAACACCGCCTACAGACTGGCCATCTATTGGACAGCTCAAAGACTGACCGAGCTCAAGATTCACCTGAGGGACAAGCGGCCTGGTGTCGCGGTCGTGCCCCTGAACGCTTGGCCACTTGTGGATACGCCCGGTCAACCTGCTGAAGCCGAAGGAATGGGCAGGAATGATGCGACAGTCAGGTTCGTATGGGACCAGGCGGTCTGAGCGAGGATGGTCCGACAAAGAGGTCAGCGTTGATACCATACGGCTGTATGCAAGCAACCGATGCATTCAGGATATCATGATGAATTGGAGTTGGATTATAACGTATTCGAAGAGAAATTATGGCTACAGCGCACCGGTTAAGGCGCACCAACCTTGAGAATGGGTAGGAGAACAAGGCGAGAAGCTCTGATGACGATGATGATCTATCAGAGTGACTATACTTGATGATGGGCGGGAATTTCTAGGATACAGAGAGGGACATCGTCACGAGTTGACGAGATCGACGATCGATTTCCCTTAGTGAGCTGGGGCCTTGTCGTTGAGATCGGCGTTGGCAAGCTTTCGCTCAGGGATGTTGTAGAGGTCCTTGCCCCAAGCTCCGTACTTGCTGACGAGGGCAGCGAGGTATCCAATGTAGATGAGGTCGAGACCGACAAGGGCGAAACCGAGACCGACGGTTCCCTAAATGGGGGTGAGACATGTCAGCAAGCCAGTCCCAAACACGGAGGAAAAAGGGCAGACTGACCCTCAAGACTCCGATACAGTTTCCATAGTTGGAAGCAGAGACAGGGCAGTAGTTGACGTTGTGCTTGAGGGCAATAGCAGCGGCATCGGCACCTGCATGAAGGGGATTGTAAAAGTCAGCTGGAGAGTTTCCTCATCACCTTTGATCGTTGATGATGGGTTGACTTACCGACTCCAAAGAGGGCAAAGAAGAGCATAGCCATGGCAATGTTCTTGGCTTGGTAAGCCACTCCCTTGGCGCTAGTGACAAAGTATCCCAGACAGTAGAGCATGTGCAGGATACTTCTGACGAGAGAAGCGGCAATGGCCGGAGGGTAGGTCTGTGTATATTGGTTCTCGTGGACCTTGACAATGTAGATGACGTCGAGGACCATCTACGAGGGAAGAGCAGCGATTGTCAGTATGAAAGGATTCTGGAGTGTACATTTGGTCACCACTCACGTTGGAATAAGCCACGGCGAGCAAGAGACCCATCATGGGAGATTTGATAGACGCTAAGCTACACCAGTCCGAGTCAGCCTGGGGACAAGGGGGGCCAGCAGTGAGCCGAACGGGACGGCCATTCAACACTCACCCGACCATTGTGAAGATGCTTTCAGAGAGGTGAAGAGAGAGGGGTCTGACTGGAAAGGAAGAGTTTCGAGTGCTAGATTATCAAAAGTGAAGAGGGAAGACAGAGACAGAGAGAGAGAGAGATGGATGAAGAGAGAAGGGGATGGGTCGGTCAGAGTCAGCGTCAGAGTCAGAAGGGAATTCCCCTCCCCAGCTTGAGAAATTTATTATTTTTATTCGTCGTTGTATTGCTGAGAATAGGTCTCACTCATACTATCTCTCTGTCTCTCCTGTCTTCTGCCCTGCTGCTCTGCCGCCCGCCCGCCGTTCGATGACGACAGTGGCAAAATTCTCATTGCGTCGACACAATTCCATCATCACCGATTACTGATTACTAACCAGAAAGAGATCTCTGATTAGGGACATTAGGGCCATGTTCCTAATCTGATAGGTGGCTAAAAATCCCGCACTGTGACCGGCGAGAAAAGAGGATTAGCAAACGATCGATTGGCTAAGAAAAGGTGGCGCGTTTTGCCGAGCGACTCGGCAGCAGATGCAATCAATCTGATCATGATCATCTCAAGATTTGAGGCCGGCAACATATTGGTTCTGTGAGAATAGTTCTACGCAAGCAGATCTCGATTGTCTAGCGGCCGAGAGTTTCGAGCACATCTGATAGGATCACTGACACCATCACTGCAGCAAGCTTCTGTCAAGATTTGTTATTGATGTCAATAGGGCCAAGGCGATTCTGCTTGGCACCCATCTCTGCCCAGCCTACAATTGAGACGAGGCTGAGAAACAGACAGACAGGCTGGATGAGTGAATGAATGGCCAGCGAGAGGCGGCCAATGTGTGACAATGTCTTCAACAGCCTCGATGCAACCGTATGCGGATGCTACACTACCATGGATTCTCCGTGCCGTCCGCCAACTCTTCCTCCTTCTTTGAATATCCCCTTCCTGAGGCGGGAGCGACAAGTCCCACAGGATGAGGTCTAGCAGGAGGAGCAGCACGTAATGGTAGTCCTGAGACTGGTCCGTTATCCAAAGGGGTCGTCAAATGACCTCCACCACCTCCTGACCAAGCGTTGAATCCGAAAATGGAAGACGCAGAAGCTCTCACAGGCGGGGAACTCATGCCCTTGTCGCCGCCCCATGGAGAAGTCTCCCTAGGCATAGGTCGTTCCCAAGAAGGTAGATCATCAAGAGATAGACCACCCGTGACGCTCGCCAAGCTCTTGGTGATTTCATCGTGGTTGTCCAACGGAGTCGACATGTAAGATGAACTTCGGCCGACAAGTGGTGGTGGCGATGGCGTTGCAGAGACATTGGGGGAGTATGGCTGTTGAGCTCTCGATGAAAAGTCTGCTGGGGGAGGGGCAGATCCAGCGCGGTCGATAGGCGGAGTAGGCTGAGGTGGGATCGGCGATCGAGGTTCTTGCCGAGAGGCATCGGGCAATGATTCCACGTTGATGTCTTTGCCGAGCTCTTTCGAAATGGCAGCAAAGTCGAAGCCTGCTGTTTTCGGTATTGACCTGATGGCAGCCGCTTCCTCTGCCTCCATCTTGGCACGTTGTCTCTCGGCATCTCGAGAGCCAGTCTGTGTCTCTGGAACACCGAGATCACCAGTGTCATCCTCTCTTGGAGGCAGATCATCTTCGTCATTGTCCTCCCGTGGTGGAAGATCTTCATCATCTGCTGAATGCGCAACTCGGACTGGCTCTGACAGCCCTCCAGCAGCATGAGGCGTACTCGTGCCAGATAAGGATTGTTGAGCTCCGCCTCGCCGAGGGAATATTCCCAGAATCTTCTTCTTTTTCTTTTGAGTCTCATCCATTTCATTGACAATCGTCCGCTCTTGAATCGTCATGTCAATCTCGGGATCCTGCAAAGACATCAGCGCATTGGCCTTGCCTTGAATCAACTCACATCAGGCTCATCAAAGTGATCTGCCGTGACGGGGAATCCCACCCGAGCCAACAGCTGAGGCATACACGATCGATAACTCATGTGACCGAAAATGATATCCGTCACATCGACGTTCTCCATCCCGGGAGTCACTTCGACCGGTCGTAAACCGGCGACTGTATTCAGACCTCCAGATGTTGCTCTGAACAGGTATCCCAGCATCCAATCGTTGGTCGCGTATCCATTGACGAATCTCCCCGCGACGACCGACCGGACATCCAGCCAAGTCTGTCGAGATGCAGTCAATGTCGCGCCAAAGATGAAGACATCTTGCACCAGCCCAAAAGCCTTGGCTCGAGCGAGCTCCACCAGGGCGTAAAAGATGACTCGAGCGCCCAGTGAGAATCCGATGAGATTGATAGGTCTCACACCGGCATGACGATTAATGATGACATCGGCCAAAATCAGGCCCGCAGCTCGAGCACGATCCAATGCGTTCGACCAAGGATTGTCGATGAGGTAACCGAGTTTGGTGAGGACTGCCTGTCAGACCAAAGCTCATCCCAAAAAGTCACTCACTCATCGGCCACTGCAACGCCGACATTAGACCGTACATGACAGTCGCCTGCAAGACTTGTTGACCGACTTGGGTCAAGATCTCTGATGTCAGGATCTTGAGAGCATTACCCATTTCGTTCATCATCTCCGGTTCCCAAAGTACCGACAACACATCGCCAGTGACGGGATCAAGAACGGAAAAAGGTAATCGTACATCGTCGACTTTGCTAGCCATGAACCTACATGTCATCAGGCTCAGCTCAACCCCTGTCGACTCACCCTCCGACCGTGATGATACAGCTGACACGGCGATTGTTGTGCAACGGTCTGAGCTCGAATGTCCTGACTTCTCTCGTGCGCCTGGCCATGCCTCTTCCAGCGATATTCGCACCAGTGACGATACCTCCCGTTGTGATCATCGCTGCACCTCCTGCTCCGGCCAAGAATCCCGTCGTGCCGGTGATACCGACAGTCGCAAAAGCAGCTCCAAGCCCAGCGCCAATGACAGGGGCAAGCAACCCGGCACTCAATCCGATGATCAGTCCACCGCCTATAGCACAGCATCAGGTATGTCGAGCTGCCGGGAATGTAGAGGACTCACCGACTGCGGCGGCCCCCATCATAGCGTATCGTTTCCGTAAAGCACCCTTCCGTCTACCTTCGATAATGTCACCCTGTTCTGTCTTTTCCAGATTCTCCTCGATCTCCAAAGCATCCGTTACCCGATTCTCAAAGCGCACCACGTCGAGCCACTCAAAGCCGAGAGCTTCGGCAACGCGTTGTAAGAACACTCGTGAACGGGCGTCAAAGACCGAGTCGGCGATCAAGACCAGGAACAGGTCGCATAGCTGATGTGCAATCAGTAAAATGGGCCTCATGACCGCGCGCCGCGGTACTTACCACTGTCCAACGGATATCCAACGTGACATGTTCATCGGCATTCGTCAATGATGTCGAGACGCCAGGCAATGAAGGCAGTCCCGAGGGTTTGGAGAGATCTGTGGGATCCGTCTCGACGTCATTTGCGTCGTCGGCCTCGAGCGGAGATATTGTGTGTTCTTTGGAACTCTTCTCGGCGGAAGACGAAAGGTGTTGGGTGGGGGGTGGCGAATTTTGCGATTTGGATGGAGTCTCCAAGTGCATTGGGGACGCTGGTGGCGGTTGCGCGCTTCGAGGCGAGCCGAGATTCCCAAGATCCCCACCATCATCATCTTCATTGTAGGACGGGAGTTTGAGCATTGTCGGTCGTCTGCTGGAGGAGGAAGCGACGGGAGGAGAATCGAGTGAGAAAGGATCTGATGTGGAGCGAGTGCGTTCAGGCATCACATGGCCTATATCGTCATCGCTGTCGTCTCCGAACGGCTTGAGAGAGTTTTGCCTTGGCATCGTAGGCCGTGGCGATGGTGAAGGAGCTGGTACTGGATGGGACTCGACAGGAGCTTCGTATGGCGGTGGCGGAGGTTGATCCCGTTCCTCCTCTTCCCTCTTGAATTCTTCAGCCTTTTCATCCTCTTCAGCTTGTTTCTTAGCTAGCGGGTCGAATTCGGGATTCTTGACGGTGTGGGTCGTGGTCAAAGCCGGGACGAGATCCTGAGAATCGACACCGTGTTCAAGCAGGGATTCAATCATGCGTTGTTCTGCAATCTGATCAGCGTCCGAACACCGCGTGAGGAGATGTGCCTACCCGCCGGGTCCAACTCCATGTGCTGGAACAACCTCGCCATGATCTTTATCAACCACAGATTGGCGCTTTCCACGACGGGTACATCTCCCTTTCCCTTCCCTTTCGTTGTTGTTCCTCCGCTCGTCCATCGACTTGCCGCTTTAGCATGTTGTCCCTCCCATCCTCTGCCTGCATCCTTCACCATCCGTTTAGCCACTAGAAAGCATAGTCCAACGTAGGCTATCCTCTGACCTTCCGTCAAGAGCTCCTTCGTAGCTTGCATCTGACTCAACGGTGTCATGGCTTTATCCTCGTCAAATAGGAATCTGGTACGCATATGGACTTGTTCAGATTCTTCATCTTCGTCCAGGCGAATTCTAGTGTAGTCTGACTCGTCGAGCGCAGCTTTCTGTCTCCAGGAATCCGTCAAGAGGGTGTCGGCATCGAGCTCGAGGTGGGTTCCAGTCGCGTTGGAAGGACCTGCCGCTGAAGTCTCATCACCTAGTCCTAAGAGTTGAGGAGGAGGTCGATACGGAGCTGCTCGAGGATCATCCGTGTCCCCTTCATGTCCTGTCACTAGATCCTCGGACCGTACCACGGGCATATCTGCGTCATGTTAGTGAGGGACACAAGGAAACTGCCCGACTTGCCCTGCCAGCCGTCGTCATCATCATCATCATCGTCGACGGGTTCCACTATCCTGGGAAAGGATCCAGATCCAGGCTGATTGGCACGTCTAGGGGACGGTAGCATGATCGCGAGAAATGACCAAGAGGTAAATTCCACTCGGTCATGCGATCAGATGGGCTAACTCAGACATGAGCAGTGCGGCCGTCGTCCCGGTGTGTGAGGGATCGGCTGGCGTGTGGCAAAGATGCGATGAGTGGATCGTCAGAAGGACCGAGAAGCTTTTGTGTTGTCTGTCTGCTGCCGAGGACGTTTGTAGTCTGTGTTCACGGTCGAAGATCTCTCACGTCGGCGGGTTTGAAATAAAGGGAAAGCTCAGGCGGATTTCTGAGTGGCACATATCAGTTAGGCCAAGAGCCAGCCAGGGCTCACTCCATCGAGTCTGAGATCCGGATCTTATGGAATGAAGTTCTGCTTTGTTGCATGCATCATTCTGTGGAAGCGGGCGACATCCTGTGTTGACTAGTCCTTCATTGAGCTGAGCCCAGCTCAGCTCAGCCTTGTCAATGGCCGGCGACTGAATGTTGGCTCAGATTTCGAATTCGTTGATTGCCTGAAGATTGCTTTTGACTCATGTACTGGTATCTATCCTTCCTTCGTCCTCCGCCAAAGAGCGTCTCAGTCACAGAAGACTGCATTCAGATAACTCCTCAGATCGCAAATGATCTGCGAACAGAGTGAGTTTACCCTGCTGGAGCGCCTCCAGAGCGTGACGCTGATATCCACAGACTTCGATATGTGCCTACCGACATAGGATATGTCTGGCAAAGGGTCCAACCGGCATCAAGTCAAGATGATGCTCTCGAGCACTTGACGACCTGGACGCCTCCTCAAAGCACCTATAAGACCCTTTCGGTTCCACTCCCCACCGACGTCAAGCCTGGACAATCATGGCGTTTGGGTTTAGAGACCATGAATCCAGATGGACCGAATGTCCCTTCATTGGCGTCTTTCGCCTGCCCAAATCCCCCCATCGTGCCTGTGTGGAGTGCTCCCATACAGTTCATTCAAGGCGCTGCTCCGGCCGTCAAACAGGATCGCATACAGCGAGAGTGGATGATCGCAGAAGACACTCTCAGAGTAATTGAACAGACTTCATTCGATTTGGACAAGGTACGCTTGACACCTGTGGAGCGATGACTGAACGCAGAAAATCTGGGACTCTGGTCTCGCACTATCCGCATGGCTTTGGTATCACCTCATCGACCATGCTGACAGACTTCCCAACGATGATGGCGAAAAACTCCTTTCTCGTCTGAGAGATCCAGAGGATCGGACAATCCTCGAGCTAGGTAAAGCTCGCGTGCTTCTAAACTGACACGCAGGCGGAGGTACCGGCTTGGTCTCACACGTACTCAGACAAGCTTTTGACAAGCTCGGCTGTCCGATCGTGACCACTGATCTGGGTATGTTTGTCCGGGGTGCCGCGCTGACTTGCAGACACTGCCATACCTCTGATGGAGGAGAACATCGCCTTGAACAGGACGCGTGGACAGGGACCGATAAAGGCGCAGATACTGAACTGGGATGAACCTCTCCCTTCGTTGCAGGATCCCTGGCCAAGCATTATCATGTGAGCCGCGTCACTTTACCATGCTGAAATCGGTCGCAGCGCCGCCGATGTGACGTATAATACCGCCTCGTTCCCGTCGTTGTTGAGGACCCTTTGCAGCCTGATGAAACCGACTTCCGCCGTCGAAGCGCCGATGCTCCTGCTGGCGTACAAGGAGCGAGATCCAGGAGAGCGAGAGCTGTGGGAAATGTTGCGCAAGGAGGGCATACGAATGACCAATGTGGACGTCATTCAAGGTGCCGAGGAGGAGGGCGTTGTAGAGCTATGGGTGGGGTCAGTCGAATCACCATGAATCCCGTCCAAATATGTAGAGATAGTTTCATCGAGAGCCTCACGGGGTACGCCGGATCGTAAAAATGCGCTGGGGAATGCATTTCAGCTATAGCACATTCTTACTTCACGTCCATGGGTCTAGTGGAGTATGAGTCTGACGAGTCGGAGGATGAGAAACCCCCTGAGAATACGGTTCTGCCAGTGAAGACAAGCAAACGGTGAGATTCGGTCCAGGGGACGAGACTGATTTTCAAGGAAAGCGCTCCCAGGTCTCCCGGAGAGCTACATATCCAGTCCGTCTCCTCTCCCATGCCTGACTTTGCTAATCTCCCAGGGGATCCGCGCGATGATCCTTCTCTGCATCAAGGCCGGAAACGGACCCGTCCATTCGTTGACGGCGACCACGACGCTCACGTCTACATCAGCTGTAGGGTTGAACCTTGAGCCTGTGACGCACTGACGGCAGTGAGCGTCTCAAATCGTCTCAGGCAGGCACTTGAGAATATCATTGCTCGAGCTCGTGTACTGTGCCCAAACATCACCCTCGTATCTCTCCTGGAATCTCAGTACCTGCATATCTCCCTGACTCACCCGCTCCCCCTGAGACGGTCTCAAATCGAGCCAGTTGCAAGCTCTGTCACCCGCTTATTGCGCGCATCGGCATCGCGACCGTTTCGACTGGCCTTTGCTGGCGACCTAAAGGTCTACTACAACGGTCGTCAGACTGGAGGACAAGGGACAGGCGGAAGAGCCTTCTTGGCCTTTCAAATCGGTGCTGGGCATCCCGAGGTTAGTTGATCCCTGCGTATTCACTCTGAGCTATAGATCAACGACCTGCTCGAACGAGTGATACACCCCGTACTTGATACATTGCACCTGCCAAGGTACCATACCAATCCCGAGTTTCACGCGTCCTTTGCCTGGTGTCTGGACACTGAAACGCCAATATCCCAGGCTGTTGTTCGGCAGCTCAACGACGAGCTCAAGGACGCCTTCCTGTTGTCTCAGCCGACCGACGGATGGCTCATTCACGAGCTCATGTACAAAGCCGGCAACACCCTCCGTAGTATTGCCTTACATCACCTGAAATGAGCCGCATTATTGGAGCTTCTGATGACGGGGATCGGGACGTCTATGAACCATCTGAGAACCTGCTTCTCCCACTCCATCTCCGGCCGATCCATCCGTCTCAACCTCAATGCCTCTTCGCTGAACTGCTCCCGCACTTGCTTTGGATCCGTGCCCGCTGCCAACAGCTCCTCCTTTTCCCTTGCCTCATCTGCCAACATGACTTTACGCTGAGCCAGTGCGTCCTCCCAGACTGACCACGGTATACAAGCTGTTGTAGGCCGTCCTTTGGCAAACGATTCAGGTTGCTCTTGATTCACCATGGCCTCTTCGCTCGTCTCTGCTATATCCTTCTCATCCAAGACAAATTGACCCTGTCTGGTCCTCCTGAGCAGGACCACATGGGCTCCACAGCCAAGCAGCAGACCCATATCATGGACAATACTCCGGACATAGGTCCCTCCAGAAACTGTCATCCGCACACGGAACGTTGCGGGTCGTAAACCAGTCTTTCCAGATGTCTCTGGGAACTCGGCACCTATATCAGGCATCGGCGGCTCAGATGTCGAGGACGCGTGGACCAGTTCTGTCAGACGACGAAACACCCTCTTGTCCTCTTCCGTCAGTTGTTTCTCCGGCCAGCGATAGTCGTGCCCTCCATCTCCAGGAGACTTCGAGGCGGGTGTAAACTCGAGGAGCTTGATAGAGACCTGACATTGCCTTGTAGGGATCGCACGGGGAAGGGGTGTGTTCGATCGTGCGTATTCGTACAAGGGCTTGCCCTCCATCTTGAGAGCTGAGAAGCTGTGGCAATCAGACTATGTATAAAAGCGTGAACCCACATCGGAGGCGTCTGGGTGATGGTTCCGTTGAAAGTCTCGAGGGCTTTCTCCACGTCTGTTCTCGTAATAGAGTCGAAATCACCTGTTGACAACACCTCGCCTTCAGAATCCATTGTAGTCGTTGCAGCGCCGAGCAGCCCAATCGCCTCGTATTCTTTAGGTCCCTCCAAGAGTTCCTGCAAATGCTTGGTACCTCGATTGATGCCCACGACTCATTCGTCAGCATCGCCCCTAGACTTGCTATCTCACCTAATACTCCATCTGCCAGTGGATCCAACGTCCCTCCTTGACCAATCTTCAGCCCCTTGTCCGTCGTGTTCCGTTTCCTTTTGCCCTTTGAATTGTGAAACTTCATTCGTTCGGGATCATAGAACAACTTGGAGTCGATGAGCAGAGGGCTGATCCGCTCTAGGACTTGCATCCTAAGTGTCAGCTGCGCAGCAACAAAAGCCCTACGAGCTGGGTCCAGAGGGCTTCTCAATGGGGAACAGCCCATTAAGCGGCAGCCTTGGAGATTTAGGCATGGTAGGGGTTTGACGATCCTCAGAGTCGCTGCTCGGTGATCGTGTCCAGAGGGGCGGTCTTTGAGTCCACGAGCGATCAATACGTGCGGATCCAAACGTGCGAATCGTCTGAAGGATGAGTGGTCCACTGTCTCGCCTCGCCCCTGTGAGCATCAGAGAAAATGGTCAAGACAAAAAGTTCGCTTCCTCCACTTTTGACGTCCAAAATTTTATTTACGCTGTTGATCTTTGACCTAGTCCTACGCAACGATGCCAAAGCATAGTGAGTCGGATCTGTACGAGTCGACTGACGACATGCAGAGCAGTCAGGGCATGGTGCGCGACACAAGGCATATGCCTTGCCGTCCAGTCAGAGTGAGTGACACGGCCACTCAATAAATACTTCTAAACCTCCAGCAGTGAAGAAAGACCTTGGTGTGCCTAAGATCAAGCCATCGAAGCAGGTAGCGGGGAATTCGACGGCTCGAGTGAGCAGCGCCTGTAAACTCGCGCTGATCGTCTCCAGAGCGCAGCACTCCCCTCGATGGTTGACTTTTCCGAGCATTACGAAGCTGGCCCATCGCACCATGCTTCCACATCATCTCGCGATTCATCCGCGAAAGCCTTCATGAGAGAGCTGAGAAAAGTCATCGAGAAGAGCGATGTGATCATCCAAGTATTAGACGCTCGTGACCCTGAAGGAACGAGAAGTCGATGGGTAGAGGACGAAGTGAGAAAACATGAAGGACAAGGAAAGAAGCTTCTCGGCGTCATCAACAAGATCGGTGAGTCAAGCGTTTATTCTCATCGCGCTGATCTCCCAGATCTCGTTCCTCGAGCCAATCTCGAAGCTTGGATCAAGTACCTTCGACACTCATTCCCCACAATGCCATTCAAGTCGTCTACTCAATCTCAACGCCATCATCTATCTCAAAACTCCGTTCCCGTTGCGTCCGCCTCAGAGTTACCGACGACCGCCTCCTCCCTCGGTGCTCCTGCTCTCCTCCATCTGCTCAAGCAATATGCTCTCTCTACACCCCATTCAGCCCTTACTGTAGGCGTCGTAGGATACCCCAATGTAGGAAAATCATCCTTGATCAACTCTCTCAAGCGAAGTCGTGCATGTGCCGTCGCTGCCATGCCAGGAAAAACTAGAGTAGTTCAGGAAGTCGTCTTGGACAAAGGCGTCAAGATCATAGACTGCCCAGGTGTCGTCTTGGAAGATGTAGGCAGAGAAGGAGTTGACGAAGAGAGCAAATCAAGGAGAGCAGAAGTCATGCTGAGAAACTGCATCAAGCCGGAATCAGTCGACGATCCCATTTCCCCTGGTAAGGTCATGATTCGTTTGGCGTGGCTGATCCTCAGTCGAGGTCATTCTGGCAAAGACACAACCGGAGCAGATCTGTAAACTGTACAACATTCCACCTTATGACGATGTTCGAGACTTTTTGATCAAAATAGCACTGACAAGGGGTCGACTGGGCAAGGTGAGCATTGACTTTGACCTGACTGACGGCCAGGGTGGTATACCAGACCTTGAAGGATCCGCCGTTTCAGTTCTCCGAGATTGGAACAGTGGCAAGATAGCTTACTACACCAAACCTCCTGCGGTGCATCCTTCCTCTGCACCACAACAACACGGCGACATCGCCATGGACGGAGACCAAGTTGGGGATGCAAAGATCCTCACAACGCTCAGTGAGGCTTTCACCCTCGAAGGGCTCCTGGACCAGGCAGGTGATGAGGCGGCGTGGGAAGGACACGAGGAGCCCACGATGGCGGTCGAGAGGTGAGCTGCCCTCTGAGCCGAGGCTCATTTTCAGCGACACGCTTCCCACACCGAGTACCCAGCCTATCCCATACGTTCCGCCGAGGTTAGACTCAGACTCTGAATCCGACGACGACGCCGACGTTGACGCCGACGTGTCCATGTCGCCTGATCTTGTCCATCGACAAGGCGCTCCTATCGCCTCAAAAATGTTCACAGCGGAGGAGCTGGCCATGCTTCCGCCCTCGATTCTCGATCGTCAAAAATCCAAATCTCAAGCTAAGAAAGCCAAAAAGCGACTGGCGGCTGCTGAAAGGACAGAGGGAGAGCTCATGGTCGGGTTCATGGATATGGGGATCGAGCGACAAGCTATCGATGTGCCATCACTGCCTTCAAAGAAGCAGAAAATGCGAGCCAAAAAGGCCAAAGCGCAAGCTGAGAGACTGAGACAATTGCCGAGTGATCGAGAGGCCGACGAGGCGGCGAGGAAAGAGCAGGACTTTGCAAAATTTCTGAGCACCGTAGGGGATGTCGATGGTGAGTGGACCATGATATCCACTGTTGACTCGCAGTGGATGAGGAATTGTAGCGTTTATCATGTGACTTTGCTCGACGTGGCCCGTCAACATTGATCACATGGTCAGCTGATCAGCCTCGTCATGCGGTGATCCAAACAGCAGCCCAACTGACAAAGACCTGGCGGTATTAAGCTGGATGTCCTCCTTCATGCACACATTCGATTCGCCCACTTCTACATCATGCTGGTCATTTCGTTTTTCCTCAGCTTGTTATTGACCCACGCTGCTCCCGTCAGGCACAGAGAGGTTCGTCCTGGTCGTAGTGCTCCAAATACTAAGCGCGCCCCCAGAATGCCAGCGTCTCAAGAGCTGTCACCACACCGTCCAGCACCTCCTTAGACATACCACCCGCCTCTCGCAAGCGTCACTTTCCCATTCTCGAGGCCCTGTACCAGACTTTTGATGCGTATGACTCTACGCTTGACTCGACACTCTACGCATCTCATTTTGACCCTCTCAAGGATGGTAGTGGCTGGCCCTACGCATCAGGATCAGGTCCATTGATGTATGTCGAGCGAGTCTCCAAGCGGAACATTCAGAAGAGAGGCAGGGATCTGGTTATTCAGGTAAGACGGCTAAAAATAATGTCCTGACTCGTCTACAGGATCATGCTATTCAGGGTCTGCAGTATGCGGGAGCGATGGAAATGTCAGATGAGGATGATCAGCCTGTTTGGGTGTAGATCAGTACGGGGACAGAATCTAGCCCGATTTCCGAAAAGAAAAAATCATTACCATGCATATCGCGTCAGAACGAGTCGATGCATTTCATCCTGCACCAACACAATGGCAGTAGCAACCCGACCGATCCCTCTCGGCGGATCAGTCCCTGCTGATACACCCCATGCCATCTCAGTCTCGTTACCCAAATGGGCAGATAATGTGGGCTACGAAGAAGGTGACAAGCGAGTCGTTGGGGTCATGGAGACTGGTTATCCGAGGTTCTTCATCCATCGGAGTATTCAAAAGGTACAGGTCCTCCCTCTTACATGTGCTGATGTCTTCACAGCTCGCCGCTCTGTGTGAAGCCAAATTTGGTCGAGACAACGAGCGCTGTATACTTCTGCCCTCTCAGAGGGTTGCTCGAGAAGCCAAGGCGTTCTTAGCCTCGCAAACGATCAGCTCTCGCATCGTAGAATTCGCCGTTTGTCCATCTCAATCTCTCCCGTCTTCATCGACGAGTCACAACATGGACATCATCGAGCTCCAGATCTTGCTCTTTGACAAGGAAAATTTCCCCTTGGCGAAATCTTTCTGGCAACATACAGGTGATGGCATTAGCTCGCGAATGGCCGAAAAGGCCTTGTACCTTCTCGGAGAGACACCTGCAGGCAGTACCGCTGCCTCACCCACTCTTGATAAGGATCCCGGGATCCGAAGCTCACGCAACAGACACTATTCTCGATACACCACACCCCTGCCCTCTACTTCGCAACAGAACGCACAGCAGACAGGGTCAACGGATGATCAAATAGTGGAGGAAGAAAACCTCACGGCGGAGCTCTCGACCTACCTCGAAGAACGCTATGGACGGAATCTACCCACTTTCAATGCCCCTTTAGCCAAACAAGCTCTCAAGCGAAGGATCGCAGGAGGCCTCTTGCCCTCTGATGAGGGATTCGGTAGTGCCGATGTAACGCGGGGAAAAGGCAACAGCATCGTCAAAGAGGAAGATGTCTACTTGTATCCTGGAGGTATGAGTGCCATCTGGCACGCTCATGATATCAGTCGAATAGCAAGGAGGGCAAAAGGTGAAAAGGAGGGCAAGAGTGTTTGCTTTGGGTGAGTCGATGACGGGACGTCGACTCACACCATAGCTTCCCGTACACCGATACGTACAAGATCCTGTCCAAGTGGGGCCCAGGATGTCACTTCTACGGTCATGGAGGTGCTGAAGACTTGGCTGCATTGGAAAAAACGCTAGAGACACAAAACGACGGAAAGATCTTGGCACTGTTCGCTGAATTCCCCTCGAATCCTTTACTCCGATCCCCAGATCTCGTCCGGATTCGAGAGCTCGCTGATCGGTATGGCTTCATCGTCGTTGTCGACGAGACGATCGGGAATTTTATCAATGTGGAGATCATGGAATACGTCGATATTGTGGTCAGTAGCTTGACCAAGATCTTTTCCGGAGATTCAAACGTTATGGGCGGAAGGTGAGTGAAGGACGATGGACGTTTATTGACGGTCTAGTCTCGTTCTCAACCCCAATGGTCCTCACTATGACGCATTGAAGTTTGTCCTGGACGAGTGCTACGAGGACCTCTACTTTGCCGAGGATGTGGTCTACATGGAGAGGAACTCTCGCAACTATCGTGAACGGATCAGGAGGGTCAACGACAATGCGTACGATGTGACGGAATATCTCCATTCACGATCCTTGGATTCTGGCCCAGGTGACAACAAAGTCATCAAGAAAGTCTGGTACCCTCGATACTCATCCCCAGAGACGTACGAAAAGGCCCGTCGATTGCCCACGTTGGGCAAAGGAGGGTATGGAGGACTTTTCTCATTGACGTTTACATCACTGGAAGCCAGCCAGGCGTTCTTCGACGCACTGCAATGTGCCAAGGGACCGAGTCTGGGGACGAGCTTCACACTCGCTTCCCCTTATACCATCCTCGCGCATTACCTCGAGCTGGATTGGGCCGCTCAATTTGGCGTCGAAGCCGGTTTGGTAAGGATCAGCGTGGGACAGGAGGACGGACAGGTGTTGAGGAGCTGGTTCGAGGCTAGTGTCAAGGCTGCGGAGGAGGCTGGAGCCAGGCGCTAGGAGTCCTCAGTCATGCTAAGCTTGACCAATGTGACCTTCCATACGTTATACATGTCACGTCTTGCCCTCGAGCCCCACCACAGGAACCGCCAAGCACAATCCGATCCAAGCACTAGTGACGATGATGACAAAGATCCAGATATCCCGAATGATGCTGTCGTAATATGCCCTGAGGATAGGATCTTGAACCACACGTTCCGGTCCAAACATCTTGACGACGCCTAGCGCGGTCCGGCCAGATTCATCTTGAACGTTTCGGTGAGAATCTCTCGTCTTCTCGATGAGGTCGGTGATCTCCTTTGTTGGATCCTGCTGGTTGAGATGAGGGTACGCAAGGATATCATGCCGATCGGCTGGATCGAGTCCGGACTGGGTTTGTGCGTTTCTGTGAGGGATCAAAAACTCGCTCGTTTGCAGTTCGGCACCGCCTGTTGATCGACCATGAGGTGGACGGAAGGTAATGAGAGGGACGGTGGTGGCGCGTGTATAGGGTGAAATCGGCGTGGACGAGGACGAGGGTGTTGAGGGATAATACTGGGTGGGCGAAGACAGTCCGGGAGTATGTATCGTCGAGTCGCTCGCTGCGTGTCTGCCGGTGTATTTGGGCTCCCACTGTCCCTCATCCCATGGATAACTCATGCTCAGATGTCTTCCCGAGACATGATCCAGATGGAAAAGCAACCCGGTCGTCAAGACGTGACGGACTGCTTCACTATAAGGCACGACGTCTCAAAGGTATGCACAGTACATCCCTCGCCTATTCATTCTCGTGAAACCCAAAGGACTCTGTCAGAGTAGACTGACTAGGTTGTTCTGTCCTCTGCCCGACCTGCACCCTGCTGATGACCTCATCCTTCTGCTGTACCGTCCTCTCTCCTTGCCCACTCGTCAAGCTCCCACGGCTTGATCTGCATACTGCTTCGTCCCCAGACATGGCTGCAGAAACCTCTATAAGCTGAGTAGAGCGATCCAGAACCAAACCAGACAAAAATGGCAGATGGGAGTCGAATCGCACGTTGAGAAAAATGTGTAGGCTTGAGGAAGAGCGTAAGGAGGACAAAGAGGATGATACCACAGAGCAGGTCAAAGGCTCCGACCATGCACCTGGAGTGAGCGGGATCCTGTAGACACCACTCACCAGTATCCTTGTTTCTTCCAATTGGTATTAGATCGAATGAGGTCGATAAACCTGGGCAGTGATTGCATCTCGAGCGTGCCATACACCTCGTCATAGACGGGTCGAAACTGGAGTAATCTCTTTGAGTTGACGGTCAACACGCTCGGTGCCTTACCACTTCAGGCGCTGTGCTTCGTCTCAAGCAAGTGCCTACGAATCCTCTCAAATCATCTGTACAGTTCAACTCTCTGGTCGCACCATGTTGGAAAAACGTAGCGAACGCTCGTTGAGCCTCATCCCGCATAGGCTGATCGATCGGGTCGAGCCATGAATCAGGCGAGACTGTCAAGTGGGTAAATGGATCGTGTCGGTGGTGTAGTTCAGTCAGAGGAACAGGAACTCGATGAGTATCGGAAGCTTGAGCCCATCGATGAGAGTATGACCTGAACCAGAGAACAAACAGGAGATTCTCCAATGTCATTTCTCTCTTGGCGAGGTAGGATGCAAAGTCTGTGAAACTTATCGGGGGGCATGTATGACCATTGAGGACGTGCGCGAGTTTGATGTCTTCCAATTTCGGTCTTCGAGGTGGCTTGAGCTTGGCTGATCGCGTCGGTCCTTGGTAGGCTTCGGGAGTTGAATTGGAGTCCATTGGTTCTGAGGGCTAGGAGGTATGAAGATGAAGCTCACGTTGAAATGTACAAGTCAGGTTGTCAGGGGGGTTTTGACCCCATTCCTTTGGGAATGATCGAGTCAGCAAGCGAGTCAGCCCTTACAGTCTCTCGATACGCCAACTCGTCAACTCAAGACATCACTCGTACATGAGGCCACCTAGAAGAGATACGAGGTCGCTCATTCCAGCTCTTTGTTGCCCTCCCGCGAATATGAGACGACGGTACATAGAGGAGGAGGGGGACAGATGCCCATCCCGCCTTATCAATTGACCTCAGCTGCCACGTCATTGCCATGTTTCTAGACTTTTTCCGAGCGCCTGCATATCACACATTTCGAGCTCAGCTTCAACGACAAGAACTCATCCATGGTCAAGATGTCCGCACTACCCCGACAATGCCTAGCATCGTCCTCCCGCTACACACTGAATCACCCGATCCACATGGCTTACAGATCCTTCTCCTTCTTTCCTCACCGAACTCCTCCTCCACCACCTCTCCCATTCTTCTCTCCTCCGTCCCTACAGCCATTCGCACCAGGAGGCTCGCCCGAACCGAGCAAAGACAAGACACCGAGAGAGGAGGAAGTAGACGATCACGAATGGGAGATCCGAGCGGGTGAGTGGTGGACATGTCGCGTGGACTCAAGGACGATTCATAGCAAAGGCCACATTGCACCTGCAAGATTCTATACCGAGGTTCTTTCAACCTGAGCAGACCACCTCGGACATGTTCCCAGCGGACATCTTTAGCGCGAACCTGATCCTCAAGCTACCACCACCGCTTCCGCTCAAGGTGGGTCAGGCCAGAAAGACCTCTTGCTGATTTGAAGACGTCCTCCCTGACCGCTTACTCTCTTGTGTCTACCCTCGCACGAAGTGGAATGCAAGGTGAGCAATGCTAATGATTCTCTCATTCCGGCAGCATGTAGCTGACGTTGTTGCAGCACTCCACTCGGACCTCCGGATCAGCCTTGATCGAATGACATACAATTCGCCAACCTCTGTCGCTCTGCCAAACCTCAATGCCAAACGTCAGAGACAGATCCGTAGTCTTGTCACTGTCAGAGGAAAGCCAAGACTACCAGGCGGCATGGTAGGTGTATGGTGACCCGAGCCTAAACTCACGCTCTACTCCAGGAAGCAGTGTGGCACACATCCTCACTCTACACCCTATCTCCATACTCTGGTCTGATCATCTCTCACGAGGTCGAATCTATCCGACCCTTACCCGGCGAAGGGGTCGCGGAATGGCTCAGGAATAGATTGAGAGGTTGGCGCAAGGAGGAAGACGCTTTACCAGTGCCTTGCCCCCGAGCTGTTCCAGTACCGAGTACTTTGGAGATTCTGAGGTTCTTGGAGCGTCAAAGGAAGTTGTAGTCTGTTGTTGTGCATGGGATGTGATGTCGTGGAGCCTTTGCCTCTTTAGCCCATGTTACGTATCGCGACACAACACCATGCCCGTAGGTCTCCTTTCTCATCTGCGTCACATATCTTGAGATGAGCCCGGGGGCCGAGGCGCCAACATTTTTTTCACGCCGCCCCATCCCGGTCCGGACGTTTCAAAGAAGTTGAAAATATTTATCACATGCAAAAGTGATCATATGATTCATCATCAATATCATCTCTCTCTTGTCCATACATTTTACTCACACCACACAGAGTTGACAGAGGTGTGCTACAGGATGCCTTCGAGAAGGCAGTCGACATTAGAAATGGACGTGAGTATTACTCCTCCTCCCCATCTCGCTCGCGGTGTCTCGGCCTGCTCAGCCTCGGATCCGGGCATGGTGGAGTCGGCCGGGAATTCCCGATGGAGTACAGTAGCACTGATTCGATACAGGATGATGACCCGTTGTCTGGAATGGGTGAGGACGATGGGATTGAAGGCAATATCAAGGGGTCTGCGTGAGTATTCGGTGACACCACACACACACTCTCTTCGGCTGAGGCAAAAGTGGCAGGTCCAGCGAACAGAGAAAGCGTCAGGTATGCGCCGCTTGTTAACAGATCGAACGTGAACTGATCCGATTCTCAGAACCGGGCAGCTCAGAGAGAGTTTCGTATGCGAAAGCAGGTGAGTCCTTCCCGGATGACGCAAACATCATCGCTGACACCCTTTGCAGCAATATGTAAGCACATCCTCCGCCGCACTCAACCGACACCAGGTCCGCGATCTCGAAGCCCGAGTCGAAGTTCTCTCCGGAGACAAGGAAGAGCGCGTGGAACTCATGGTCCTATTGATTCGAAATCTCCTCAAGGAAAACAAGGATCTCCGAGACATGGTTAAGAATATGGCCTCATTTGTCGGAGAAGGTCAGTCACATCTTCAGCATCACATTGACCCTTTTCCCAGGTCTGGGATCCTGTCTTCCCCGTCTCGGTCTATCGGCTCCCCAGCTCGATGCGATCCTGAACCGAGCCGACACAGATACCGCCTACGACGCGTTCATTGCTCTCAAGGCGTCCAAAGAATTGGAAGAAGCTAATCCCGGGATCCCGCTGGGTCTCGTAAGGAAGCGGGAGGGGAACCCCTCGGGATCAGCGGCGAAACGTAAACGGTCCTCGGTCATTGACCAGGAAGGTGGTCCACCGACTGGAGACAGTGGTGGGGTGTCCAATCGCGATGAGCCGCCTCGCGGATCATCTTCCTCGGTGCCTCCTGCTGGCCACAAGGATACACCTGAAGATGTCAAGCCATCTAGCGACGCGATCAACATGCCCGGCCCTTACTCTTACCTCTTTCCCGATCTCGAAGCGTTCGCTGCGAATCCTGCTCAGCCGATGAACGGTCTAGGGTTGATGCCTGGCCAGCCTCAGACACCGTTCGCCGCTCCATTCCCCCTGACTCCCGGCTATTTCAGCACGTTCCCTCTCGGTGCAGGTACAGGAATGACTCCGTTCGCATCGCAATTCGGTCTCGGAAATTACATGGCTCCAGCGGCTTTTGCCAATCAAATAGGATCCATGCCTGGTCCTTCGGCTCTGCCCAGTGTACCGTCGGCAGCAGATTACCTGACTGGATTTGGTCTGACCTTGCCACCAGCTCAACCCATGTCTGCATTTGCAGGAGGAGCCAGACCTGATGGAGGCGATTATGCCGCTCGACATCCACCAGAACCGCCCGCCACGGAACTATCTCGGACTTCTTCTGGCAACACTCCTATCAGATCTACTACAAATACCCCACAGCAGACTAAACCTCAACCATCTGCACCTGCGAAACCACCCGGTATGGCAGAAGAAATGGACCGACAGAGACGATTACGAGAGGCCGTGGCGAAGATCAGCGCTGCGAGTTCTAAAAGAGGTCAACAGGATACAGAATTCACCCCTGCGGAAATTGTCGAGAGAGCGTGTATCCATGCAGAGGTTCAAAAGGTCATGCGGGAGTCTCACATGGACGACAGGACGACGGAAGCGTTTAGACTGACTGCATATCACTTGTTCAAGTGGGTCATAGCCGCTGACGAGGATGTCACTGATTGGATTTCCAGCTATCGTTTGAATCATTCCTATGTATTGCCACCCTCTTTGACACCGACTCCCATCCAGCGCACAATCCCTCATGAGTATGTCATTGACGGGATGATCTACCCAACGTTGCGTGATCGGATGATTCTGCTTCGGGGTGAGTCATACTGTTGATAGCGTTTGCTGAAAGATTCAGGCCAATACGATCTCGTCTCTGCTTTGACCGATATCGTCCTACAAGTGAGCTAGATCAATGTGTCCCTCGCTGACCCAGGACAGACCCGAGTTCATGGAGACGATGTCTTGAATCATGAGTATTGGGAAATCGGGGAAGAATGGCTGAGAAAATACTCGTGAGTCATCTGGACCTCAAGCGACATTAGGCTGATCGGCTCTTCAACAGATTCCTCGTCGACGACACCATCCTTGATATATGCAACAAGTGGAGAAAAAAGCGTGGAGACCCTCCTGTCATCCTGTCGTCTGAAAGTCAGCACCCTTCTGAAGCTGTGAATTCTAGTTGGCAACATACTATCAAGTCGTGACGGCCTCATTTGGCCGAACTTGTACCCCATCTTCTGTGTCTGCGGCCTTATGTATCGCTATTGCATGGTGTGTCAGCCTCTAGTCTTGATGTCCATCGTCAGACGGTCAGTCGTACCCGATTGTTGCGGTCTCCATGAGTTCCGCCGCCCTTCCTGGACAATGGCCGAAGGTCATCAGGTAATTCCGTGAAATCCGGAAAGGTATATAAATACAACCGGTAGATCATGGATGGTGTCTGAGTGCCGGTTCACCCTCACCCTCAGCCCTCCATCATGCTCGATACGTCAGGCAGTATCGTGGTCACTGGTCCTCAGGGCGGTATGACCTTACACTTCATAGAGTCTTACTATCAGAAACACCCCGACAACCACCTGGTTCTCCTGGTACGAGATCCATCCAAAGTCTTGCCTTCGCTCTCCACCATGTCCAACTGTACCATTCTCCGATGTGATCTGTCCGATTTATCGAGCGTTCGCCAAGCGAGTCAAGAGATCACCGATCGTGTAAAGTCTGGAAAATTATCACCTATCGAATGTCTCGTCGAAAGTGCTGCCGTCCAAGTCTGTGGACCCAACGGACCGCGAATCACTCAAGACGGGTATGAAGAGACGGTAGCTGTCAATCATCTAGCACATTTCATCTTGACTTTGGATCTCTTACCGTCCATGAAGCCCCAAGGGAGGATTGTCATCGTCGGAAGTGATTCCCATCGACCGAATTACAAGTTTATCAAGATTGGACCAAAGTACAAGCCGATCGAGTCCTTGCTCAAGGTGGAACCTGGTACAGACCCTTCAGGCTCAGGTGTTGATATTGGAATGGCAAGGTACTCAACGAGTAAACTGCTTCAGATGATGACGGGTCACGAGGTGAGGTCCGTGGAGCCTGCAGAACGCCAGATGCTTATCCCATTGCTAGCTCGCTCGACGGCTCAAGACCTCATCGAAATATAAAGGCATTCACGTCGTCATGTTCAATCCGGGATCCATGGGCGGTACAGGTCTCTTCCGAGATAGATCTTGGATCGGTCGAGTGATCCTAGGCTACGTTCTAAATTGGACCAGATTACTCAATTGGCTTGATCCAGCCTTGATGGCATCTCGAAAGGAAGATTCAGCGGCTGTCCTTGAGAGATTGGTCGAAGATCCTTCGTACGCTTTGACCGAACCTATCGACGAGGAGGGACAAACGATCTCGGGTGTAGGCGCCGGTGCACCTTACTTTGACTACGCTGGGAATCAAGCTAGCACACTGGGAGAAGCGAATGAACAGGAGAAATGTGAGGAATTATGGCGAGATTCAGCGACTCTGTTAGGGTACAGCGGAGAAAAGGCGCTGATCTAAGGGGTTTGAAGTCCATGTCACATAGACCGTAGACTTTGCATCCTTTGTCCCTGAGCTAGGACTACCCTTGTCAAGCATTGCTGATGCAACATCCGATGACATCCTTCAACGATCACTGATGAGAATCCGAGAATGACCCCTGCCGCTCTCTCAAGGACACCGCCGGTCACATTCTCACCTACATCAACGCCGTCGCTCCGGTTACAAGTCTACTTAGAGGCATTCTTCACCCCTGCTTCACTTGTAAATTCAGTTGGAAAAGACTCTCCTCGTCTTTCCATCTTCCACCTGGTGCAGCGGTATCAGCCACAGACCCAGAAAGGCAGAGTAAGGCCTGTTAAGTGACTCTAACGCTCACCCTTTGTTGATGGAGAAGAAGCAGTTCGGACATAGGTTGTGCATGAGCACAATGTTTCCACAAGCTGGGCAAGTTTTGAAATCTGATGTGCATCAGTGAGCCGCGGGGTGTTTGGCAGACGTGCTCAGGATCTCGTCCTCAACTCACTCGTCTTGTTCACTAATCCTTTCCCTGCAAGCTTTTGCATCTTCTTTCGATGAGATACTTTCTTTTTCGGAACAGCAAGTAGGATCGGAGGGATGAGCTCGAGCAAGGATTCGAGACCAGGGACGAGGGACATCCATCCCTTTGATGCGATCGCATTTGACCTGGAGACCGGAACTGGCATATCCATGTTCGAGTTTGAAGGTGAAAGGCAGGAGGCTGATGAAGATGGTTCGCAAGGCATAGACCAGGCTGGGCGGAGATAGGGCGTCAACAGTCTCGGCATCATTGATCCCATGCTGAAAGACACAGGCTTGGAGGCCAAGGAGGCGAGAGGAAGGGCTGCCATGCTGCTCAGCGTCGTGTATGATCGCGAGTCACACAGATCATGCGAGACGATGCAGCATTTTCGATCCATCCGCCACGTGATTCACTTTTCCACGGTGACGCTCCCTACGTTGCATCTTTCTTGGTGCCTGGCGTCATAGATCGCGATCGCCGGTGGAGGTCGTCCATCGATCCTGTAGCTAGCTTGCATCTCAGATGCACTTCAGAAGCACGATGTCCACAGCGGTCATACAGGGTAGCTCCGGAGGCCTAGGATTTGCTCTCACGCAACATGTCCTCAAGCACACTTCTCTCAACGTATTTGCATTGACTCACCGGTCAGCGAAAGAGCTACAAGAACGGCTGGGACATCACGAGCGTTTGACCGTCTTGGATAGAGTCGACATCAGAGATGAAGGGACTTTGGAAAAGGCTGCAAGTACAGTGAGAGAGAGGCAAGGAAACGATTCCGTGAGATTGATAGCCTGCTTCGCGGGTGTCGTGAGTACAACAACAACTCGTCACCGCTGAACGGCAGCTCGAGCCCGAGAAATCCTTGAGAATGATCAACCCTCAAACTCTTCTCGACACCTTTCAAATCAATTGCATGGGCCACCTATTGACCTACAAGCACTTTGTGCCTCTTATTCCCAGCAAAAAAGCCTTTGCAGAGCTGAAGTGGGATGAGGATCCGGCGAAAGGACTCGTTGCAAAAACCAATAGTCTGTGTTTCTCGTTGAGCGCGAGAGTGGGGAGTATAGAGGATAACAAGAAAGGAGGGTGGTACTCTTATCGAGCGTAGGTGGTCAAGCTCCGTTCCCACTGACGTCCAGATCAAAAGCCGCGCTCAATCAATTCATCCGAACGCTGGATCACGAGGTGCGCTCGACACCTTCGGTGTGTGCTGATCTCTAGCTCGTCAACAAGTCCTCCTCTGGCGTCGCTATGGCTTATCATCCCGGGACTGTCTTGACTTCATTCACACGACCGATCCTTGGAGCCAAAGCAGAACCGAATCCAGACAAGGGACAATTCTCAACGGATCAAGCTGTGGAGCACCTCGTCAGTATTATGAGCAAAGCATCGAGGGAACAAGAGTGGGGAGGCAGGTTGTGGGATTACAAGGGAGAGCAGATCCCCTGGTAGGTATCACAGATGATGTAGTGTCAGTCCAAAGGTAAATCTCGACCTTTGTGTATCACCATCCTTTGACCACTCGAGGGATGAGTTGTCAGAGAGACTTTGACAGATGAGTTGTCGTTTTCAATCTCGATTGCTGCCAGAGAGATTAGAGCTAGCTCTACGTCCCTGGAGTATGGCACCGTTTCCCACAGGGCATGTCATTCTGAGACAATTTGGTGATGTCGGCGGCTCCTTGGGAGGAGTCGCCAATACGATAGGTAACGGCGCTGCGGGGGCAGTGGAGACTGTGGCAGACGGGGCAGGTGGTGCTGTCAACACAGCGGTGGAAACTGCAGGAGGGGCCGTCCAGACAGCAGCGGGCGCGGTCGGTGTGAGTAAAGCAGGTGTGGGGGAACGTCGCTCACCCACCCTAGGGTGCTGCAAACACTGTGGCGGTGAGAACTGAAACCCTTGCCAAGCTGACAGTATTCAGGGAGCTGTCCAGACCGGAGCAGTGAGTATGGCTCAGCACAAAATATGCTGATGCCATGACAGGGGCCTGTTGGGGTGAAGGTTGCTGTCAGGTCCGATGACTGACGATATAGAGTATAGCAGATGATGTCAGTCAAGTTGGAGCTCTTGTCGGACCACTCAAAGCCGTGAGTCATCCAAAAGTCCGCGACCGACCTTGCAGGCCATGGACTTTTGGAAGAACAACAAGCAAGACATTTACATCGGCAAGTCGTGCGCCGGTCGCCAAGTTGACTTTGCTCAGGCGCCATCGTCCTCATTGTCGTTCTATCACTCTTGATCATCGGCAGTTGTGTCTGCTGCTGCGTAGGGTGCTATGGCATGTGTTGTCGGCGCGATGATCACACCCATCATGATGACACGGCCGCCTGTTGCGGTGCGTGTGGAGGACCAGCGAGGCCCCCTGGTACAGAAGCGACACCAGAGATTGTACCCGTGGATCGAAGACCATTCTGTACCTCCTGCTTTGGAGACAAGTTGGGGTACGACAAGACATATCTCGCTCGCGGATGTGGCAAGCGTCAACCCAGGAGAGGTGAAGTATGGAACACCTGCGGATTAGTTGGACCCAAAGGTCATGGAAGTATCTTTAACCGCATGCGAGAGAGTGAATGGTGGCCTGGATGCCTGGGAGGGAGAGGCTTCAAAGATGGTTGGACCAAGTATCAAGAGACGATGGGGGAAAGGATGCGACAAGCGGCAATGTACAGGCCAAAAGTAGAGAAGCGTAGAAATAGGGACTCGGCGAGCGACTCCGGATACGAGAGTGACAATCCAGGGGCAAAGAGCTAGAATACATCGCTGTGTACATGTCATAGTGATTCCAAGAAGGCCTTGACTTTGGCCTCGGGCAACATCCCGACTGGGTCGTCAGCGTATTTGTGTGATGACACTCACTAAACTTGTCCACCGGTTTACCATTCTTAAACCCAACGACGAAAGGAACTGCAGAGACCTCGAATTCAGTCAGTCGCCCGCCCGTACAGTGGCCCCACCTTGTACTCTGCTGCCAAGGCATTGTTCTCATCCACATCTACCGTCATGAGATCATACGGTGTATCAGGCGTTGTCAGACGCTGCAACATCGGCCCGAGAATCTTGCATGGGCCACACCAGCTAAAAGACGAGTCAGTGCGTTGTACGAAAAGCTCGCCCACCTCGCAGTAAAGTCTACCAATAATGGCTTGCTTGAATTCGCATCCAGAGCTCGCTTCTCGAAAACCTCTCGATTGGCATTTAGAAAGTGATCCCTGGCTACTGGGGAGGAGTGAACGCTCCGAGCGAAGCGGACTGTGTTCGTAGCTATCCTGAAAGACTTTGACAGAGGCATGGTCAGATGAAGTAGAATCGATCGGTTTTTCGGCTCGACATTTCGTCAGATCATTCACTATTGATCTATCTACCGGCAATCACTCCATCGATCCCTGCAATTGCCTGGTTCCTCCCTCCCACTCACCATGCTATCACGGTCATTCGTCCAATCTCAGCGTCTGCTATCCCGCGGACTGATCACACCTGCCCCATGTCGATCCTTCGCGGCACACCCTCGGAAACCACTGGAATCGACAACCTTTTCAGATAAATCGTCACCTCGAGAAGTGTACGAAAGACCAGAAACGAGTCGTGGGATGCCACCTGAGGGAGCGCCTTCATTCTCGAAAAGAGCTATCGAAGGGGATGATTCCAAGGAGATGACGCTGGAAGAAGCTTTCAGTGGTCCTTCGAGACCGAGATTGGTGTACGCTGTCCCTTCGCGAAAGACCAAAGAGCTGCCGAGGCTTGGGGTGCGTGACTATACAGGTAATCGCTGACGATCAGACCAAAGTGCCTCTATGTAAGGCCTAGACCTGATCTTCTCCTGCTCATCCCCACAGACATACTCCTCGGCACACTTGGACTGTCAGCCTGGGGCATATTCTTGTTATACGCTACCAATGCGGGTGAGGTTTTTCTCCACTCGATCACTCACATAACCTCAGAACGTCTCGCATCATCCGCCATGCGTAGTGTCCAATTCCATCTCCGCCACTCCCCAGATGTCAGCGCTTTGTTGGGCAAGCGCGTGAGGCTGGAAGAGCCGCCATGGTGTGAGCGAGGCGTGTTGGGACCTCTTGCTAATCAGCAGTCATCGGTGACCCTTGGATTTCTGGCACCGTGAGTGGCCTTGCATGATTCTTCACCAACATGTAGGTCAATACCATGCAAGGTCGGATCGATCTCAGCTTCAGGGTACGAGGCGACGACGGTGAGACAAGCTGTGACGCTCGCTCGAGCTAATCCACAGCATCGGGAACCATCTACTTTACGTCAATCCGACCTCACCAAGGCGACCCATGGCGAATCCGTAAGTCAGTGCGCATCTTATCTCTGACCCAGCAGTACGATATAAACTGATCACGGACTCTGGAACGACCGTTCGACTAGAAGACAAGATCGAACGGATCACTGACAACTCTGCTGTGGAAAAGCAGCTCTCATTATGAACCCATGCACTATGCATCCTTGACTCTACTCCACGCCCCAATGTTGCCATCCAAGACGTCTCGATCGGCTAACTGATCGAGTCGAGCCATTTCCCTCCTGACGAATCGGACGACCCGTTCCAGTTGGTCGAGCATGTATATTTCCGTGACAGAGTATGCGTCGACCTCGTCTGGAGCAACAAATTCAGGTGAAGGAGGTCCGAGACCACGAGAAGCAAACAAGTTTCGCCATAACCAACTGGCGAGTTCCGCATCTGCTGATTCCCTGTCCCTGGCCTCTTCACTCATCTGCAACGCAAGGACATAATCCAATCCGATACTGGCCCCTTTGTATTGTTCTCCAAATTCCTTCAGATACTTTTGTATCACGCGTTCTCGCTCATTCCGACCTAGCGCACGACGCATCTGTGATTCTGCCAGCTCGAAAAAGTTGTTGATGATTTCGGCAGTGTATCGACCTGATGTAGGTTTGGAGAACAATGAGGTGGATGATGTTACGGCTGGAGACATGGCTGGCGGGGGTCGGGGTGTGGACGGAGGTGATGGGTCCGGTAATTCAGGTATCGGATGAGATTTTGAAGGGGCAGCAACGGGGAGGGCTCTGAGTCGAGTAATGAGGATCAGGAGGTACATCATGTGGAGTTGGAAAAAGGTTTGATATGTCGGCGGCAATTGACATTCTGGAATGAGCAAAAGCCTTTCGCTGCGTCGACTCACCTCCATACCAATAATCCGCATCGTTCTCTATAGCCTCCACGATCCCACCCAGCATGCGTTGTGTTTCCCGAATGGCCGTCACAGCTTCCGTGTTGTAACCCATTATCTTGACTATCCTAGTGAGCCATTTCTTTTGAGTCTCAGAGTACTGCTTCGGCGGCGGAGACGCTCCGCCCGCTTCGATCGGGTTCGATGGGGTCAATGTGTTGGCTGGCGGCGGAGCGAATGGATCTCTCGGGACTGGGAAGATCGGCGTTCCGACGAGGTATGGTGAGTTCTTTTCGTCCGATAACTGAGGTCGTTCAGGTTCTTTCGCACGAGCATAATGTCTGATGTGCGTCCTGGATATTGGTCTGGAAGACGACGCTACGAGTGACCGCGCTGCTCTTCTCGATATCGATGCCATGGTGTTCTGTCGATCGACCCAAAAAAAAGGTTGCAACCGGGTTAGAAAAATCAATCTCGGTGGACGACGGGATCTCGGCGTTACATGGCTTGATCGGAAGATGTGGCATCATCCCCCCGCGACGCGTCTATCTTTTTTGTGGAAGCGTGCAGGCAATAATATCATCATCCATCATGTCGGATCTAGCTTCCGTCAAGGCAGCTGTGAAAGCTTGGGAGAGGTCGTTCAAGGCGACTCACAAGCGAGACCCAACCAAGGAGGACATCAAGAATGATCCAGGAAGGATAGGTAGGTCCAAACAGTCAGTTCATGTAAGCCAACAGTTCCAGGAGAGCAATATGCTCTGTACAGGAAGCTGTCCAAGCTGTCATCGGAGTCTCAACGTTCGTCCTCATCTGGATCTCAACGTCCCGACTCATTCAGAATCGTCCCCTCGAACGGATATCCCACGACACCGACGCCTCCGACTCGGCATCGATCAGTATCCCGGTCCAGCTCGAGACCGACCGCATCATCGGTCGAGGCAAACAGATGTCTACCCTCATCGCAGGCGGGACCGTCGACCCCTTCGAGACTGATCACGCCTAAGAAATCTCGTCCATATTCTGGTCCGATCCATGATCCCAACCCAATCAATCCATTTGCAGTGACGCCCGTCAAAACACCTGCCTCCCACCTCGGATCGGCTGGCATGTTCTCCACGGATAGGACAGCTTCCAGCAGCTCACCGTTCATCCACGCTTCATCGCCTCGGAAACTCAGACAGGTCCTCGAGGCGAATTCGTTGCGCAAAGTGAGAGAGAGAGAAGGGCTGGAGGAGATCACGCCGAGGACAAGGGCACGGAAGAGGTTACGCGGAGAGGCCGTGGCTGACACCCCTGTCAAAGATCGTCCCGTTCGGCGAAAACGTGGAGAGCGCAGACCCACGACTGAGGCCTCTAGTGACGCGGTATCAAAGGGCAAAGGGAAGCTGCCTTTGGAGGATGAATTCGGACCGTCGCCTATGCGTCCCGAGGTCGACAAGACGTTTACCGCGTTGTTCGATGAGCCAGACGAAGGCAGCGAGGTGGTCGGCCTAGAGGACATCAGAAGCAGATCAAGTGTCATGATGGGACTGTTTGGCCGAGCGACGGTCGAAATCAAAAAGAAACCGCAGATCGGGGAGGAATCGCCAGCCCCTAGTTTACCCCTTCCTGTAACGGAGGCAGCGGAAACGGTGGTCATAGATGCCGAAGAACTCGCACATACTCCTCAACGACCTTGCAAAGTCATTTCCTTCTCCGACGATGAGCAAGATGAGTGGGACCCTGAAGGCGGTCATGTAACGCATCAAGTCGTCATCACAGGTACTCGACGTCAGGTCTGTAAACCGAGAGACAGTCTCAGCGATGGAACCGACGGGGACGATGACGGTCTAGACACGCCAGAGCTCTATGACAATATAACCGAAGAAACGTCCCATACTTCTATCCATCCTTCATCACCTCCTCCACTGTTGTCCCTTTTGTCTATCCAGTCACCTCGGGCAAAAACGACCATCACGGAGATGCGATACAAGGCCATCTTTGATCCATCCCAAGCTGCTCGTCTACGGGCCATGAAACGGGGTCAAGAGGTCTATATCAGTGGGCAAGGTGTGGATAGGGACGGTGACATGGAGGAAGAGAATGAAGTTGAAGGCGATGATGATTGGGAGGAGGAGCCAGAAGGATGGAAAGAGGCTGGCATAGCGGATGAGGACTGGTAGCGTGACGTGATAATAATTGCATAAGGTAATGGGTATATACAATGCAGGGTTGAACTGCGGTTCACAAGCGTTTATTGCAGGTATGAGACTTGATGAAGGCCGATGAGGACCCGGTTTTACAGATAAACAAATAGCCTAAGCGTACTCCTCCACGGTACCACACTCGCAGACGAGGTTGAGATCTCCGGCAGCTGAAAATTCAGCTCAAATCCCTTGACACGCACTCACCATCATCGACACGTCCGACTGTGGGCCAGAACTTGGACCTCTTCAAGCTCGGAACCGGCCAGACAGCCTTCTCCTTGGAGTACGGCCTGACGTCAGCGCACCGTGGAAAGCTCTCCCACTCACTTGTCCCAAGTCTCCGTCATGATCTTTGACAATGGATGCGGTGCATTCTTGAATACATTGTTCTCCTTTGGCTGAGCCCCCGAGGCAATCTCATCGGCTTCCTTTCGAATAGAGATGAGCGCGTCGATGAACCTGTCGAGTTCGTGTTTCGGTTCAGACTCGGTAGGCTCAATCAACCAGCATCTAGCACATCAGCAAGATCGGTGCAAGCCACTCACGTAGAGATGGGCCATTGAGCCGTTGGAGGATGGAATGAGTAATCTTGCAGTCTCTTTGAAAAGTCTGCAACTTTGAGACCGGCAGATTTCTCAAATTCCGCCAGATCGATCAAACACTCGTGGGCCACACGCCCGTTTGCATTCTTGAATCGAATGTTGTAGTAAGGTCGAAGACGCTCGGCAATGTAGTTGGCATTGAGGAGGGCGATCTTGGATACCTCGGTGAGTCCTTTACCACCGAGCATCTTGATATAAGCCCAAGAGATGGTGTTGATGCTGGCTGACCCGTAGGGTGCAGCAGACACTGCAGAGATGGGCGAAGTCCCTCCGGTAGGGATGATCGGATGGGTCGGGAGGAAAGGAGCGAGATGGGCTTTGCAAGAGATGGGTCCGACTCCTGGTCCACCACCACCATGAGGGATAGAGAACGTCTACAGGTCAACAAGTCTCCCTACCCTCGAAACTCACCTTGTGCAAGTTGGTGTGACTGACATCTCCACCGACGCGACCGAGACTAGTGAGACCGATCAAACTGTTACAATTGGCTCCGTCAACGTAGACTTGTCCGCCGTTTTTATGCACGATATCGCAGGCTTCCTCGATGCCCTCCTCAAAGACGCCAAAGGTCGAAGGATAGGTGACCATGAAAGACGCGAGTTGATCCTTGTGTTGCTCAGCTTTGGCCCTCAGATCATTCAGATCCAAGGATCCGTCCTGAAGAGCCTTGATCGGCACGACCTTGTATCCGACCATGGCGGCGGACGCAGGGTTGGTACCGTGAGCCGAGAGAGGGATCAAGCAGATGTCTCGGTGACCTTGGCCCTTTGATTCATGGTACGCCTGGATGACCTTGAGACCTGCATATTCACCTGACGCTCCCGAGTTGGGCTGGACCGATGTCGCATCGTACCCAGTGACCAGGGATAGATCAGACTCGAGCTCCTTTATCAGAGTCTCATATCCTCGTGCTTGGTCAACGGGAGCAAATGGATGAATACCACCAAACTCCTTCCAAGACAGTGGCACCATGGAGGAAGTCGAGTTGAGTTTCATCGTACACGAACCGAGGGGAATCATTCCATGGACCAAGGAATAATCCTTTTCCTGCAGGTGCATCATGTATCGCAACATGTCAGTCTCCGAGTGATGCTTGTTGAACACGGTCTGAGGGAGGAAATCGGTGGTCCTGGCCAAAGAGCCCTGAAGAGGTGCCGTGAGGTTGGAAGATGACAACTCGAGTTCTTGAGCGACAGCTTCGAGGGCGGGAGGCTCAATCGTCGATTTCCCGAGTGCCTTGTAAAAGACGTTGACGATGTCGGTCAAATCGAGAGGTCCCACACTCTCGTCCAGGGTAATCCCAATCGTCTTGTCATCGATCCGGCGAAAGTTGATGCCCGCCTGAACAGATGTGGCGTGGATGACCTGAGAGGAGATTCCAGCCGTGGTCACGTCGACGGTCAAGGTGTCAAAGTACGTCTTGTTGGTGATGGAGAAGCCGTTGGATTCGAGAACCTTGGCCAAGACGCGAGTGAGAGAGTGGACCTTGCCAGCAATTCGACGCAAGCCTTCAGGACCGTGGTAAACGGCGTACATCGCCGCCATGTTGGCCAAGAGAGCTTGAGCAGTACAGACGTTTGAAGTCGCCTTTTCCCGTCGAATATGTTGCTCTCTCGTTTGAAGTGCGAGTCGATACGCCGGAGCTCCGCTGGAATCCTTGCTCAAGCCAACCAATCTCCCGGGCATCTTTCGTTTCATATCATCCGTGCAGGCGAAGAAGGCGGCATGAGGTCCACCGTAGCCTACGGGAACTCCAAATCGTTGACTGTTTCCACACACTATATCGGCGCCCCACTCGCCCGGCGGTTTCAACATGGTCAATGCCAAGAGATCAGAAGCCACAACTGTCTTTGCGCCTGCAGCCTTGACTTTCTCAGCGACCAATGACCAGTCCAGGATCTCTCCGTTGACATCGGGGTACTGCACGAGCGTGCCCATCAGTCTGTCGGATCCGAGTGCTTCGACTTCAGCCCCGAAATCAGCGTTACTCGAGGCGATTTTGAGCTCGATACCGAATCCACTGGCTCGCGTTTCAAGCACTGCCAACGTCTGAGGAGAGACAGTGGGAGAGACGAGGAAGACGTTTTTGCCCTTTGAAAATTTGGGCTTGGGTACAGAAGCCAAGCACATAGCCATGGCCTCAGCGGCGGCGGTAGATTCGTCCAGTAATGAAGCGTTTGCGATGGGCAGTCCGGTCAAGGAGATGGCAATGGTTTGAAAGTTGATGAGCGATTCGAGTCGACCTTGAGACTGTTCGGGAGAGTATGGCGTGTAGGCAGTGTACCATGCGGGGTTTTCGAGGATCTGAGATTAGCCGGGGGGTTCGTGTTCATGCTCACGTTTCGTTGAATGACCGGCGGGACGATGGCGTTGTGGTAGCTGCGGCAGCATCAGCACATCAACTCGACATTTCTGGACCCACCCCATGCCGATGTAGCTCTTCATGCCTTTATTCATCGCGGCGACCTCTTCGGCTCTTCGCCTCAGTTCCAACTCGCTCCAAGCTCTCAAACCTTTACCGTCGTCTTCATTGGTGAGCTCGTCGACTCTGACATTCTTTGGGATCGTTGCGTCGACGAATTCATCCAACGACTTGTACCCCAAGACACTGAGCATTTCCTGGACATCGTTTGATCTCGGGCCCACATGGCGTGGTAAGAAGGTATCGAGGGGCGTGAACACGGATTCAGTAGATGGCTGATAAGCTTTTGAAGGGACGACGGGATGAGGTTGTGTGGCGGTAGTGGAGCTGAGTGCAGTCAGAGTCGGAGTTGGACTTGACCGAGCCAGAGAGATGGAGAATGGTCTGTGAAGGGGGAGAGCGCCATGACCCAGGGCTCTGGATACTCGAATGAGGCGACTCATTGCGATGCGACGGAATGTGGTCCAGCCGATTGGGAGAACCTCAGAAAGAGCTTTCGACCGTCCTGTGGTGTGGTGATAGGAAAGAGAAGAAGGACCCCGCTCCCCATCCACTGCCTTGTCCTCGCTGTTCCACGGGACGCCGTCAGCCTTTCGGTTGCATGAAAAATAAAATTATTGGAATTTGTTGGACGGTTATTTTCCAACAACCGAGGGCGTCGCGATAACGGCGCGTTTCAGCGGAGATCGCCGCCATTTCGCTGCCACGTGTGAACTCAACCTGGCGAGGAACAAAAACTGTTTGTTGTCTCTACTGTATGCTCTCTCAGCTCAGCTCAGCTCAGCTCAGCTCACCTCAACATGTCCTCCACTTCCGACCTGCGTAAGCGGAAATCCAACCCCGTCCTACGATCAGACGACATTCGCAATGGAAACTCGACGGCTTTGCTCAAAGTCAATGCGGTTCCGACAGAGCACGGACAAGAGATGGACAAGAAGTTGGATGAGCACCAGACGTAGGTTCAGAGCGAGAGGCTGGTTACTGATCCATTCACAGATACGAATTCGGAGGGCCCGTTGGCGTCACGGCGATGATGGTCGGCTTTCCACTGCTCATGTGTGAGTGGGGTTTGTAGAATGATCGCTCACAAACCTAGACTACCTCTGGATATGCCTTTGGTACTACCAAGGGAGATTCGTCCATCCGACCTCGGTGGAGGACATTGGACCTTTCTTCCGCCGGATGTGGATGCATTGTCTCGATGTGGGTGAAGCTCCGCCCATGTTCTGACCCTCACAGGGCGCGTACCCCAACGCTTTCGCTTGGAAGACTTACCTCGGCTTGACATTCGGCGAACTCTTCTTCGCGGCCGTGTTGCCCGGAGTCACCCAAAACGGTCTACCGGTCCCATCCTTGAACTATGCCACCCTGCCATACCACTGCAACGCCCTTTTTTCATGGTACTCCACCCTCCTCGTTGCTTTCGGTCTACACAAGACTGGGATCTTCCGGCTCCCATGGATCATTGAAAACTTTGGTCATCTGATGACCGTCGCCATCATCACCTCATTCGCTTGCTCCCTCGCCATGGATCTCTTGGCTAGAGGTTTCCACTGGGGAGGTAAACCATTGAGATTGAGCCACAACCTCGTCTACGACCATTTCATGGGCATCTCACTCAATCCGCGTCTCGGACCAGTCGACCTCAAGATGTTTGCTGAAGTCAGAGTCCCATGGGTCCTCTTGTTTCTCATCTCTGTATCTGGCGCTGTCAAACAGTATGAAGAACTCGGAAGAGTCACCTACAACATGGCACACATGGTCTTTGCAACGGGGCTGTACATCAACGCGTGCGCGAAAGCCGAGCACATGATCCCACAGACTTGGGACATGTTCCATGAAAAGTTTGGATGGATGTTGATCTTTTGGAATATGGCCGGAGTGTGAGTATTTGCCGGAACATGTCTGATCAACTCGCAGACCATTCACCTACTGCTACCCCACCATCTTCATGGTTCGTGCCTCGCCATCGACCTACGAATTCCCACTCTGGGGCAACATTGCCATGTTTGTCACCCTTTGCACTTGCTACTACATCTTTGACTCGTCCATGGCCCAGAAATCGACGTTCAAGATGCAACAGCAGGGCGACTACAAGCCTCGAAATGCTTTCCCCGTGGTCCCTTGGTCAGAGGTCAAGAACCCGACGTACATCCAGACAAAACACGGCAACAAGCTTCTCACTTGTGGGTGGTGGCAATTCGCTCGAAAGATCAATTACACTGCCGATTGGTTCCAAGCTCTGACGTGGGGTCTTACGGGAGGCTTCAACACGCCCATCACCTTGTTTTATCCAATCTTCTTCCTCGCAGTGTTGATCCATCGATGTGGGCGAGACTTTGAAAAGTGCGCGCTCAAGTATGGAGATGACTGGGTAGAGTATTGCAAAGTGGTTAAATACAAGTTTATACCCGGTATCTACTAGAATACTATGCATGGACAATCGACATGTCGGTTCCTCGACGCCTTGCACCGACTCAACCCCCTTTCATCACTGCGCCAGCCAAAGAAAAAGCGGCACGATCCAAAAGTGAGGTCAAGCGGGTCATTGCAAGACGCTTTGACGGTTTGGCTATCACGCGGAGAAAACCATTTCGAGTCTGGGGGACGGGAACGCGAGACCTCTCATCGAGAGTAAGAGAGGAATCGAACTTTTGTGTCCTGGCGAGCGAGAGCGAGAGTCAGTCGCTTCCCAATGCGATGCCATGGGTCACACTCACCACCTTGGTTATTGTTCAAAGAAGGAAGAAAGAGACGAGGTCTGAAAGTTTTGACCTCCTGTTTCATGACGTGGCATTTCTGCTTTGCCGGATGCGGGCGGCCGGCGGCGCGAGGTCGATAACCTAATGCCGTGTTGCCCTTCAGGATCGACTTCCGTCTCAGCGGCACCAGGCCCAGTGGCAGGATCGTATCGTTGCTAGCCAAGCATTGAACAGCACCGACCGCCTCCCGTCATGGCCACTGCAACGCCTCGTCCTCGGTATGACTCGACAAAATCGAACGCGTCGAGCATAGCATGGGGTGTCCCGAGGCCACCGTCCCCAAGTGTAAGCTGCTGTCGCAATGCCGGAAGCTCATCCGCTCAGTACTCGACTACAACGACTGGAAGTAGGGTCAATGCGACAGAATTTCACACATTGATCACTCGGAAAGACCTACGGCAGTCGATAGCATGTTTTGAGGATGTGAGCGCACCCCTCTCCGGAACTCTTTCCCTCTGACCCTTGCAGCTCATGTCCGCCGCTAAAGCCTATCGCAATGCTCTACTCGCCATGTCTTCGGCAACGGCATCATTTGCCACAGCCATGGAGGCTTGTTCAAGGTGCGTTACTTGATGACGCGTACATTGACGACATCGTCGTCAGAGTGAAAGGATGCAGGTCGGCCAATGCGGGAATGTTGAGCGGAGGAGGACTTCAACACCTCATTGCGAATCATGAACAGATCCTAGCGGACACTGTCTATCGCCAATTTGAAATTCCATTATTGGAAGCTCTGGATCATTACAAGCTCATCACCGCGGATAGATTGATAGGCTATGAGAAGAGTCTACACGAACAAAGTGCAAAGATTCGAAAGACCGAAGCGGAGAACCACAAGGTCGGACGGCGGAAGAAGAGAGGTGAGTCTGATTCAGCGCATTGTGTGTCTGTGTGTGTGCTTATGGTGTCAGATCTGCAGCAATTTCGGCAAGCTCTAGCGGAGCTTCAAAAACAGGTCGATGAATTGGATGCCATCAAAGCGGGATATCATGAGGAAGTCTTGGAGGGAGAGGATGAGGTGTGATCCTCATGGGGACGGCGTGCTGACTCGCTCCAGGTCTGGGACAAGATCTTGGGTAAAGTCGCATTCGTCGTCAGAAGTCAACTGGACTTCTACGAAAAGATTGCCGGCAAAACAAGCGATCCGATTCTGGAGCCACTCGTGATGTCGATACCTGATCCATTTGACTCGTACGGTCCACCCAAGGAAGAAGGACAAATCATCAGCGTCTTGTCTCCGTGAGTGGAACGAATGACTCCCTTGCTGATTTCTTCAGCCTTGGGCTCATGGACTCTACTCCCGCCACACCCAATCTTCGATCCAGTCGTTCCAGCCGTCTTGACTCGCCTTCTTCAGCCTCCCCAACCCCTGGTCGGTCGTCGCCTCGAAGAAGTAATCCCTTTCCAGCGGCCCAGCCGTCCCCGTCCCCGTCTCAGCCTCAAACATCGTCCATTTCAGCCATGGGCGTCCCGGGGAGCAGCTGGAGTGAGGACGAGACCACGGAAAACAGTCGAGCAAAGAGAGAACTGAGCGTCATCGATGAGAGAGAAGGTAATGATGGCAGTCTAACCTCTCCGATCACTTCACCTGTCAAGCCTATGAACCCAGATGAGAGTCCCGATTGGGCAGGGTCCAAATCTGCTACGGAAGAGTCTCGCGATACCGAAGATCAGCCGACCGTCAATGACGTTAGCGATGAAGGGACACCGGCGATACAGAGTAGAAAGCTGCGTGGAGTGCTTGGAGATCCTGCTGGTGGGCATAGCCAGGAGGCCTAGGGGACAATGTAGAAAACATTTTGTGCACATTCTTGAGACCAACGACGCGCATTCGAGTGGCAAAGACAAAAAACAGAGTCGCCACGCTAATAAACCGAACAAAGAAGCATCCAGTGACGTCTCGACCTCCTCTGACTTCGACAACCCCCTCTTATCAAGTCTCACTCCTACCTCCCTCTTCAGTATAAAGCCGATTTGAAGAGGGAGGGTATCTGTCCCTTTCGTGCTATTGCATCATGGAGTTGCCAAGTTTCCCCGCACCGTCCAATGATGTCTCCCTCATCGGGACTCTGTATTCGCCAGGTGCAGGAACTCGTCTACCAATATGGCTCTTGGCTCTTTGCGGGACGTTTACAGCCATCGGTGAGAATGCCATTCGCGACTGCTACCTATCTATTTCTTGGACGCGCTGACCCCTCGCCCACCTCATAGCCACCGGTGTCTCGATCATGAGCATCACGCTGCAATTGAAGAACTACCGAAAGCCTTCACTCCAGCGATACGTCGTCCGCATCATGGTCATGTGAGGTGCTCGCCTCCTTCCAGTCCACTGACAGCTCTCTAGGGTCCCATTATACGCTATCTCATCACTCATCGCCATCTTCTCACTTGAAGCTGCCTTCGTCATTGACGCCGTTCGAGACTTATACGAGGTATGTCGCCGCGCCTAATCCTGCTTATAACTTCCAGGCCTTTGTCATTTACACCTTTTTCCAACTCCTCATCACGTATCTCGGTGGCGAGCGATCCCTCCTCATCATCCTACATGGTCGTCCGCCAGCCCCACATCCGACACCGTTCAATTGGATCTATAAACCGATGGACGTCAGTGATCCGTGGACATTGTTGAATCTCAAGCGGGGTGTCTTGCGTGAGCGGCGTCTCTCGCCAGCAAAACTCATGCTCGTACAGAATATGTCCAGGTTAAACCCTTCTTAGTCATCGCAACCATCGTTCTCAAAGCTACTGGCTTGTACCAAGAAGGCAGGTTCTCCGCCGACTCGGGATACACCTATGTCAGCATTTTGTACAATGCTAGCATCTGTTTGAGTCTTTAGTGAGTGCCAAATGGCTTGGACAGAATCTTACCACCAGCTGTCTCGCCATGTTCTGGGTCTGCGTCAGTCGAGACCTGACGCCGTTCCGCCCGGTCCGTAAGTGGGAGGCTGCAGACCTAGACACTCACAGGACTCAGCCAAATTTCTCTGCGTCAAAGGCATCCTCTTCTTCTCCTTCTGGCAAGGCATCGCAGTCTCCCTGCTCGTAGCCGCGGGGCTCATCAAGAAAGGCAAGTCCTGGCATGATCCGGCCTGACCCTCACAGTCGGTGTCTATACCGATGCCGAGCACATGTCTCAAGCGCTAGTCGATTCTCTAATCTGTTTCGAAATGCCAATCTTTGCCATTGCACATGTGAGTCGAGTAGTGACCGGACTGACGGTGAAGCAATATGCCTTCCGAGCAAGCGACTATATCGACCCATCTCTCAAACATCAGGCCAGACTTCCCTTTACCTACGCCTTGCGCGATGCGTTTGGACTCAAAGACGTTTGGGAAGATTCCAAAGACACATTTCGAGGTCAAGGAATCTCATACCAAGCGTATGAGCCAGCCGAAGGTGCACTTCACTATGGTCTCGGAAGGCAAAAGCGGATTCGAGCTGGTCTTCGATACTCCAAAGGTGGGAAAGCAAAATATTGGCTCCCTACCCCAGGTTCTAGCCTGACTCGAGGCGAACGCGGTCCTATCGCATCGCTGAAGCGCAAATTGGACAAACGTCGAGCCGCGAGAGAAGGGTATGCACCATTGTTGCCTGAGCAGGCTGCTCGTGTAGTTCACGATGACCCGGAGGAGTCGAACGACGGTTTCCATCGACCAGAATGGAGTGGACTCTCCACTGGCCTGTTCACTCAGAGCGATTCGGATGGATCAGACGCGGCCAGTCTGGACTTTGATTCCGTGACTGACGATGAGGACAACTCGTACGAACGAGCGAGAAGAATAGGATATGCCGGTTTCCCCAACATCGATGTCAGTCAGGAAGAGGCCAAACGAAAGCGATGGGAGGAAGAGGAGGCTATTTTGGCTGGACGACGAAACGATCGAACGCCTGGACCGAGTCGACAGGGGAGCTCGTCAAAGGTGCCCACGACGGAGAATGGCAAGGGCAAGGGAAAACAGGCGGTCTACGGAGCCTGTGAGTGGGTCGTAGAATCTTGTCGCTGACCTTATAGGGGCGGATCGGATCTCACAGTATGATACGCCAGGCAATTCGCGCCAAGTGTCAAGTTCGTCCATTAGAGGGCGTAATCCTACCGGTGAAGGCGATTGGCTGGTCCCAGCACAACAAGTGGACCAAAAGACGAGCAAAAAGAGCCGTCTGGACAAGCTCAAACCTCCCATGCGTAGGAGTCAATCCAACAAGTCGAAGAACTCGGCGTTCGCGGTTGGAGAAGACAGTGATGACGAGCCGCCCGATACAAAGTCACAAATCAAGCGGCTGCCATCCGATGCCAGAGATCTAGTCGTCGAGGACCCAGAAGCAGTCGAAGAGGCTAGAGCGAGAGAGCGACGTCGCGGTGAACCTCAGACGAAAGCTCCCGCACATATCTATGTTCATCGTCATTCTCCCGAGTTACAGCGTGTGCCCAGTCCCCGAAAATCTTTGGACAAACCGAATGGCAAGAGCGATCCCAAGGAGAGTGACCCAGTGGACATTGAAGAGGTCTATTCTCCTCCTCTGCCTGATGAACAACCCGTCTCGGAGAGTGTGGGCGAGAACAAGCCCATCGCAGATGAGATGGAGAGGATAGAGCAGATGAAACGGGCCATAATGCCCACTCCTCCTGCTAGTAGACAGACGACCATGAGGACCAACTTCTACGACGAAGATAACCCGTGGGCATAGCGTGTCTGTTGGGAGAGGATAGAATGCATTGTCTGGAATCTAATCCAAGTCGTCAAACATCCCGCCGCCACCCTCGTCATTGACTCTAGCCTTCCTCGCCTGCTTCTCCGCTTTCAACTCCTTCTTCAGACTCTGATATTCTACAGCATCTTCCTCCCCACCGCCCTCGTTCTTCTTGCTCGCCCGCTTGAACGCTTCGACGGGTCCAATGTCTTCACCTCCCTCAGCCAAATGCCTCTCCCACTCTTCGGCTTTCACTTTGTCCCTCTTTTCCATCCGAATCTCCTTCTTTGCCCTCTTTTCCTTTTGCTCGGACCACGGTGCTCTCATCTCCGCTTGAGCTTTCCGTTTTTTCTCCTCCCGTTCTTCGTTCCGCTCCTTAAGGGTTTGGGCTTTTTCCAATAGTGCCATCTGCCGAGCTGCTTCGCGTTGCTTTGAAGTGTACGCAAATGCGTCCCACTGAGGCGGGTGAGTTTGAGCCACAAGGAGCAGCTCACATTCACATCGGCATCTTCCCACGACGTCTCTTCTTGCACTGCACCATCTGCTTCTACCTTCTTTGACTTGATTCTCTGCTTCCAATCCCTCACTTCAGGCATAGCAGGAAGCCTCAGTAGCCCAAACGCAGTCGCCATACCTCCAAGATCGAGTTCAGGCAGTCGAAAGACGAACGAGGCTTCGTGTTTTGTATATGCACGCAGCGACGATACGTATGCCTTGGCAGCCTGTTTGGGTGTGAGCTGGACTCCAGGGCCGAGGTGTTATTCACCTTGTCCGCCATCTCTCTATCGGTGAGCACAATCTTGCGAATCTCATCTCGAAGCGCAATGGCGCCTTCGTCCAGTTTCGGCGGATCCTCGGTTTCAGCGAGCTCAGAGTCCAAGTAAGGATGTCGATTGAGAGGAATCTTTCGTACTCGCAGGAATTCTGATCCCACATTAGATCGTCGCGGTCTTGATAGCTCACCGATATAGTCTTCTTCTCTTCCTTGTCCAAGAAGAATGACGGCCTTTCCCTTTCGTCCTGCACGAGCCGTTCTCCCCGCTCGATGACTGAAAGTTTTGGGATCTGTTGGTGCGTCGAATTGAAGCACCACGTCCACATCTTCAAAGTCTACACCGCGTGCAGCGACGTCTGTACACAGCAGGACTGAAGGGGCGAGACTGGAGGATGCGTGTGTGATGTAGCCTTCCATCGCTTTCTCCCGTATACGTGGAATGAGATCTCCGTGTAATGAAGCGAATGTGAAGGCCTTCAGGGCTCGCAGTCGGGAGAGAATCTGCTTATCAGCCTGTCTATGAAACCTAGGCTCACCCTGTAGAAGTAATCCACGGCGGCTCCGGTCGAGAAGTAGATGATGAATTTGGCAGCCTGATTGTGGTGGGATTCAGACAGCAGCAGCCTGATCAACTGCAACGTCTTCTCCGCCTGCCGGCAGACCAGGTACTTGTTCTGAAGTCTGCGAAGTATAAGGCGGGCGCAGGTAGTCCCTCACTCACGTTGTTGGCAGACGTCTTTCGATTGCTTCTTGACCACTCGTCTTTTCTCTCATATTGACGACGATCTTGACAGGGTTTCTGAGTCCAATACCGACCATTTCCTCGACTGCATCCGTCATGGTCGCTGAAAAAAGGTGTGTCCTCCTCTGCTTTGGCAAGTGACTCATGATCTTTTCGAAATCTTTCCTGTGGTCTGGAGAGGACAGCAACCGATCCGCTTCGTCGAGTATGAGTGTGTCGAGATCCGAAACGCGAGCCACCGATGATCCACGAGGGGATAAGAGGAAGGAGGAGAGTCGACCAGGAGTCCCGATGAGAATGTTCGAAGATTGGCTGAGGAACGTCTCGTAGAGATTCGTGGAGCCTGACGTGACCAGTATTGGCAGGGAGAGATCGTGTGGTGACGGTGAGCTGGAAGATGAAGCTTCGGGAGAGGGCGATGATTGTCGACGATGGAAAGCAGATATGAAATGGTGAAAGACTTCAAATATCTGTTGAGCAAGTTCCCTGAAGACTTGAGCGCAGTATCTATCATTGCGACTCACCTGGTCGGCGCGATGACGATCGCTGCGACTTGACCTTTTTTGTACGGCTCTTCACGTCGGAATATCCTTTCCAGAACGGGGATCACGAATGCAAGCGTCTTGCCTGACCCAGTCACAGCCTAAAACGCTCAGCATACTTGCGCAGGGCTTCTGACTCACCTCTACCACACAGTCCTGGTTCTTCATCGCCCTGGGTATGACTCCAGACTGGACTGGTGTTGTCCTCTCAAATCCCAACTCTTCCACAACGTCCAGTCTGCCTCATCAGCCCTGAGCTCTGTAATGGACTTACATCCAGGGAGAGAGTTCTGGCCTGATATTGGCCCATCTTGGACCCAACGATGGGGCCGAAGGACCTCTCCGAGCCATCTGGAGTGAATTCACAGGCGCTACCGCGTGCTGCTTGTCGAGCCAAGGCAGCTCATAATATGAGCGACGATACGCACAAAATATTTACAGACATCACGTGGACGATCGAGATTTCGAAATCTTAGCTGCAGCTGGATCAATCTGCTGTCATTTGCTCATCTCGACGCAATATGAGCTCCATGCGAAACAGCATCGCCGTTTTGACCAGCTCAGCCCGAGCATCAGGATCTAGATCTGTCCGCACTCCTGCCAAGCTGGCAAGGATCAATCCTCTGCCGTCTCGTAACCTTGCCGGGAGGACATACGCGACGAGAGAGTCTGCCACCAGGGATCGATCACAAGTTGGCGTATGTCACAGCAACGAGCTCCATGCTGACAGACTCAAAGCCTGCGACCTGGAAAGCTGCACTCTTGTTCGTCGCTACGGGAGCTGGACTCTATTTTTACTTTGAGAATGAAAAGGAGAAGCTGAGGCTGAAGAAGAGTGAGTCTTGTCAAGAAGCGTACTGACGATACAGTCGCGGAACAATCGACCAAGTCGATCGGTAAACCATCGATAGGCGGTCCATTCAATCTCGTCGATGCCGATGGCAAACCATTCACAGATCAAGACCTGAGAGGAAAATGGACATTGATGTACTTTGGTTTCACCCATTGTCCTGATATTTGTCCTGAAGAGTTGGACAAAATGGGTGCGGCGGTGGATCTCATCGAGCAGAAACATGGACTCGGAGCCGTCTTACCCGTTTTCATCTCTGTGGATCCGGCTAGGGACAGTGTCCCACAAGTCAAACAGTACATTCAAGGTGAGTCATGGTAGTGCGTGCAGCTGAAGTGACCAGACTTTCATCCTCGTATGATTGGTCTGACTGGAGACTATGAGTCTGTCAAGAGGGCATGTAAATCATACCGCGTCTACTTTTCTAGTCCGCCGAATGTGAAACCGGGCGAAGACTACCTCGTCGATCACTCGTGGGTCCAGGTCTCGGTGTTGATGACTGATCACGTAGCATCTTTTTCTACCTCATGGACCCGCTCGGCCAGTTCGTCGACGCTTTCGGCAAAGCCACCAGCGCTCACGAGGTCTCTGTCAAAACGATGGACGCGATGAAACGGTGGGAAGCAGCGGGCGGGAACAAGGCCGCGGGAGTGTGAGGGAATCATGTCATCTCGCGTGTTATATGTACAACTCTCAACATGCCACCAGATTACGCCACCCAATCCAGTATCGGTTAATCGTCCACGAACAAAGATCGCAGATCTTGATTCCAGTCCAGCAATGTTCGGCTGGCATGGTAGAATCACAACTCCATAGGGTTCTCTCTCGTGCCTACGACCGTTTGCGAGCGACCTGGCGTGGAGGGCACCGGAAAAGATCGCCTTTTGAGCTTGCTATTACTGAAAGGCTTGAGCTTGCTCTTGTCGACCCGAGATCCAATCTTGCCACCGCTAGAAGGGGCTGTATAATCTGGAGGATCTTGTTGCTCGGGTTTTCCAGCGTGCTTCGGAGTCGCAGTCATTGAGGCTGTCGGGCCCTTGCTGGCTCGATCTGGTCCCTCGCCTGGCTGCTGTCCACTAGAATCGTCTTCCCAGGGATTACGGCGTACAGCTCCTGCGTGCTCATGTCGAGGGACCTCATCGTGACGAGGATCATTTCCACCCACTGCACTCATCATGTCGTCTTCCGGTAGAACGTCTGCAGCTGAAAACTCCGCATCATCCGAGGCGTCTCCCTCTGCGCTGTCCTCCGGAAACAAGGCTTGCAATTCATCCACATGTTGGATAACCTTGGCCACAAAATCTAGAGTATGCTCGACCAGACCTTGAATATAGCCAGCATGATACGTTGGATCGAATGAAATCATCAGACTCGCAGCGGTCAACTTGGACTTTTTCAATCTGGGACCAAAGTCAGCGCGAGAGGCATTCTACATCGGGGAAGGCTCCTCACCCTTGAGCTTGATTCAGCCATCGATGTACCGTCTGTTGATAAGTCGCAAGACGCTGAGCATACGCCTCAAACTTTTTTGTACGCATGAATCGATCATCCACTGATCCTTCAGGAGACTTCTTGAGAGATGAAGGGAAATACTCTGAAATGATGGGAGCATATTGATCGACTTTTGCCGAGCTGCAGATGAAGACTGCGGCGTGCTGACACCGTCAGAATGAGTCGACTCTTGTAGCTCACATAGAGTCGGAACCTCAGGGACAATTCTGCCAGTTGGACTGAATAATGCCCATTCTCACCACCTAACACCATCTCCTCCAAAACTTCCACCTCGTCGCTCGAGAGGCATCCATGCTCGTCCAATCTCGACTCTGGCACCTGTCTGTCCTGTAATTCACGCACGAGCTCCTGCTCCAATCTCAACGCCTCGCTGGCTTCGCTAAAGACGCTTTCTGCAATTTGTTGAAAGGTCGCTAAATACGTCAAGGCCGTGGGCAGGAAATTGAAGAGTGGTTCTGGCGCGAGCAAGAGGTGTAAAGCCTCTGCGAGCTTTTCAAGGGTCGCTGGCGGGTCTGAAGGAGGAGTGTAGGTGGAGAGCATGGACGTTGTCATGTTGCAGTCATGATGTATCAGAGAGGGACACGACAAATGCAATGTTGTCGACAATAGTCGACGCGCTTGATTTCGTGGCAGGCAAGACGGCGTGCATAATAATCGTTACAATCGTCTCTGACATTACTAGATGAACCCATGGTCATGATGTTCTCCGAGCAGATCCCAAGCACAAATTCCCGGGAGCCTGCCTTTCCTCAAGCTGTGCGCAACGCCGCCGCCGTATCCTCCTTCTTTTGCTCCTTCTCCCTGACAAAGGTATCAGTGTCTCTGGAGAATTTGGTACTGACTTTTTCCTTCCATACAGGATCTCTCGCCGAACCCGTGCTCTATCTTCGTCGGTCTCCGCGTCTTCCTCGGCGTACCTGATGGCTCTTATACGATCCTGGTGCTCCCTCTCTTCAGCTTCGGCATTCTCCTTGAGCTCTTGAGATTTCTCCTCTTCTGTCTGCTCGTGTGAAAGGCCGACAGCTGATTTGAATTTGGTGACGAGGTTCTTCTCCTTCTTCGTAGCGGAGCCGTATTTGCCAAGTCTGCATCGATCAGCTTCGAATCCGTATGCATGACTTGCCCCCATAATGTCTGGGCGTCGTCAGCGATTCTCTGAACCCCTGACTCACCATGACACTCTTGGCTATCTTGACGTGAGACAAATCTGCACCCTTGTCTTCCATCTGAGCAACGAATGATCGAAAGTGCTGCGGGATCAGGGGTGTTCAGAGAGGCTACTCACAGCGATTGAACTTCTATAGTGCCCGCTCAGGGGATTCAGACTCTTGATCAAGCCTTCTTTCACAACAATGATGCCTGCAGAGGTCACTTTACCGCCTCCAAGGACTATCGAGGGTCAGGGTCGGCCACAGTCGATGGATCTCACACGAAGAATGCTGAAACTCTCCACTCTTCTTGATACCGACAAAAAAGTTCATGTTCAGGTCGGACACGTAGATCCAGGTATTCCGTCTGAGCAGTCAGGAATAATAGCTCACGTCACTCGCCTGATCGTCTTCCGCAACAGCTTCTTCTTGATACCCTTTGGTCCAAGCTTATTCTTCTGCCTTGAGAACCAATTGTTACCGTTCGGCTTATCGAGTCCCACGTAGTGCGTGTCTTCATTCTCATGTAGATCCGATCCGGCGGAGTAGCTCGCCGAGGAGTCTGAGGTGAGTGAGGAAGAGTCTGATTCATCACCAGGTGTGAATCCTGTCTTGCGATCGTCATTTGGGATGATGCCTTTGCCATGTCCGGCGTCTTTCCATCGATTACGGGCGGTATCGACCTGCAGATGTAAGCTCGGGAACGACCCAGGACTGACTAGCTCGTCGTTCCTGTCCCTGGGGAGTGAGTAGGGGCAACTAAGGTAATACCTACCATCTCAAAAGCCCATTGTCATCCACATAGACCAGGTAGTTGAGCCTCTGCTCGCCCGACAGATACCTATGATATCAGGCCGTGGCTCAAATTTCCAGCTCACAGGATACGCTCCCTCTCCAACCGCTCTCTTGGCAATTCTTCGAGGTCTAGGTTCTTGCCCTCTCCACGATCCAGCCTGTTGTACCATCAGTCATGTAAATTGTATTCACTCGCCATCGGAAAAAGTTGTCTTCGGTGTCCGACTCCTTCCATGCTCGAAAGTAGTACTTCATGTTGCTGCCTTGGTGGCTTTCAGCGAGAGCCACCATATGCGACATACCATAACGATGCTTGCCATCAATCATCTCCAACCTTCCCGTCAGTGCCGAGCGAGGTTCAGGCTCACCAATGTTGCTGCTCCAAAGATTTTGACTGATAAGGCAATATCTCGTTCTCATCGCGTTCTTTCCCCACGCCCTTGGATAAGGTGCCCCAGAACGTCGCTCTCCGTGCTTTCCTAGTCTCCTCATCCAGTACCACACGTGGCCGAACATGACTCGCAGGCACAGGCGCGGCTCTCAGTCCATCCCCGTGCTCCATCCTCGCTGCTGCTTGCGCAGCCCGATGCCACCGCGACTTGACATCGTTCCGATTATCCAATTGATCTTCCGCATATTGCTTATCCTCTGCAGCTCGTTTCAGATCATCCCATCTGTCGCTAGTTGACCTAAATGTGTCAGCCTGAATGCGGGCCTTGTGCACATGCATTTTCGTAGCTGCATGCCTTGTCTGATAGCCTCTCCAATGTTTCTGGAGAGTGACGGCTGCTTCCTCCTCGGATAGATGTTGACGTGAGCTTGATTCGGGCTGTGTTGAGATGGCAGGCACAGGTTGTACCGTTGATGTTGTAGCCACGCCATCCCTCTGAGCATGGTTGATGGTCTCCATTGTTCTCTTGGCCGGTCCCAGACTTTTATAGGGGGTTTTAGAGTTTCGTAACCGGCAGGGTTGCGTTCCGTCGTTTCGTCGTGTGGCGACAGCGCTCAGCACAATATGTCAGTGCTAGAATGGAGCGCACTTCGTGGTGATGGCGAGCAGTACGTGCAAGATTGATCGACCGAGTCGCCTTGGTCATTCACAAATTGCTGCCTCATCCTCGCAGGAAATTCCGCTCAATGTTTTAATTTTGGACACTCGGATCAGGCACCATGACGTCACGAATCTGGCTCGGATGTTACATCCCATTTCATAGTGATCAGTATGCACGCTGTTGACGGTCCATGCTATGAGATGTTCGAGCCTATGATTCTTATGATGCACCAGGCCAGCTCTTACTCGCTCTCGGCGTAGTCCAAGCCCACCGACCAAGCTCTGTTCCTTTTGAAATCGGCCAATCTAGCTTCCAAACGTGGAATCATCATGTTGAAAGCTTGTTGACCGAATGGCAATCGTTCAGGAAGCAGCTCTCCAGAGGCTAGGATATCCAGAATCCTCCCGGCACCTTTGACCGGATCGAGAGGGGCTTTGTCTCTGGCTGAGTGTATCCACTCGACGATGGGCTGAAGAAATGGAACGGAAGTCTTGCTTTCAGGCGACTTGTCCAGGAATGGCGTCTTGATAGATCCAGGCTGGAATGTCAGGCATAAAGCAAGCGCATGCTCACCTGTATAGGCTTCACTTGCAAATCATATCCTTTCACTTCGTTTCTCAAAGTGTCCGCCAAGGCAGTGACTGCAGCTTTGCTAGTGCTGTAAGCACCACAGATGGCGAACCCATGCTCAAATACTTGAGTCGAATTGAAGACAAAGGCTGCCCCTTTGTTATCGACCATGTGAGGCACCAATTTCAGAGGTCCCCAAAAATTTGTATCGAACACCAGCTCCCAGTCCTTGAGATCGCTCTCTAGGATGCTACCCATTCTTGTCGTCCCAGCATTGAGGAAAACCCAATCGATCCTACCGTATGCATCTTTCGCCTCTTGGGCCGCAGTCTTGAAGGTCTGCTGTGCTGTCGAGCTGGATCACCTTGGCCCCCGCGTTGATGATGGTCTGCGGAGCCTCGATGGATCGATTCAAAGCGACGACTCGGTGTCCTCGTTTGAGAGCTTCCACGGCGAGCTCCTGGCCTGTGTGACGAGTCAGTCGAAATCTCGGGGAAGTGACTGACCAATACCGGAAGAGGCACCTGTGATCGGAATGACTTTGTCCGCCATGACAGCAGTGTGCGATCAGCGGAAAGGTCTGGCAGTGGGGCGCAACGTCTTATACGCACCCCGTACGAGCATGATATACCACGCCTTGGCTCTGACAGATGTGATGCTATCTCAGATCTGCTGACTCATACCATTCCTCATGTCGCGCGGCGTTTCAGATCTCGCTGATCGAGCTCAGTACTCATTCCTCAACAGGTGGGTACATACTCAAGACACGGCATCTCGCTGGGGATCGAATATGCATCCAAACGTCTCTCAAGGTGTGTGGCGCATGCCTAAAGCCCACATTGTTCTCGGACCAGAACATCCTCACGTTGGTCGACCGCATAATAGGCAGCTGCACCAGCGAGAGTCGACGGGCTGAAGGTCCTGCTCCTTCGGTGCTCAATGTCAGTGCTATTGAAGCACCACCCCAGTGCCATTTAAAGTATACGGGCCACAGACGATCGCACACCCCGAGACCCCCCCCCCCTTCCCCCGGCGCGGGACCCGCTCTCCCCCTCTCCCCCTCTTTCTTGAATTCGCGCCGGGAGGATGTTTCCAATGGCGTGTATGACTAGAGGTGCGGATCTCGCGCAATACAGCCCAAGCATGGAGCTGATCGCAAAAGTCCCTGGAACACATGCAGGGATACAGCTCGGCATGCTGCTGCGGCGTTCTCCGCCAAGCGCCGGCCCACCGCTGACGTTGCTTTGAGGATTTCATTGCCTCTATCATACACACCATGCCAGACGACAACCCATGCACATTGACACTGGAGAATGGGACCCATTACGACCTTTCCTCGCTAGCATCTGCGAAAGCAGACTACGAGACCATCATCAGCGGGACGAGCTACAAGTTGAATGTCTGTCGAGGAGTCGTCAGTGAAGTGTGGAAGCTCGATGACCCGGATTCGACAGGAGGGTTTGCGCATCGTGATAGTGGAGACTTCTCATTGGGGTGAGAACACACGCCAGGTATACGTGCTGACTTGTTCAGGCAAGTCAACACGACATTACACATTTCACCTTCGACCCATGAACCCATGCTCTACCTTCAGAATGGCTCGGCGTGTCCTTTGAATTCTGGAGAGTATGCCTCTACAGTCATTCGAGTGGGTCCTTGCACCTGACCCTCAGCTGAAGAACAGTTCATCTGCAGCCCAGAAGACTTTGACGCCGGCAAGCCGACCCTGGTAGCTGCATTACCTCCACTAGACTCTGGCAACCCGTGCCACTTTTTCTTCGAGTGGAAGACACATGTCGCTTGCAAGACCAATCCAAAGGCGGAGCTCAAGTCCCACCACCTCATAGGGTTTGGAGCCTTGTAAGTGGTAACTGGAGGTGCATCTGACGAACCTCGTAGCGTCTTCATCATATTAGCCTGGTTCATTGGTCACACTGCGTACAATCGATTCGTTCTGCAAAAGAGGGGAATGGATGTCTTCCCGATCCCGAGGATCACACGGCAGCTTCCCAGTCTCATGCCGACAGCCAGTGCCCCTTCCTCTTCTTCTAAGAAGCCCCGATGGGGTATCGGAAGACGGTCACAGAGAGGTTATAGTAACGTCAGGGCAGATGATAATGATGAGGGGGAGGGATTCGCTGGGAGATTCAGTCTAGAAGATGATGAGGACGATGTCGGAGGGCCGAGCGGAGGGGACGCGAGAGAGTTAGGAGGAGACACTGAAGCTTGGAGAGGACAACGAGGTCAATCATCGTCCAATCACGATACACAGGGGAACAAGCCAGGTGCTCATCAGGGTCTGGTGGATGTATAGTGGTGCATGCACTAGAAAAAGGTGCCACACTCGGCGTTTCCGCACGTTTATGAGAAGCAGCCCTTCTCGATCGAGCCCAAGTGGTCATAGTGATACATCTTGGTGCTCGACGTGCATGCACATCACCTCTAAGCATAGGGTGATCACCTCGTTCAGAGTAGAAAATGATGATCCGTAACTTGACTCCCTTGGCCAGGAGGCTAGGATCGACATCGACATTCCGCCCGATTACCACTTCCTCCGTCCGATCGCTAGCCACACCTCAATCCTCGCAGATAACTTCCGATGAGCCTGCTCGTCCAATAGCTGCAACGAGCAAAATCTTACCTGTGGACGAGTTCTCAGGATCGTGAGTCGTATTTCAGATCTTTGGCTTACTTATTTCCAGGCTTGGTGTACCGTTGGATGGTATCACGTCGTTGAAGGAGCAGTTGACCACTGACCCTAACATGAAGCATTTCACCGGTCAGCACAACCCTACTGGCGGCACGCTGATGTCTCGCAGTCAACTTTGGACCGCAACACCCGGCCGCTCACGGTGTGCTTCGGTTGATTCTGGAATTGAATGGAGAAGTGAGCCCGAATCCCCCAGGATGCCATACTTACTGCCAGGAAATCCTTCGAGCGGATCCTCACATTGGACTCTTGCATAGAGCCACGGAGAAGCTCATCGAATACAAGACCTATACTCAAGCTCTCCCCTACTTTGACCGACTCGATTATGTCTCTATGAGTGAGCTTATGTGTCGGAACTCGCTCACACTGTCCAGTGACCAACGAGCTTTGTTTCTCCCTCGCCGTCGAGAAACTCCTCAATATTCAAGTGCCCGACCGTGCCCAGTGGATCAGAACGCTATTCGGAGAGATCACTCGTATTCTGAATCACCTCATGGCCGTCTTGACCCACGCCATGGATGTTGGAGCTCTGACGCCCTTCTTGTGGGGCTTTGAAGAGCGAGAAAAACTCATGGAGTTCTACGAGCGAGTATCCGGAGCACGAATGCACGCCGCCTACGTGCGACCCGGTGGAGTCGCTTTCGACATCCCCCATGGATTGTTGGACGATATCTTCAAATGGGCCACTCAATTTTCCAGTCGAGTGGACGAGATCGAGGAGTTGGTCACTGGAAACCGAATCTGGAAACAGAGAACAGTCAACATTGGAGTCGTCACGGCTCAAGAGGCCCTCGATTACAGTTTCTCAGGTGTCATGCTGCGTGGAAGTGGTGTTCCGTGGGATTTAAGGTGGGTCATAGCACAGGGTGGCCGTTGACTCCCCTACAGAAAGGTTCAGCCATACGACAAGTATGCAGAGGTCGAGTTTGACATCCCGGTCGGCAAGAACGGAGACTGCTGTGAGAAATATCCCCTTATCTTCGGGCTAATAGCTAGACGACCGTTACCTCTGCCGTGTCCAAGAGTTCAGGGAGTCATTGCGAATTATCAACCAGGTGAGAGATCCATGCCGGATTCTTTTCTCACGTCGTCCAGTGCCTCAACAAGATGCCTGCTGGTGCCGTCAAGGTCGATGACCACAAGATTGTACCCCCACCTCGAGCGTCTATGAAGGAGTCCATGGAGAGTCTGATCCACCACTTCAAGGTGAGCATGATTCCGTTCTCTGCTGAGACTCGTAGCTCTTCTCTGAAGGCTACTCGGTCCCGCCTGGCGAGACTTACTCCGCCATCGAAGCTCCCAAGGGAGAGATGGGAGTATACCTCGTTTCCGATGGTACAAACCGACCGTACAAGTGCAAGATCCGAGCCCCTGGATTCGCTCACTTGGCGGGATCCGACTTTATGATGCGCGATCACTTCCTCGCGGACGCCGTCACTATCATTGGAACGATGGATCTGGTGTTTGGCGAAGTGGACAGATAAAGACAATGATTGGACCATGTTGTATAATTATGCATGAATACAGGTGCCGGGTTGCGTTACAGCTCGTGAGAATGATTCATCGTGTTTGACTACTGTCATTGTCACCACGCGTTCCACCTACACTGAGCAACATACCAGTTCATCCCCATGCCGTGCTATCCGTTGTCCGGGCGTTGGAGACAATCCAAGATATCCAGCTGTGAAAACTCTCAAGATTCGATTCCATCTCCTAAGTGCAGGTAATGACAAGGCCGAGGCATCGTCCTGGGTCTGGTCAGCCCTAGGAGACACATCACTCATCACTCACGCTTATCCTGTGCCAAACGTTTGGGAACGGAAAAGAGATGACGTGCAGGATACTGACGCCTCGCTCGACAAACTGACATCAGTCTCGTCTCCCTCTGTGTGCTCACAGGTACATGGTCATCCCCTATCATTCCTCGCCTCTGTCTTTGAGATGAGAACCAACCCTCTTCTCCAGCTTCCACCTCTACCAATCCCTCTTGACGGAGATGTCTATCCGCCTCGGACAGTTGATCAAAGAGCCAATCTGTTTCGCGATAGTAGGATGAGATCCGAGAGCGGGAGTTGCCTGAAAGGTCAGCCAGGTGTCATGATTTGTGACGTACCGAGCAGATCTAGAAGGACGAGGACGTCGATGGTATCTAAAACATTGGGCAAAGGTGCATATCTCCGCTTGGCAAGTGGATGATCCGGTTCGAGAATCGTATCCTCCCATCGTTGAGCCAAATGTCTCGATATAAGCTCACATCTCAACGCCATTAAGACCCACCTCGCACCGTAGATCGAATCCGTCGTTGTCCAATCATGAAAAGCCTCTTCACCATCAAAGAAGAGGATCTGCAACGTCGTCTCGGCCGCTTCTTCCTCGTCCAATCCATCTCGTAAGATCCCCTGACCAGCTTCTATCCTCTGTTGTCGGGCCCTGAGTAAGGGTGTGAGATTTTCAGCGAGGTCCAAAAGCATAGCACAAGGAGCCGCGGAGTCTGTCGCCCCGACGAACTGTGGCCGTCAGCTAAATGACACATCAGAGCTCACCTGATTGTCTGGATAGTTTGGGAACCATTTACTGTCGAAATGGGCTGCGAGGACAATCTTTCGCGGGGCCGACGGATCAAACGTGTAGATCAGGTTGGTGAAGTCTATCTGGCCAATCGGAGTGGTATCGGTGAAGGAATCCTTGAGGGAAAGTGAGTGGTGGTTGTACAGCTGTTGAAACTCACCTTTTCCTCGTGCCAGCCAAGGCGAGAGAACACTGTGGAGATGTACTCTTGGACCAAAGCACTGGAGTCAGTAGGTCCAAGAAGGCTGACCTCACTTATTCTGAGAGCCAGCTGTAGAGATGAGCACTCATCCTGTCGAAGACAGACTCACACACACGAGGCACCAATAGTTTGCCCAAATGGCCTTCATTTACATCTTGCCATTGGGGTGGATCTGACTCTGCCAAAGTCCGTACTTCTGAACTTGACAATGTGTAGAAATCTCTAGATTGGACCTCTGCTTGGCTGGAATGGAGGGAGAGAAGGGTGATGAGAATGAGAGGCACGGGTTCGAGGAGACGCATACCGCGTGCAAGTGATCGTTTTGCTAAGACGCTGAGTCTAGCGCAGATTCATGGTGTGATGCAAAGAGGCACAATGTCAAGGCTAGTAGTAGGTTCTTTTTCAATGGCATTTTTTGGGTAAACTGTCCGCACCAACTCAGGCGTCTCAGAACCTCATATGCCATGGAATGCATCGAGCTTGAAAAGGTTTCTATTCTCCTCATCGGCAGCCCAGCATGATCATGTGCGTCCTCCTCTCCAGTCTTTACTCGTCATCACCACCGCTCTGCTCAATATAGCGAGATCTGATGTCTTTCCATTGTTTCTAAGAGTGCAGAGCACATTGTCAGTGAGGGTTCTTTCAATGGGATTATAGGATATGAAGATCGCGCCGTGCCTCGCAGAGGGCATCCCGTATAGTCCTCTGCCTCGGAAGAAGCTTCACTCACCCCTTTGTTATGACGGTCCCACCAAGCCGAGGTGACGAGATCGTATCCGATAGAGAATCCAAACGCAGCGAGGAAGACAGAGGATACGAAGACGGGGTTCCGCTTGAAGATAGTGTTGTAAATGGGCTGTTGACATGCATAGGTGCGATTGGGACCATCGGAGATGAGATATGGAGATTGAGCAGGAGGTCCGTATTCGACATAGACATCAGAGAGAAAAGAGGGACAAGGGTTCAGATCGCACAGATGAGGGGCCGATCAAGAGTGAACCAGGTCAGCACGGGACCATCTCGCTTTTGAGCACTCACGGAGGCCATGTTGGGCAGGATTGGGATCACTTCTTGTGACCTAGAAGGGTGTGCGGCTCTGAACCTGATCGACTCCAGATTTCACAATCAGCATCCCCCCAAGAATCTTTTAATCGAGCCCCCCTTTTAACCACGGTGACGCTCTCCTCTCTCTCTCGCGCCGCTCTTCCGCCAACCGCGTAATTAGAGCAGGGGGGACATTGACCTTCAAGCTGGCTACGCTTCAGGCTCTTCCATCCACTGATATAACCATCTGAGGATCTGCTGGAGATCCCGTGGACATATTAGGGATTCTACAGTGCCTTGAAGTGCATACAACGAACCAGTGACAAGAGACATCCCGGATTTATCGACCTATAGCGTCATCCAACTTTGTGAGGTAACGACGGACCTCTATACACCTATCTGGCGGGCATCATAGTCGCAACAGCGGAAACACTACAACAGGTCAACTCAATCCTCGGTGACGCCGCAACTCTTCGTTCGCTCCATCTGGCCCGCACTCAACAGCTTGTTGACAAGTTTGACAACGTCGAACCCTTTGTTTGTCCCAATTTAGGAAGCATCCATCATTCCAAAAACAACATGAAGGGACTCAAGAAGGCTATAGTGAGTCGGCATGCTTGAGGGTGCAGATAGGTCGGGATAAGCGGTCTAGCGCACATCGTCCCCATCTTCATTTCTGTGCCACTGACACCCTGCAGAATCTGTCCAGAACAAAGTCTAGCGAAAAACAATCCAAATCCTCACCCAATGGTAAACCACTCCCTCCAAGCCTATCCACTCCTTCAGGCTCCGCATCTCCCGCCCCGAGCTCTCCGATCACCCGAAACAATCCATCCCCTCTGTCGTCAGAGACATCTCTAGGAACCGGTCAGGTTCCCGTCGTAGGTGGTGGACCGATCACTCCACGTAGATCCCCCGTATCGGACAAGACTTCGCCCGCTCCTCCTCTCGTCGTGATATCAGGTGCACCCAATGCCCTGGGAGGATCCGAGATGCCTTCAGATCCTATTCCCCATGCTCCTCACGGTCGGAATCTAGGATCACCCGATCGACCACTTGGACCTGACGGTCAACCTACGCCTCCCAAAGCTGGTCCGCTGAACAGGCTATGGGGACCCAAGGATACCATTTCAATCGTCGGCAAGACGCCTAGAAAGCAGAGAAGTAGTCGATTCTACGTCACGGAACGAGTGGACATTGAAAAGCTCCCAGACTTTATGGGTGAGCCGGGCAAAAACGTGACGATTGCTAAGATGTTTAGATATTCGACCTGACGATCGGACCGATTTGTTCATACAAAAGCTGCAGCAATGCCGTGTGGTCTTTGACTTTAATGACGCGAGTAGCGAGCTCAAGGGGAAACAAGTCAAGTCGCAGACTTTAAACGAGATGCTGGAGTATATCACGACTCAGCGCGGTGTCATCACCGAGGCGATTTATCCAGAAGTCGTGGGAATGGTGAGCGATCGCTGTCAAGACGATCGTTGACAATGAAAGTTCGCGACCAATCTCTTCCGTTCGATACCTCCCCAGGTCAATCCTAGTGGTGATGCCTTTGACCCTGAAGAAGACGAACCGGTCCTCGAACTCGCCTGGCCGCATTTACAAATCGTTTACGAATTCTTCCTTCGATTCGTCGAAAGCCCCGATTTCAACACCAACATTGGTAAACGATACATCGACCAGGCGTTTGTTCTCCAGCTTCTCGAATTATTCGACAGTGAAGACCCAAGGGAACGGGATTTCCTAAAAACCACACTTCATCGTATCTATGGCAAATTCCTCAATCTCCGAGCGTTCATTCGTCGACAGATCAACAATGTATTCTTCCAGTTCGTCTACGAAACCGAGAGACACAATGGAATTGCCGAACTGTTGGAGATATTAGGCTCCATCATCAATGGCTTCGCACTACCGCTCAAAGAAGAGCACAAGATCTTCCTCACTCGTGTTTTGCTACCACTGCACAAGGCAAAATCGTTAGCACTCTACCACCCCCAGCTGGCTTATTGTGTCGTCCAATTCCTCGAAAAGGATTCAGCATTGACCGAAGACGTCTTACTCGGATTACTTCGATACTGGCCCAAAGTCAATTCGCCAAAGGAAGTCATGTTTCTGAACGAAGTGGAAGAAATTCTCGACGTGATTGAAGCCACAGAGTTTGCGAAGATCATGCAACCGCTCTTCATCCAGTTGTCAAGATGTATTGGATGTCAGCATTTCCAGGTGAGTGTCTCTAGGTGCCAGCAAGCAGTCACTGATCCGTATAAGGTGGCTGAGAGAGCCCTTTACTACTGGAACAACGAATACATTGTCAATCTGATGGGTGAACACATCACAGTCGTCTTGCCTATAGTATTCCCAGCGCTGTATCAAAATTCGAGGTCACATTGGAACAGGTGAGTGCTTGAGATGATGCTTTGCTGAGGTGACCAGGACTATCCACGGGATGGTCTACAACGCACTGAAACTGTTCATGGAGATCAATCCAGACTACTTTGAAGAGGTTCAAAACAACTACAAAGCCCAGAGACATATGTGAGTGGGGCCTTGACTGCATGTTCTGACCTCAGTGAGCACGAAAAGTCTGTTGCTCGGTACGAAGAATGGATGCGCCTGCGTGAACAAGCCGTGGCAAATCATCACGCCAGCGGATCATCAGAATCGCTGCCTAAATGGTTGACGGAGGACCCACCTGCTAAACCCGAGCCATTCCAGGATGAAGACATGACCGATGTCTCTGTCGACATGACTGCGAATGGGTTCGATGTCAGTGAGAGCTTTACGATGGATCGGGCCGTAGTGGCGGATGAGATTGTTCCTGTTGCCGATCCAGGCTTGGAATCGCGTGCGCAGACAACGGTGAGCTTTGCCAACCGAGACGCGCGCTGACGATCGACACAGCCCATCACACCCTCTGGTTTGACCGCGCACCCTGTACACACGAGCAGTCCCAGTAGTGGATCTCCACAACCGCCTCATCTGCGGAGAAAGTCCATCTTACCGATCGATCCGGCCGTCATGAAAGACCTTCAGGTGGGCAATATGCTCTACGTTGCTGATACAATTCAGTCACACAAAAGTCTTGAGGGTACCGTGCCAGCAACTAGTCCTCCGCCTGAAACGGATCAGTAAACAGCTCCGTTCGCACAGCATCTGCCTTTCCCAGTTCCCCACGACAAAATGGTGCTGACTCGATGGATTAGAGTGAGCGTGTATTATCTAGTATTTGAAGAAACAAGGAGGCGACATCCATTCACACCGGCGAGCGATCACCCTTCCGTATATATACCCCCTTCTTCTTATCTTCACCTTCTGTAACCCTTTGATCCGTTTTCTATACCCTACCTCCTAGCGTCTCAAGTGTCCAAGAGTATCTATATTTTCCCGTGCAACTTCAATACAACGACGGTGACGGTCCGCAGAGATACGGTGCGGAGTTGAGCACAACACAGTGTTGCACATCCTCAACATGCATTCGAGGCTTGCTCAAGCACAAAGCAGCGTTACAGTACGCCAGACACGATGAGTTCTGCTACCTCGACTTGACCGCTTTGCTCGCCTGCGCCGCGATTTTGGACAAGATATCTGGTCTGTCTCTGACCCAATATGCTTTTCTAGTGCCCAAATCTCTGCCTGGACCCTTCTTCCCTTTCGCGCTCTTGATGACTTTGACTTCTTTCAGGAGAGGTGAGCAGCATTTGAAGTTGTATTCTACGCCTATCCTCGAGACGACGTTCCGGACCCTGAAAGACGTATCGATCCCCCTATGTTTCGTACCGATCAACACGCCGGAGAACGATGTGGTTGCCGTTTTGGCGGCATTAGTCCAGGAAGTGACGGTAATGATGGATCCCGTCCTCAGACGTTCGGGAGATTTACGCGCGAAGAGGGTCGTACTGAGGGACAATGTATCGTATTGAGATCGAAGGTGTGAGTTCAAATGTTCAATGACGGACCATCCTTTCTTTGGGTGAAGCAGATTACGCCGAGGCGTAGGTGTCTCAAGAGTCGAAGGTTTGGAAACGATACTACTTGAGTAGGGATAAGAAGCCGTAGATTGGACCGAGGCCGAGGCCAAGGCCGCAGGGGAGGAAGATGGTGATGATGATGGTGATGATGGGTTGGATGCGGCTAAGAACCTGGTCAGCTTGGGAACAGTTACCACTGACAAGTCGCCATGCGCTGCTCACCCTGAGTGGACGCTTTCCTGATGGTGTCAAGTGGAAGCCGACTAGGTCCCGCGATACACCTCGCAGGAAGTGCCGCGCTGGACAGTGTTCTCAAGCTCCGTGACATGCCTTGTGAGGAGAAGGTGGTTCAGTGAACATAGCAACTCATCGTCAGCTCTGAGCTGAATTTCAATCGTTAGAAAACGCCCTGACGGGATCAAAGATATCAGTGTTTCCCATCATGCCACGTCATGCCTCATTCGCCTCGGAACCGTGTGCTCGAGTGATCCGAATTGCTGTCCCTTTGTGAAAGTGGTGAGCGTCACCTCGCCCCCCACGCACACACACACACACACAGAGTGGCAAAACATCATTCGTTCTTCTTGCGCAACCCTTTGGACTCAATCGACATTCTCGGGATATTCAGTGTCGGGTAGCCCGAGGCCAGATTGGACCCCCCCTGACTGGACACCTCGCGCGTGCCCAATCGAAGCTCCATCCCGACTCGGTCAATCACCTGGGGTTCTGCGTCATCGCTCGTGATCGCACACAAGTTATCACACCAGAGCCTATCCTCTCGTTTTGTGAACCACTTCTCATGCTCATCGTGTACATGCTCAACAGTGACTCCTCCATCTTTACACATCTCAACATCATCTTCTGCGAAAGAAGATACAAAATGGCATAGTGACGGATTCCTGCCAAATCGGCTCAACAACTAACCACAACTCGAAGTCAGGAACGGATCGGCTGCGACTGAACCGGTCTCGCCATCAAAAATGAACGAGGAACAAAAGGTCAGTGGTTGAATCTCTCATGACCGCTTTCTGCTGACCGCTTTCACTCAGACTGCTCGACAGGCCAAGCTAACAAAAGCTCTGTCTTCAGCCTACCTCGCTCATCAGATCCGAGACCTTGAAGGAAAAGTCAAGGATGTCCATGTTAAGGAACAGAAGCAATCTAGCAGCGGCACAGCGCAAAAGACTGGCCCAGCTGCCAATATCGATGCCGAATTTCCACCGCTCGGCAGCAGCGTGATCAGCACGGGACCTAGGGACAAGTCGAATGCTCAACGTCGGCCAGCCACGCGAGATTTGAACGATTTTCCTAGTCTTGGCGAGAGCAAGCACTCCAATCGCCCGGTGCAAAGCTTACAGACGGGCGAACATTCGTCAAATCATCGAATAGCGAATCGACAACATCGGCGCAGGAGTCCATCATTGGGCTCACACAACTCATCTCGTGAACACGGACAAGGAAGAGGACGAGGCGGGAGAGGACATAGGGGACGCAGAGGTGGTGGTGGAGGCGACCGCGACGGTCGAGGAGATCACAGACGCGGAGGTGGACGAGATCGATCCCGTAAGGAGCGTGTACAAGGCAGGATAGACGACTCGACTGAGAAATCTGGTTCGGGATCAGCTTCCGAATCCTCATCTTCATCAGCTACCGGGTCAGGTAGAAGCGAGAAACGGCGGAATGGTGCAGTTGCCGATGACAAGGGACATCGTCGTCACGGGAGAGACAAAAGACATCGCCGCGCGGGCAGCCGAGCTTCTCGAGATTCGAATGGTCGTCATGATGAAGATAAAGACAGACGCAAGTGGCGAGTCGTGGTTCTCGATTCATCGGCTTTGATGTGGGCTCCGAAACAGGTCAGAAGGCTTGTGAACCAAGGCTGGGAGGTCGTGGTACCGCTGGAGGGTGAGTGGTAATATTTGCCTGCCAAGACGCTCAGCTGATCGCCTCAGCCCTTCGTACTCTTGATCTGCTCAAGGGAGGCAACACGCCGTCTGCACGGGCTGCACGAGCCGCAACGAGGTACATTGAGCACGCTGCAAGGCATTTTCGGCCGATGGAATCTCGACACGACACAAGAGACGGACCTACATACCGTGGCGGCAGGGGCCTTCGCATTCAATCCGAACGCGAAGTCAAGGCCCCCGAGGAAATATCCTCGCTTCCTATCCCACCATCCAGCGGAGATGCCGATGAGACGTTGCCCAAATGGTTGATCAGCGTCTTGTCGTGCGCGGCGTACTTTACAGCCGTGAGCGTGGAAATGGCTCAAAACGATACGCATATACCTGTTCCAGGATTAACAGAGTTGGAAGAATCCCCAGCGATATTGTTCGTCGCCAATCCTTCCTTTGAAGGCGAGTACATGTCGGACAATTCGTTTGTGGAACGAGGGGAAGGCTTTCTCGTTTTGCAGGAGGCTCAGCGATTTGAGATCCCATTGGAAGTACTCAGGGATGAGGAGGAAGCCTTGGGCGAACGGGGTGCTGCTGGCGGAGGCAGAGGTCGAGGAGGAAGAGGCAGAGGGAGAGGCGGTGGACTTGGGCCGGGAGGAGCCAAAAAGGCCAGAGGTGGACCCAGAGGGGATGGAGGAGGTGAAGGAGGAAACGATAGAGAAGAGCCTACACCTCAAGTCAGGATTCTCGTTCGACCTGCTCAATTGGATCCTACGTCAAACGTCTCGCAGAGCATGACAGCTCAAAATGGACGCATTAGCTCCGGCACAGGCCTTGGTGCTCAAGCCGATATCTCATCTGAACGAAATACCAACGATACCGCTACAGACCAAATCAAGGGATCACCTGTCATCCCTCCACCAGTCATCTCCAGTCCCAGTGCTTCTCCTCGTCAGAGTCTAGAGCAAGATGGGCAGAAAGTAACCATAGCCATGGCTGGTGGTGCAGGACTTCGATCACACCCTTCTTCGCCTTTAATTCCTCCACCTCAATTCTCGCCTAGACCGGAACACGGTGTACTTGATGGATCACCTGGCCCAGCGCCATTTGCTGGATTTCCTCGCGGGCCGCCGGTGCACCTTGCGCAAGCACCTATTCCGCCTCATCCACCACTTCCACCACATCCGCCTCATCCCCCTCATCCGCATCACCCCCCTCACCCGCATCACCCACCTCATCACCCGCATCCCCCTCACCCCTTGCATATACCAGGACCTTCTGGACGCCCTCCGCCATTCTACCCTTCGACAGGTCCTGGCTTCAATCCCTTTGACAACAAGCCTCCACCTACTGCCCCTCCTCTTCTGCACTCCATCGGAGATCATTCGGTGCCACACCACAAGATTCGTGAACGTAATGACAGTCTTAGCAGTGGTTCCACAACAAGCTCCTCATCAGACGACTACAGCCAGGCATACAGTCATGGTAGCCGCCGGGAGGGATATCGACAAGGCGCAAATGCATACGCGCACGATGATACCTCTCGTGAGCAGTCTGGTGGATGGAGAGGCCAACCTCGCAATGGAGGGCCTGGACGAGGAGGTCCAGTTCGAGGAAGGGGAATTGCACTTTCAGGTCCATTCGCTTCTGCTCCGCCAGGCTCTTTGGGTCAGGGCACGAGTGGTCCTGACTTGGACCACTGGGCTGGCGACAGAGGTCGTGGACGAGGACGAGGTGGTCGCGGAGGCGGCTTTGAACGTGGTCGAGGTGGTCGGGGAAGTGGACGTGGAGCCGGGGGTGGAGGCGGAGGCGGTGAACCTGGTGGATTCACCCTGCTCCAGCGCCCTGGTCCACCTCGTCTTGCAGAATACTCTTCATTGGATGGTCCGGGCCGTACTTCGCTAGGGCAGGGATCTGCAGGTCGAGATCGAGATGGCGCCGCATCGTTTCGCGCGGAACCCCACGATCCATCTTTTGATCGCCCGAAACCGTCGAGCAAGCACCTGTGGGATGATCATCGATTTGGCGGTGGATCGTTTGAACCTCGACGAGCGAGTGAGAGGCGAGGGGGCAGGCGAGAAGGACACGTGCATGAAGAAGATCGTGAGAAGAGCGTGAGGGATCGTGAGAAAGTAGGCAAGCTGCTAGCCCAGGCCAAGGAGAGGAATGAGAGGGATAAAGAGAAGGAGAAGGAGAGGATGGAGAGGAGGCGTGAGAGGGAAGCGAGGGATCAGCTGCGGGCCGAGCAGGACAGGGACAAGGCTGAGAGGGAGCGTGATCGAGGTGAAAGGGATCGCGAGAGGGCAGAACGACAGGTGGAGAAGAGTGAGCGTGAACGCGAGAGAGCAGAAAGGGAGCTGGAACGGGCGGAAAGGGACCGTGAACGAGGTGAACGAGAGCGGGAAAGGGAGATGGAGCATGCTCAACGTCAGCGGGACAAGGAGCGAGACGGTCAGGACGTGGTGGACACTGTTGCATTCCACCGCCAAGGTCAAGAACAACCCGATGGGCCATCCGCTGGAATCTACGAGGACAAATCTACCAAGGTTGTCCTGCTTCGACGACCTGGCTGAACAGTGTCTGCTGATGCAGCTTCAAACCAAACAAATCAAACTGTTCAGTATCGGATCGCTTTCGGCGATTAGATCTCGACAAGGGAACGGTAAGCCCTGGCAACGAATGGCGCCGTGTATCGTAACCGACAGGCCGGAGCACAGGTTCCAAGGGTGCGTGTTCGGGGTCAAATCAAGATCTCTAGATTCGCACAGATCGGCGCATGCTGCATGCGCATGCATGCATCGCTCAATTTGGTATTCCGTCGGAAACCCAAGCGCATAGGACCATGCTCTCAAGCTAGGTAGACTGGCGAGGGCCAGGGCTCATGCATGGCATGGGACGGCCAAATGGACCTGCGACCCGTGATTCTAAATGAATATGGTATATAAATAATCCAAACGCTCACGCGGGGATGAGCCCCTATGGTTTCGGATCCGGCCTTTTTTTCATTTGCATGTTCATCTCAGGTGAGGGGGAGGAACGGGGTAGGGATGAAGAAGAAGCAAACAACACCTCTTATCAGAAGTCGTGAAGCCCAGCCCAGCCCAGCGTGGTATGAGTTACACCTCGATCCGGTGTATTTCCCGCCGCCTCGGGGCTAGCAAGTCTACAAGTCGCTCGGGTTGACGGTGTCAGTGTCATGGTCCACGGGGATATTGTGTGCACACTTGCGTGAGTGTACGACGCGGAGAGTCGACGAGTCACCACGTACGCTTTGTCACCGTCTATTAAAACTCGATTTCATTAGGGTCAGCTGGACTAATGCTTCATTAGGAATAGTGACACTAAACCTCTCGGGTACACGGTACCTTGGCTGAGCCCGCTTTCTCTCTCTTTCTTCCCCCCCTTCTCGCTTCGGTTCGGGTCCGAAAAGAAACCTCTCTGCTCCCCGCCTCGGCATGAGGGCTACAGGGGAGAGGGGCAGCAGCAGCAGCAGATATATTTTTATTATTAATTCAATTCGAGTCGAAGCCGAGATCTCTCTCTAACACGACGACAAACGAGGCCGGACAGACACAAAAAGACACGACAGCGCCCAGTCAGCGTCTCTTCTTCCTTTTTTTCTCTTTTCCCACACTTCATATATATATATCTTCATCTTGACCTCTCAGAGACTTGCACAACATCTGTTCTGTGCAACTGCTTGAGAGAGCGAGACACACATCCATCCACACACACACACTATAGACACCGCTCACACACCGGTCGTCACCATTTTTCACATACCACACTTGACCCACCTAACCACTTTCACCCTGTCTTCCACACCCCAACAACCAACCCAAACCACATCTAGTCAACATGTCTGCCCTGCTATTGATCGCATCGCCCTCTCCACTTCGACTGACGGCCCTCACGCCTCCTCGTCGTCGGCTGCCCCCAAGTCAATCCTCGTCCGTAGGGACGGGGAGGGCAGCCAGACAACAGCACCTCCCACCGGACGGGTCACATTCGACACGGCATCATCAGGGCGATTAGAAGACAAGTCGACGACGACTGGTAAAAGGTCAACGATTTCAATCATCCAACTGGACAAGGATAACAACAAGGTTACAAAAACTACTACTTCGACTGCCGTTCTCAACTCGAGCAACGCACAAAACAAGCCAATCAAGACGAACATAGTTTCATCACCATCATCATCATCTCCACCTCCTCCTCCCTACACTTCGAGTGTTCGAGGAGACGAGATGCGATTCATTTCTGCCACTGCCAGACCGAGTCTCACCCCTCTGGGCTACCGACTTCTCCATCTCTCCGAATACAAGCTCGCCAATCTTGAGCCACGCGTCGGAGGTCGAGAAGACGGTGTGGCACTTTGGAAAGAAGTCGTCGTACGTGAAGCCGTACGAACCGCTTGGAAATCTGTTCAACAAGGTACAGTCGGTGATCTCACCGACTGGTCATCCAAGGGAGCGATGGGTCTCGACGTCATCGGTGAGGATGAAGAAGAAGAAGAAGAAGAAGAAGAAGACGACGACGAGGAGTCAAACAGTACCTCCTCGACCTCTTCAACGGTCGGACAAGAGCGACAATGGTTCGAAGATCTCGTCAACTCGCTCGGAGATGACGAGGTCGACGACGCCAGGACTCACGAATGGGCAGAGTCATTTGTCGAGACGGCCTTTGACGATATGGAGTATGATGACGAAGGAATCGAAGCATTCACCTTCCCTGCCATCTCTCCTCCTCTCTCGCCTTCTCTTCCTCCCTCTCCCGTCAACGGTCCACTGTCCCTCCCCACCGTCTCGCCGACACTCACAAGTCGTCGTCGTACCGACGTCGAGGTCATCATCGTTGGCTCGACTGACGACGCCGAACCCGAGGACGATCAGGACCTCGTGGCGGATATGACTATGTCCACCCGTGATTCTCCTTCGAGTCCATCCGCCGTTTCTCCGCCAAATCGACGCGTCAAATATCACTTCGGTCCAAAACCTGGCGACGGGGTCCACAGACCACTCTCGCCCGTCCTCGCCGCATTGCCGTCGCCGACGTGGTCACAGAAAGACAAGTCTGCGACATACGACCCTGACTGGAAGTCTACATTTGATCTTGATCAACGCGATCCGCTGGACGATTGCGCCGACGACGAATTCATGCTCCCTCCGCCTATGCACCGATCCATGTCGACCGATTCGGCCTGCAGCACAGACGACGATGAGGAATGCAATTGCGTGACTCCCCCTTGGCCGTCCGGCAGGAGCCTTGAGCAACTGGAGGACGACGACTCCGAGATCGAGATGAACTCGACAAAATTCAATCGAAAAGAAAAAGATATACCCAGACCCAATTCTGGATCATGGCTCGACTTGGTCGTAGATCGCTTGGAGGGCCTGAACTGTGAATGAGGTATCTGTCTTTTGACAAGACTTCTTGGGGTCTTTAGAGGAGAATGAGAAAACTTAGAAAACACCCAAAAAAAATTGACAATGCATCCTTTGTACTACTTAATGGGCAATCGCTTCGCGCTCAAGATTCCCTATCTTCTCAGACAGCACCGGACAGCTCCCTCGCGATGACCAGCTCTGAACCACGCAGTGAAGCATTCGTCTCTAAATTGTGCGGTTCCCAACTTTCATTTTCGCCAGTCCACTTGCAAGGTATTTGCTTGTACTTGCACCATCTTTCCATTTGCCCTTACGTAGACTGGGGCTAACAAACCCCCCCTCTTCGGCTTACGGTGTGAAGCCCAGAAATGATCATCGATGCACAAGATTCAAGTACATACCTCTCAACTTCCGGATGGTCCTTACGCCCACACCCCTTCAAGCGCTTCGATTTCCGTATCTTTCTTGCTCATCCCGAGCTCCTTCATAGCTCCGTCGATACCCACTTGCTCTTTGCTCGCGTCGTTATCGAGATCATGCACAATCTTCTTGCCGTCCTTGCCTAGCCACTCTGCGAGATCATGTGCCGAGGAAAGGAGCAGGAGCTCTCCGCCCGAATAGTCCAAAAAGCTGGGCGGATTGGCGGGAATGAAACGTCGATTGGCAAATAAGCCATCCAACTTTTTAGGATACTTATCATGCGTCAACATTCATATGAACGAGGATAATGACAAGGTCCATGCTCACGCTAGCGCGCTTGTCTTTGGGTATACTGGCTGCTCTTGGGTTGGTGCTTTCCGCTTCGGGACTCTTGACCTGCAAAGCCACTGCACCCTTTTCTGCGATGCCCAGATCACTTTGTACTTGACCAAAGTCTTCGGATGCAGGTGTCGTAATCTCGTAGGCCAGGAGGATCTTGAAATCACGCTGACGATCATGATCTGGAGAATCGGCCAGTTCATCCCTCGGCGAATGAAGGATATAATGACCTCTAGCAGCCGGTCGAGCAGCGGACTGGTGGCGTGTCCCTGAGATTGGTCTTTAGTCTTGAAGTGCTACAGGCTCGCTCACCCTTTGTCTTTGTCTCGTAATCGTACGCTCCAAACGCGTTCTTCAATTCTGCCTTGTCCGAACCGACGTTGCCCACCAAGCCCCAGATGACTTGTCGACTGGCGTGAGGATCCGGTAGTTTCTTCTTCCCAACCTCAATGATGCGGTGGTAGTGAGATTTACCGTACGGATGAGAGGTGGGAATCAGGAGGATGTGGAATCTACGATTGTCAGCGGTATCTGCGAGTAGAGCTGTCCTTACTTGGATATATCGTCCACTGAATCGACCTCCTCGGCATCGACCTTTGGTCGGTAGAGGAAGTAGATGTGACCCGACTCAAGAGTGCCTGAAGAGATGCTCAGTCGCGCTCTAGCTGTCGCTCCACGCACCATGCTTAGGTTCCTCAAGGATGCCACTCAGATGCGGCTCGTCTCTCGATGGCTTGGACTCCTACGTTACGGTCTTCAATGCCGGACGGTGGGACCAGAGTGGTCATCCCACCTCTTTGTTCTCATTGCTGGCCTCCTTCTCCTCCCCTGTCTCTTTCTCGTCCTCTGTCTTACTCTGATCCTCCTCATCATCATCCTCCTGTTTGCTCAATCCGATCTCTCCTTCGGAGACCTTGAGCTTGCCGTCATGTTCGGTCTTTGGCTTTTTGGATTTGGGCGTAGACTCCTGGGGAGCCGAACGCTTGTCGCCACTCTCCTCGGTCCCACTGCTCTTCCTGGATCTCGTAGACACCATTGATGCTTTCTGGTAATTATCCTCTGAACATTTGAGATGACAGACTCCGCCTATGACGATTGATCGATGCGGAGTCCCCACAAGACCACATGGTATTTACGTAATGAGCTTCTTGCCACTCAGCCCTTTATCTCTATCTGGTAGCAAGCCCCAAATAGCTTCACGACTCGTCATTGACCATCCCACATCGCAACTTGACCATCTGATCACAGCCGCGGGGGAGGACTCGGTGTCAATCCGTCCAGGATGTACCTGTGGCCCATCACAAAGCTAGCGGGTCACATCCTGCCTATTCTCTCAACGCAATCTCAAAACGCACTCACTTTTGAACCAATACACGCATTTGGGCACACTTCTCCCTCTCTGTATCGACCAAGGATCCTGATCCAGAATGCAAGTTCTACCGTATCATTCCTCTCCACGCCCGCTCTGGGTGAGCTCTCCACTGCGCAAGTCGACGAGTACCTCTTGGACAATCCGGCCCCGCATCTGATGCTTGAACCTCTAACGATCCGGACAAGACCAATGACGATCCGTCGACCGCGCATCAAACCTCCTTCCATCTTATCTTGGGCCTATTCCGCTCGTCGAGGCAATCGACCGCCAGGGACAGAAATTTTACCATACGGCAGGGGCACACGACCGAGACGGATGTCCCCGGAGGAGATCAACAGCACGTGGATTGCACCTGATTACAGCGATCTCGATGGCGACTGGGAAGATGTAGAGGTAGAGGGACCAGACGTGTCTGATCGACAGACGCTCATCACACTCGCCAAGATGATGAGTAACGCGTATGTCTTGCCGGATGGAGGCGAGTGGTGGCCTTTGGGGAAACAGTGGAACGCTACGATACCTTTCGGCTGGGAACCAGATGCCGATGGGCTCAGGGGTCATATCGTGAGCACCTATGGTATCTCGTGAATAATGCTGATTGGTCCGTACAGTTTGCCGATCCCACTAACTCGACAGTCATCGTCTCTATCAAGGGAACGTCTGCCGGCGTCCTCGGTGTTGGTGGTCCGACGGCCAAGAATGACAAGTATAACGTGAGCTGTCCTGCTGCTGTCCAGGGTCGATCCTCATTTTGTCATACAGGATAATCTCATGTTCTCGTGCTGCTGTGCCCGAGTCGACTTCTCTTGGTACCCAGTATGCGATTGCTGGGCTGGAGGTTACAAATGTGAACAGACTTGTCTGGAGGATGCCTTGGTGGCAGAGAGTGTATATGCAACGGTCGGGACAGTGAGTGGTCGTGTGTGCAACATATGGCCATCATCGTAGCTGAGCATACGACAGGATCTGTACAACAATGTCACTTACATGTACCCGCATGCGAATATTTGGCTGGTTGGACATTCGGTGAGCTGACGTGAACGATTCCCGTTCAAAGCTTATGCTGGTCTAGCTCGGCGGGTCGGTCAGTGCCATGATTGGACTATCATTCGGAGCTCCTGCTGTCACTATCGAAGCGCCAGGTGATCGTCTGCCGGCTTCCCGACTGCACCTTCCTCTTCCACCAGGCATGCCAGCGGAGAAGACCGGCATCACCCATGTCTATCACACGGCCGATCCAATTCCCATGGGAGCATGCACCGGCGCGTATTCAGGTTGCTACGCCGCAGGCTTCGTGAGTGCAGTTTTCGATTGTCTTCTGACACGATGCAGGCAATGGAAAGCTCGTGTCACACAGGTCAAACCATTCTCTATGATACGGTCACTGTCAAAGGCTGGGCTGTCGACATTCGGACCCATCGGATCGGAGAAATCATCAATAAAGTCTTGGCTGATCCTTGGCCCACGGAAGGCGAACCCGATAAGGTCGCCAAGTGGAGGTGGTGGGCACCATGGCGAACGGCTTCGAGCGAGCGCAAATATTGGGCACCTGAGCGATCCCCTCCGACCTTCATGCGCGAGCAAGAGCTGTCGTCACTGCGCTGGGGATGGGGACGCAAAGGGCCGAAGAAGGGTCAAGACGGTGATCCTGACAGTGGGGACGATGACGATGATTGGAATAAGCATGGCGGGGTGCCCAAACCCGAAGCCGAGAGCAATTGCACAGACTGCTATAGATGGTGAGATTGACACTTTGTCTGCTAGTGCTGATTTCCTCGCAGGGAATTCGGGGATGATTGGGGCAAGAAATGATAAGCAGTCTCGCGGTCGTTGTAAACCAAAAAAAAACCAAATGGCTGTCACTTCTGTTGTTGTACGATGAGCCACTATGCATATTGCTCTAGCACGATATAGTTTTGAATACGTTGAACGAATCGCTAGCGGTCGAGATGAGCATACCTGGAATCTGTGGATGCCAATGTAGCTCCTTGACGTCTTTCTGGCCCTGGTGAACGAAGAGCAACTGACCAGGCACTTTGACATCGGGGTGAGACGGATCGGTGGGCGCTTCGTCTTCGTCCACTTCCACCGACAGATCCCAGAGGGTGAGTTGATCGTCTGCTCCAGATGCGGCAAAGACGGAATGATCTGTAGGGTGCCATTCGACCGAAGTGATAGGTTCAGAGTGCCATGAGAAATCAGCAACGGGCGTCGCGGCTCTGGCGTCGTGGTCAAATCGATGTTCCGTTTTTCACATTCCTCACTCACCCTTTGAACATTCTAAGATCCCAAACCTTGATGCCACCTTCATCTCCTCCGCTGACCAACAAGTGGCCTACGCCCTTGTTCCAGCTGATGACGTTGACGTCCTCTTTGTGAGCTTCGACACTGACGACGCTCTTTCGACCTTTTGCACGTATGTCCCATATTCTGACTGTCCGATCTGCACTGCAGGAAGCAAAGACGGTGCTCTCATTTGGACTCCACTGAATGTCCTCTATCGAACTCGTATGTGATGTGTATGCGTTTGGAGAGGTGTTGAATCCTGTCGGAGTGGAAGTCGTCAAGTATATTTTAGCGTCTACATCTCCAGTTAAAAGACCCGTTTGACCCCACTCGACAGCAAATCCTTCATTTCGACCGTGATTGGAGATAGTATGGACAGGCACTTTTTGCCGAGGTTTGGATGGTCCAGCCAAGGTATCGATATAGGGCTTCACGTCGAAAATGTGGACCTTGCCAGTCTCAGAGAATGTGGCGACGTGATATGGGTCGGGGACAGTCGAGGATGGCGCAGGAGCAGCGCGTATTCTGTTCACGCTGCCCACGTGAGGGATGGTGAGGTAGTCCAGAGTAGCCTCTTCGTCTTGACCCTCATCTTCATCTTCTTCCTCCGCGTCGGAATCGTCATCATCATGTTGGGTCTTGCTGAGACCCCCGAGACGCATAACGACCACTTCGTCCTTTGCTCGTCCTTGTCCTGGAACCTCTCCAGCTTGTGTCCCCGTAACTATCCAAGCCTGATGTGGGAAAGTCGTACGTTCAGATCCGAGGTTATCACGAAGAACGTCAAAGGACAAGCACGGCCACGCATAAGATAGAGAGTGAAGAGCAAGGTAGACCGAATTATCCGGTACGAGTTGTTCATCTGGGCCTAGTTTTGTTCCTGGTAAATACGTCTGCTTGGCTTCTGGCGGAGCTTCAGAGTCCTCTTGAGCAGGGGTAAAATCTACCCAAAATGAATCAACTCGACGTTTCTGGAAGCGCAGAACTCACCGTCATCCTCGTCATCGTCTTCTCCTTCTGGACCATCCAAGACCTCGTCCTCGGATTCGATATCGTCCTCCCACCGGTCTTCGAACTCTCCCATTTCATCATCTTGGTCGGCTCGACTTTGTGCTTTTCCATTGGAAGTGAGCTTACCAGCAGGCAAGTCGGCGGCGTCAGAGGTCCTCTTGGGCATTGTGCAGACGAGATGCTATGTATGAACTTCTAGTTCATCCTGCGTACAAACAAGGTCAAAATTATTGCTTCTCCCAACTTTTTTTGTATTACATAAGCGAGCTATGGTACAGATGAACTTTCAATGAAATTCAGTCCAAAGCTACTTTGCTTCAAACCTATTGACAGTGTGTGCTTGTCGACAATGTCAGTTCGAATCAGCATGAGAGCTCCTCTCGGAGCATCCAGATGCTTTTCAAGCTCTATCATGAGGTCGCAAGACTCCCTCAACGGAGCAGGACCTTCCAGGCCAGCGACATTTGGTGCGGGCCCTACCCTACCTTCCAACAGTTCCATGGACGAGAAAAGGGGATCATCCTCGTCTACGTCGTCAGAATCAGGATTCCGTGCTCTCTCGAAACTCTTGGCGGAGCGGAATCCTCCAGTGCCCAGAGCTTCTGCCCAACCCATCCTCCCACTCACACAACCGATCGGAAACGCTCTAAACGAACCAGTCCAGGCATACGGACCTTACAAGCCAGTGGCTGTTCCGCCCGTAAACGATCCAATATTGGCCCTGTTCACGAACCTCATCATGAAGCATGGGAGGAAAGGCGATGCTCAGCGAGCCATCGCTGACATGTTGGCGGCTCTGTGAGTGGCATTCAATGCTATCTTGATTACGGGATACTGAAGTCATAACCTTTTTTTTAGACACGTAGCGACCAATCAAAACCCAATTGATCTGGTACACCGAGCTGTTCTTCTGGCTTCCCCTTCGTTCCGAGTCATCTCCATCGTCCGAGGTGCCAAGCGAATGTACGCTCCCCGTGCTCTCCTCGAGAGACAGAGAATACATCAGGGGATCGCATGGATTAAGAAGGCATCACTGAAATATGAGAAGAGGCTACACCTGCCCAAGCGGTTGGCGAAAGAGATCCTCTTGGTGTTGGAAGGCTCTAGTGAAGTCTTTGGTTGGGTCGAAGAGAGGCACAAGGTGGCAATGGTGAACAGGTACGTTGTGTTCGAGATCATATCTGCCGATCACTTACTCGCTCTTCAGGGCCAACATGAAGCTCAGAGGATAGATATGATGCATGGACATGCTAACTCTCTGAGATGTCTGTTTCACATTGTTTGACAATAAAGAGAATCTGAGACTTAAAGATCCCCTCATTTTCTCTGTCTTTTCTTTTGAGGCTCGTCCTCCTCATCCTCCAGGTCGATCTCTTCGTCATCATCCCCGTCCTCTTCGTCGAGCTCATCCTCATCGTAATCTTCGAATTCTCCCTCGTCTTCATTAGCCTGTCCTGTGTAGTACTCTACAGCGTCGGGCAAGACCTCGTCTTGAATCGTCAAACCAATCTTTGCATCTGTCAGCTCACAGCCTCTGCTTTGCCTAACGACTCACACCAAAGTCGTCGGTCGGTGATTCGAAGTACCAGAAGAATGATCCAAAGTCGCCTTCGATTTGATCATCCTCGGCTTGAGCTCTGGGTTGCAATTTGCAGAGATTCTTGTCGTCAGATTTCCAGTCAATCTTTTGAACCTATAGAGGAGGAATGAGTCGACGCAGATTCCAGGAAAGCTCATCTGCACTGACAGAGACCTCCAATTCATCCGCTGAGAACGAAGCCATCTGTTCTGTCACACTTCCATCGGCCGGAGCAGGCTCAACTCCTTTGGGCAGCGAGTATTTTTTCGATAGGGTTGAGTTGGAGAAGAAGGGATTCTCGTCAAAGTGCTGGAAAGTGAAAGCGTTAGCCTCCTTGTGCTGAAAGCTTGAGCCACTCACAAAGACCAATTCAAAAGGTCTCGGATCCGAAGGATCCTGCTTAAGTTCAATGTCTGTGAGGTATGACAAGGCCTGTTTGTCCGGAGTGGAGGAAAGATAGGCACGAATCACATCCTGATTGAGCTGGGATTCGGCCCCATCAGTCTCACACCTGTTGAGTTCAGTTGAAATGCCTGCCCACCAAGGCCTGAAGCCAGAATCCACGATGTCCTTTGACAAGTCCTCGGATGTCTTCCAGGAAGGCGAGAGTTTCCTTGCAGTTGTACCGAAGATATCGATACTTCTTCTCGGCGTTCTCTGGACAGAGTTAGTGGGCTGTTAGGCGATGTATAGATGAAGAGATTGAGCTCTGATAGGTAGAAGAAGAAGACTATCAAGTCGACCTACTTTGCTCCAGGCTAGTCAGAACGTCCTCAGGCAGCTCTAGAGAACTTCGTCAGCCCGAACGCTACTCCTAACGATTCACGAGGCTTACCAGGGAGATCATCAAAGTCTTGAAGAGCCATCTTCTTCGTAGTACAGAGCTAGGGCAACCTATAAGTATATTCGTGAGCTGACAGACAATATATTGAGGCGCGTAGAAATCGACCACGTGCACGCGAACGTGGCACCAGCACACTGGATCCCATGGCAGTTTGAATGTATGATCACTGGCAAAGGCTGCACGAGAGGGTCAAGGCTCTGAGGCGCCGGGAGTGAGGCTACTAGTCATTCCAGATGCATTTTCGATCTCTACGTCAGCTTAGCCGGTGGGGAAACCCATCCGGATGCGCAACAGCGTCGCGATATCCCCATCAAACTCGGTGGCAAGTGCAGAAGAGGCATCGGATACACGGGGCGACCGCGAAAGGCCTTTCAGATTCGCTGAACGTTTCCGAAGAGAGAGATTGATGGGTATCGCTACCTCAGTCTCCGATCCAGTCGCGAATATATAGCGGGACCGGTGGCTTAATTCTGAGCCTCCTAGAATCTGCATTGTGTCACTTTGCTTGTCGACACGGTTGTGAGGCGACCCATTGCACGGCGGCCGGATGTCACGAATCACTTGTAGAGGCTAAAGTGATCCACAGGGGCCGCAATGACTGGCTTAGATGCCGGTCTGATATCACTGCTTGTCTTACACTCGACCGTCGGCATATTCCTCAGCGTTCGGTCTACGAACATGATCAGTCAAAGAGGAGGGGGAGCGGGGGCAACCTTATGCCTCGCTTGTACATGTCAGTGTGAAAGCCGTCCGATTCCATGAACATGACGAGGCTCGAAAGCTCCTTCGGTTGGACAGAGACGTCGAAAAGCCCAAGACTCCGGACAGTGCAGTCCGAGTGAAAGTACACGCCTGTGAGATCAATTCTGCGTATTGGGCACTGTGCCGAGATCTATTCCAGTCTGTCCTTCCTCGAGGGATAGGTCGCGAAGTATCTGGCGTCGTAGACGAGGTCGGCCGAGATGTACAGAATGTCAGATTCGGAGACAAAGTCTTTGGGCCTGCCAATTATAGTTCTACTACAAATGCAGGGGCAGCCGAATTCGCCTCACCCGCTATTTCCCGGTCCCCGCCACACTGGAAATGAAGCAAGTTGCTGCGTTGATCATGGACACGGAGACCGCAGCTCGAAGCCTTAGGGCTCTTGATTTCCGAGCCGGAGAGAAGATCTTGATCCAAGGTGTTGGAACGACTGCTGGTTCTAGATGGTGTGGACAAGGTCCTCAATACGACTCCTCCTTCAGCTCGATTCGATGAGCTCCTTCACCTTACGGCCGGCGACCCCTCGCGAACGGACGTACAGTTTGGAACAGTGGGAAGAGGCATCGGTCAGGAGTTTGAAAGGGTCGAAAGGCAAATTGCTCTTTATCTTGAAACACTAGCCTCGCTACTATAGCCCTAAGTTATGTGTTGCGAAGGTGATCGCACATAGGGAATTCTTGGAATGAACAGAGTCGCGCCGCACCCCGGCGCTGAAACGTGGCTCACACGGCCGAGTTGATATATCGATCTGCGAAGAAAGGGGAGTATGATCAAGCAGCACGACAGTGATTCATGTGACAGAGGTTGTCCGCAGGCTGCATGATCCATTTGAACTCGTCGCGCTTCCAACGATCCCTAGCATAAAACCATGTATATAAGGAACAGTCCCAACGTTATCAAGCCCCTGCGCTTTACCCGATGCGTCATAAGCCGAACATTGCAGAGGGCATAATTTCAACCATCTTTGACCAAACGAGTACAGACGTTGACGCTGCAGTTCAATGCTGAGCACAGTATGAAGCTTCCATACAACCGCCCTCACTTCTTTGAGTTTCACGATCAGCCTTGGTGTCCGCCGACTGTGACTGCCCAAGCCCAAGCTATTCTCACTTTTCTCTGGACACATCGGATACCGCCATTTCAGTCTCGTGCACCCTACCACGGGGCTGCAGATGTGCTCAGTGGGCTGATACGTGAATTGGAAGGGGACAAGAAGGCCCAGGAGAAGGGGAAAGGGAGGCTGAAGGTGGTCGACTGCTGTTCAGGAGCTGGAGGACCGATACCGGCAATCGAGAGGGTGGTCAAGTGAGTTTGCAAAGAAATCAGGCGTGTCTTTCACCCACATTCTGAGGCTGATCGCTCCTCTAGCAAGCAAAGGGTTGACTCTGGTCTCACTCCGATTCCGTTTGTGCTGTCCGATCTGAATCCTCATCTATCATCCTGGGCCAAAGCCACGGCAACGTCAACATCCAACGCATTGTCCTTCATCCCCTATCCAGTAGACGCAACCCATGCTCCTGCCGAGTTGACTAGAGAACGGCACATCCGGACGTTTTGCTTAAGCTTTCATCACTTTAACGAGGACGCGGCGAGGAAGATCATTCAGGATGCGATCAAAGGAGCGGACGCCTTATGGTGAGAATGGGTCGTAATTCCATAGACAGTGGCTGAGTCGACCTAGCATCTTTGAGCTTCAGGAACCCCGATTGGAGAGCTTGTTGGAGCTGCTCGCCATCTTCCCCTTGGTCTTTCTTGTCACGCCATTCACCAAGCCGACTATCTGTGAGTAAATCGAGAGCCGAAGGATATCCTACTAAGTGTATGACAGCCATCTTGATTCTCACCTACATCCTCCCTGTCTTACCCTTTCTCATGGTCTTTGACGGGCTGGTGTCGGCCTATCGTACTCGATCACTAGAGCACGTCCGTTATCTGGCCAACTTGGCTAACCTGACTCTCAACCTTGAGGGCAATGATGTCTCAGAATGGAGCTGGAATGAGGGTAGGCGGAGACATACCTGGCCCAGTGGCAAGATGTATTGGATCATAGGGAAGAGGGAATCAGACGGATCATCATCATGGTAGTTAGGGTGTACGCAGTATGCAGCAATAAACAATAGTCAAGGCACAGGATGTTGCATCGACTCAACTACCTGGCGAACAAAAGACGTATCGAAAACGAAAAACGAGCAACGTTGCACAGCCATCTCCGTCTCCCGGTCGATGTTCACTCCATCCTCCACCGCCGGCAAGCTACATAAGAATAAGAGGGGGTGAAAAGAAGAAGAGCGAACGCGCTTAAGCACCGAAACCGTAAAGGGTTCGTCCCTGTCGCTTGAGAGCGTAGACAACGTCGAGGGAAGTGACAGTCTTTCGGTTGGCGTGCTCAGTGTAGGTGACCGAGTCTCGGATGACGTTCTCAAGGCTAGGACACTGAGTCAGCATCTACCACGGTTGAATAAGCAACCTTGCAGCCACTCACAAGATCTTGAGAACTCCTCGAGTCTCCTCGTAGATGAGACCAGAGATACGCTTGACACCTCCTCGTCGAGCGAGACGTCGGATAGCGGGCTTGGTAATACCCCTGTAGGCGAGCCGGTCAGCCGCTGAGATTGCAATGCTCCTCCTGCGCGCTCACTGGATGTTGTCTCGCAAGATCTTTCGGTGTCGCTTGGCACCTCCCTTTCCGAGTCCCTTTCCTCCTTTACCTCGTCCGGACATGATGTATAAGTTGTTTGGTTGCGGGATGAGTTGGTGAAGATGAGATTGTTTGGTGAGAAGAGGAGAAGAAGGAAAGAGTAGATGTTGAACTGACTTGGAGTTATATGTTTGCGTTGGGCGGCGGAATCAAATCAACCCCTCGCCCTGTCCCATGGGTTGGGTGGCAAAATAAAAAAGAAGAGGGGCACAAACAAAACGTGGGCATAACGCCGAATACAGGAGTCTATAACGCCGCGGAGTGATCCCCGTCACGTGATGCATCCAGTCCCAGGGGGTGGACGTGCGACCAGGTGGCACAGTGGCAAATCGACAGTGCAAGTCGTAGGGTGTACGGGCTCTGGAACAGTCGAGAGAGCCAGCTGAACGATGTCATGTATACTGGGAGCCTCGTCTGATTCGGGTCGTGCCAGGCATTCCTTTGGACAAACATGGCCCAATGCCACACTACCCGACTGTTTTGCGAGCAAGCTGGGATGGGAGGCATGATAGCAGGACATTGAGGTGTCTTGTGCTAGCGAAGATCATGTACATAGCAAGCAGCAGTCGATCTGAGTCAGAACATCGAGAAAAAATTGCTCGGAAGGATGCGCATTGGGGTAGCACGCTCTCACAGCATGGGATATTTTCGGTGATTGTAGAATAGCAGAGCAACATATATATCGGAATTCTTGCTCATCTGTCTCGGGAACCACATTTGAGGCTCAGCATCTGAAAGGACCCCGTGTAAAGAGGTATTCTTCAAGACTCCACAAGGACAGCGACAGGTGTGCAGCGCTTGTACAAGATCAATCGCATTCCTCGCCCTTTTCACCGAAGTGACCCCATCATTTATTTATTTTTGAGAGGACGGGGGGAGCTCTCATGGAATGATGTCGATGGAGCAACGGGGTCACTGCATTCGGGCCCCAGAGCACGGAATATCAGATGAGTTGAGTGCTCGTTTAGACGGGCTTGAATCAGATGGCGCCTCATTAGCACCGCTACTGTGGATTTGACCAGGTGGACATGCATTTCACATGCCCCAGCCGTAACAGAGGTCATTGTCGATGTCAAGGAGCAGGTATGCGCTGTCAGTGCCCGACAACCGAGAATCTTACTGTATCAGTGTGCGTGTCCAAGATTCAAGAGTCAGAGGCCGTTACGAGAGACCTCTAATTTGCTGGTGGGGCAAAAATGCTACAAACTGTTTCAGCGGATTATATTGCTACGCCTTATCGCTATATCTACATCAACAGAACTTCCACTCCCGTCGACAGCGGAGGCATGAGTAGCTGACTCACCATCTAAGCCCGATCATTGTGAAAGGCCCCGCCACACTATTGCGAGACGCGTTACGTAAGGAATATTCAATCTTGTGACACGGCCATGCAACATCTTCTAGCATCGACAAATCAGTCCCTTGCCGACATAATGGCTGGCGCCTCTTCGCCCAGTGACCTTCTGGGGGATGCATCCTTGCCTGTCGTAGCTGGTTTCCTGGCCCGCCAACGGACCGCCGGAATCGGTGTAGACCTCGCAGTGATACAAGCGGATTTGATGTCGATGACAGTGGAGCAGAAAAATCTGGTCAGAAACGGGGTAGATACCCTGCTCCACAGCCATGGGCACGAAGTTGAACGCTTCCTCTCAATACCGCGGACGCAACCGAGGGCGGAAACAGAGATTGCCAGAATCCTAAAGATGCTCAAGCCCCATACCACAGCTGGGAACCATCTCCCGGTATGTTCAAATCATACGGTCTAGCTGAATTGGCCCTAAGAATGATCCGGCAGGACCAAATGTGGACACAGTTATACCCCAATTTCATCATCAGGTGGAGGATCTCATGGCAGATCCACCCTTTCAGCCGTTTGGCCGCGAGGACGCCCGTGTCTTTGCGATGGCGAGATGGTTCAAAGGATCCTTCATGCAATGGGTGGACCCTATAAAATGCCCAATCTGTCGTGGTACCACCAAATTCCAAGGCATAGTCGAACCGACTGCCGAGGAGCAGACGGACAGTGCAGGTCGTGTCGAGCTACACACATGTGAGGATCTGGCATGCGGGACGAGCCGTCGATTTGCACGTTATTCAACAGATCGCAAGTTGTTCCAGACAAGAGAGGGTCGCTGCGGTAGGTCTGGATCTCTCAGAACTGGGCGCTTTCTGACGCGCGGACACCAGGCGAATGGGCTCAACTCTTCTATGCTTTTCTAAGACACGCCAAAATACGATCGCGTTACGTTTGGGCCGAGTGAGCCGGATGCAAAGAGCATCGAACTCACACAAGCTAGCACAGATCACGTCTGGACAGAGTACTGGTCCCCCACACTAAAGCATTGGGTCCATGCGGATGCATGGTGAGATTTGGATCGACGGGCAAGTGCTTAAAGCATCACAGTGAAGCTGCTATCAACCAAAACATGCTGTACGACAAGGGCTGGGGCAAGGTGCTCAATCTTGTCATGTGAGCCTGACCTCGACGTGCCTAACCTGAAAGTGCAGTTGGCGCAGATGGCTTTGAAGACGTGACTCGCGCGTATGTCAGCGACTGGGATGCGTGCCTTTCACGTCGATACGCCAGAGGAGGAAATGAAAAAGCGCTCCGAAGGGTGAGGCTTGCTCGCACCGCCTTTGCTGACCTTTAGGTCATGGCGGAGATGACCATTACTCATCGGCTCACGACGCTCTCCCAAACGGACCTCAAGCGACTCGAAGAGACGGACAGCCTTCAACAAGCGTGGATGACGGACACTGTGCGTCGAGCCAAGGAGGCGGAATGGCAACAAGTGGGAGGGCGGGTGTCAGGTCCAGCAGAATGGCGGGCTCGAAGAGCAGAGCTGGGGCAAGTGGTCAAGCCTGCGTACACGGGTGAGAGAAGTTGAAGTGCAATCGCTGATGCTTACAGTGGACAGACAGTATTCATCGGCGATCTCTGTCCTTGGCGATGCGATTCACACAATCGATGGCGTATGTCTGACGTCTGGGCCGGGCCACACCAGTGGTGTGTTCCTCGGCGTTCCGCATGCGCAGAATGCCAATTTCTGCATCAATGTGAGGTTCCGGATTACCGCGCCGCCGGGTTCCGGGGCTGCGGACGGCATAGCCATCATCTTTTCGCCAGAGCCAAGGTTAGGGGAGAGTGGATTCGGAATGGGTTACAGCGGAGTCGGAGGCCAGGGCGACTTCGCTGTGGAAAGTGAGCCAAAAATTAGTCCAGCGTTGATCAGGACCAGTCGATACGTATCGCACCCAGGACCATGCGGATGATCCGCCTACCCCTCATATATCTGTGCATTCCCCTCCAAACGCCCATCATCGGCACGCAATTGCTTGCATGGACAGTCTTCCGAATCTGAGCGACGGCAAAATTCACTCAGTTCAGCTGCTGTATAACGGAGAGACACGCTTGCTCAGAGGTTACCTGAAGCTTGACGGAGAGGACGAAGTGGCATTATGGGAGGCAATCATTCCTGAAGCTCCGAACGAGGGGAAGGACTGGTTCGTTGGGATCACCGGGTCGTGTGGAGGCTTATGGCAGAAGGTGAGCGTAGACAATTGGCCCTTTCTGACTGGGGCAGCAAGAAGTAATATCTTGGGAGATGAGCACCATCCATTTCGCCTGATTTGTACAACCATCACAAGATGCATAGTTTTTTACTGTCTGATAAAAGGTATCCTGAATCCACTCAACAAACTCCTTGCCATTGCCTGCGCTCGAGGTCCCCTGGCGTTGGTGTGGAAAGCAACCGTGAAACCGTACATATTGGGGTACTGATCAATGTTGGCTTCGATTTGAGGGAACAGTCCCATAGCGTTGGGTTCGAAGCCGAATTGTACCGTACCAGAAGAAGCGTTTCGATAGTGTGGGGACGGGGGGGCTTCAATTCCAACCCCTCTAAATTCTCGCAGGCGAGGAAGAACAAAGTCGACAAGCGATTGGACGAAATCGTACATTGCTTCTCCCTTGATTTCCACCAAAGCCCCGATGGGCATGCCTTCTCGAAGTCTCCATCGGGCGGCACCCGTTTTGGCTCTCCTGATCGACACACCGGTTGAAGCTGTCCTTCCTCCTCCATTAATTGATTCTCCGCTGATGGCCCTGAACGCCATGATAGTGGGTAACAGGTGATGTTTCGACTCGACAGCTTTTCTGTTCATCGTATGCAAGGTGATTTTCTCCAATCGAGGAATCTTGTCCACGGTGACAGGCAGATTCTGGAGTGGGACCTTGTGTCCATACCGAGGCTGATTCGCCTCGTGACGTGTCAATGGTTCCATTTCAGGAAGCGGTCGAGGTGGTGTACGAGCGACTCGATGATCATAGTTCATATACATGAGGTCTGTCGCAAGAGATGTATCGTAGTGCTCATGATATCGGGCTAGATGGGTTTGACCAAGGTTGATGTAAGGTAGGGGGAAAGACTCTACTGGTGTAGCGAGGAATCGTCGAGCAGGCAAGGTAGATGGACCCGCTATTGCGGTCCGAAGCGCCGAGGAGGCTGCCAGGGATCTACGCAGAGCCATCTAGAGTGAGAGTCGACGAATTCGCAGAAGAGTGAATGTAGAACGATGAAATTTCGGCTGACCCAGTTTTTTCAACGTGGTCCGAGGGGACGGCATATGCCATTCAGTCAATGGAACTCAATCATCTCGCGATCTGTTTGGTACGACACCGTGGCTTCGTGTCCTGCGATGCCATCTCCTCCACTCCCCTTGGTTCAGTCGCTATCCCCGCGGATAGCTGTACTGACCTCGGATGATGTGGTGGACTCATGCGAGGCAAATGGATGTTGTGGTCTAGAAGAGCTACTTCGACCATGGGAGAGCTCAGCGGAGATGGGCAAGTCTGTGACGCGAGTGTGCGCTGACGCTGCATACAGTCCAGATCATGTCATCGACATTGACACCTACTAAGCATCCGACGTTCCCGCTACGATTCGTCAGCTACAGCTCCATCTTTCCTCATCCCGAGAGCTCGAACCCTAATCCTGACATCGTGGTCGACATGACGAGTAGCCTTGTAGGGTCCAAGCGGCCAGGTGGGGATACTTGCCGTACATCAGCTGGTGGGCTGATGGATACAGAGGACGAATTACACTACCCCATCACCCGGTCCATGCTGTTATCGTCGCGACCGATAGCGGGACACGAGACCTTTAATCATCCTGTCGGCGTGTTGCTCGCCATATCGACTTTGACTCCCGAGCCCCTAGGCGCATTGCAGCGTCTTCAAGCTCGAGCTATGGGGCCCATGAGCCAAGTCATACCGTGGATGGATGGAGTCAACGTGCTCAGATTCTTCGTGGTAGTGCATGATGTATCGAGGAAAGGCGAGAATCTGGAAGAAGCGTATGACCTTCTAGCTGCAGTCAAGAAGAATTGTGGACCTCATTCCACCTTGCTAGTCATCAACTCTCAGATCACGCCACGTCAAGAAAACCCTCTACCAGCTATACCTCATCCGGCTATCCCCCTTCCCAAGCTACCGGTCGAATCCATCTCTTGGACCTACTCCCAAGCGCTCGCATCGCTCTCATTGACCCCGGCCTTGAGCCCGCAAGCCGAACCTGACAGTAAGGTCTACGGTGTTCGCCTATCCCCAGAAGACCTGACACGCCTCGTGGCCCTCGTCAAAGAACTCGTGACGCAAAGTGTTGTTCCATGGATGGAGGCTCGCATTCGCGAATGGAACGAGCTGTGGCACGCGAATCGTCGAGGAATTACAGGCAGACTCTTTGGGGCAGGACGCAAGTTCTTCACAAGCCGGCCCAATAGTCCAGCGCCGAACGCGCAAGGCTATAACTCAGTCAAGGGATTGTAGGTCCGTCTACAGATACTTTGGCTGACAAAAAGTTATCCCGTCACGTCGATCGAAGCGGTCTCCCGGCGACTGGCAGATTTCGCATTCATGCTACGTGACTACAAGTTTGCCTCGACGGTGTACGACTCGTTGAGGCGAGACTTTGCTCAAGATAGAGCTTGGAGATACGCTGCGGCCGCTACGGAAATGTATGGCTTATCATTGCTCCTTTCGCACAATTACTTCCAACCTTCCACCCCTCCAACCTTGCCCAATGCACCATTCACCACTCTTCAACACACCGACATATCGTCCTGGCTGGAACAGGCCGTTATTGCCTACCAGGGTCGCGCACCTCCCACTCAAATCCAGCTCGACGCTCTGAGGATCACAGTACTTTACTATGAAGCTTGGAAAATGATTGGCGAGTGGAGAGGTGTAGCCTCGGCTTTGGTCAGAGCCGCAGGAGAGGCGGACGAAGTGCCGAGCGCGGTCATGATTGAAGAGGCTGCCGCTGTCGACGTCAGGAAAGGCCGACAAGGCAAGCGTCGCAGAGCCTTCCATCTTGTCTTGGCTGCCAGGCGATACGAGACAACCGGTCTGGTGAGCTTCACTTTCCCGACTTGCGCAGCTAACGGTCAGAAAACGTTTTCAAGGAGATGCTTGGATCGCGCCTCTGATATTTACCGATCAGCGCCGTGGACTGCTGCTCAGGACCTCATCGAGTACACGTTGGGCAGACAGGCTTACACCCTCGGCGAGAGCGACGTGGCTGTCCAGCATTTCCTACGTCTCATCGGGCCACGAGAGGGACCAAGTCATGGTGGCATACTGGAAGATTTGAAGTTGGCCCATGAGGTAGGCCCATCCGTGAACAGTATAACTGATATACACAGCAACTGGGAGAAGCCGATGAAAAGCCACGAAACGACCTTCCCGTTACGATTTTTGACATCCAAGCCACTCGCATAACAACGCCATATCCTCCCATATCTCTGCCTCCTCAGCTCGAGAAGCCACTGGCGGGGCGCAAGTTGAAACAACCTGATGGTCTCTCGCAAGGGGAGATGATCACTGTCGAACTTGTCGCTCGCAATCCCCTACCCGTTGAACTACGGCTCACCAACTTGCATCTGACTGCAGAACCAACGATCGAGATAGCCAGTCTCGATTCAATGATACTACAGCCAAACGAATCTCGCCTCGTCTCCTTCCCTGTCAATCCGACAGATACTGGATCTTACACCATCAGTACAATCTCCTTCCTCTTCCACGGCTTTTATCCCTGTACGCAATCCCTGAAGAAGCAAGGGAAACGACTACATGCGAGCAAGGAGCAAAGATTGACACCTACCTACGCTCAGGACCGATCTCTCACCTTTGCGGTTGGGCCTCCGAGACCTCGGGTCGTAGTCCAGCTGCTTGGGATGCCCACGCAAATGTTCCAGGGTGAAGTCGTCGACGGGTCTATCTCCATCCTCAACCCCGGCAGCATTGAGATACAGGGCGTGGACATGATCACCTCGGAGACCGGTGTTTTGATCGGTCTTCACGACGAAAAGGTCACAGCCACAAACCGAATCATGTCAAACACACCGTTCCGCTTGACATCGGATATTATTGCTCCAGGTCAGACCATATCCATCCCCCTTATCTTCACCGCTTTGAGTCACGGCGACAGCCATGTTCAGGGTGTGATTCTCTACGACAACGAATCAACGTCATTTGCGGCGCAGGTCGAGGTTTTGCCCCTGTTAGATGCTCGGGTCTGGGTCGAGCCGAGGAAAATGGGCCGACTGGCTTTGGATGTGAGTGCCCCGGTCTAGGGATCCGGCTGAGGAGTTGCAGCTCGGAAATCTATCGGATTCTCCAGTGAGCATAGAATCGCTGGAGGGCTCAGGTATCTACTGGTCAGTCTATGCGCAAAAGATCAGAGACGATCTCTTGCCTGGTCAGACGCTTTCCTGCCTTTTGTCCGTCAAGGATGCCTCTGGAAGTGATCTGCGACAAAAAGAATTGGTCACAGCTCTGGATGCGATAATTTCTGGCAAATCATCTTCTGAGCTCAATCCGAACTTTCCCTCCGGCATAAGCATGTCTCCGTCTTTCCTCGCCTCCTTGCATCGCCATCGCATCTCGTTTCTCCTCAGCCACTTTCCCACTATCCCTGCCTCATCGTTAACTCATATCTTTCCCCTTCACGATCCCTTAGATCTCAACATTCATGTCGGGTGGTCGTTGGGTTCCCGTCGAGGCACTACCTACCTACATGGTCTCCGTGTAGGCCCTGAATTCTCCATCGTCGAAGACCTGCGGAGGCAAGTTTCAGATGCCCTTGCAGCGGGCGGGAAAGCGACGCGAGTCATGTATGAGGAGACTGGTCGACTGCGACAACAACTTATTACATCCATACTCGACGGTGTTTATTCACAAGAAGATGATCCCGTCTGTCTGAGAGTCAAAATCGAGGGATCTAAGAGGGGCATTGTGTCTCGTGGAGGCTCAGGGTGAGTGTGGCTTTCATCGGGTGAGCTGACTTCCACCAGGGCTATTGGAGTCGTCTTTCAGATAGACAATCGGTCACCGGCGATATCAGTACGTTGGCTTCTCACGTTGCCTTTGTCCAGCACCGAAGTAGCGGGTATGGACCCCGCTCGCTTCACCTCGACATTGACTCATCGTGGCACCCTCGAACCTGGGCAAGCGAAAGAGGTGTTCGCCACCATCTGGGTGGACAGACCAAGTCTTGTATCGCTGGACGGGTGGGACCTGGCAGTGGAGACTGGGGAGGAAAGGAACGGATGGCAAGTGCGGCGCCATTGGCATAGAAGAGGCGAAAGTCAATGGGTCGAGGTCGTGGACTAGTTGTACAAGAATGCATTATAATTCAGTCGTATCCCTTTCCGCTGCGCTTTTTGCCTTCTCGACCTTTGAAATGCCTCTTGCCCGCCTTTCCGGTCGGCTTGAAACCCTGTTGATCCAAAGGTAGAGGCATTCCGTCCGGTCCCAGCATTCGCTGTTGAGCATACATCATTGGTCGCGCTGCTGGATCTCCACCGCCCTTGCCCTTTGTCAGAACACCATAGGAGCCCTCGTTGAAGAAGACGCCATCCAGTGCATCCGACCGTTCCTTCCCAGTCCGACCGGGTGCGGAAGCGGCATTTCCTCGGACTGCACGCGTTGTTGGAAGGGCCGGAGCATCAGCAGGTGGTACAAAGGTGTCTGCATTCTTGCCGACGTGGGTTACTGGAGCTCGTTTCTTCTTCCCCAGTGTTTGCCTTGTCCGTTGTCGGCTGGACTCCATATACTCGTCTGAGGCCATGCCAGGTGGAGGATGAGCATATAATAATCGAGCATTGACATAATCCTTGAGAACTTGCCTCGCCGCTCGGGATGTATCAGGCATACCGAAGGAGGAACGAGTCATCCCACGGGCGACTAGGGAATCAGTCGACATTGGAAAAGGAGAACTCACTGGCATAGGCGGAGAGAAACTCCTCCCAGCCGACTTCCCCTGTACCTCCATCCTCTTCATCCCTGACATCTATCCTGATACCATAGGTCCCCTCGAGGATATCGCGCGGTATCCTTTGACATAGCAATTCGGCAGGAGCGCTGTATTCTCTCATCTGATCGATTGGTAATACTCCATCGACGACCATGTCTGCCTGTGTATTTGCGAATTGTGGGAATACTAATCCTGGACAATCACACAAGGTTATCCGATCAGTCAACAGAAGCGTCTGGAAGTGTTTCGTCTTTCCGGGGGTTGCAGACACTGAAGTCTTTTTCTCGCCCAGCAGAGCATTGATGGTCGAGGATTTTCCGACATTGGGATAACCGACCAGTCCGATGATCAATTTTTCGTTCTCCGGCACGGGCGGTGCAGCAGACACGAATAAATCCTCCAACTCTGACACCGAGAGGACGGTGGTGGATGCCGCTCCGTTCTCCGACTTTTGTTCGACGCTGGTTGAGGGACCAGCTTGCTCTTCCTCGCCATCTGTTGACCATCCCTCTTCGTCGTCATCAAGGCCCGCAACTTCCTCGGCGGAGTCTGTCGACGATGCCGATCCTTCATCATCATCCTCCTCGATCTCGCGTTTTTGAGATGCCGCAGCAGCTGAGAAAAACGCATAGTTGATGCCTTCCTTGTCGAAATACTCTGCCCATGCGAGCCTTAATCGTCAGGCGCATCCTCCGACGGGACACTCACCTTTGCTCGGGAGTGAGCAAATCGGACTTGTTGATCAACAAAAGACTCTTCTTTCCACCGCCCAGCTCCTGCACGTAATTCTCGAGATCCACACATCGAAACCCAAGAGGATTTCTAGCGTCCACAATCTGCACCAAGAGGTGCGACCGCTCCATGACTCGCCACAATTGACGCCATAGCTGAAGATTTCTCTCAAAGGGAGTCAAGAGGAGATTCGAGGTCTCTGCGAGCCTAGGTTTCAGTCATCGCTTTCATTAGCAAACTCACTCTGCGATTCCTCGTCTCCAGTCCAGGAAGGAATCCCTCTCTTGCCTTTCCAACTCTTCCGGTCTCGTCTGTTTCGTCCATGGCGGTCTACGAGGGACATGAAGATCACGCCTGAGGTCTGCTTGCTTTCTAGTCACTTTCTTTTGCTCCTCAGCCGATAGAAGGAACGGGTTCTGTTCCTTCTGCGGACCTGAGATGATACGAGCCTTGGACCGTTCTGGGCGGCGGTCAGCGAATTGAGCGGGAGGGAGTGAGGCTTACCGGTGGTGAAGTCGGTATCCGCCAGTACTGCGTTGGCCAGGAACTCATCCAGATCTCGCTCTGCGGTCACACTCTGGAGGGGATTCGACTCGTCGAGTACATACTGCTCATGAGTGATGACTCGTCATGAAGACGTACGAGGTTGGACGTCTTTGGAGCATGAGCATCCCGAACCTTGCGGTTGATCAATGCCTTGCCGAGACCGGCAGAGGCCGCTGCACCTGCTTTTGTACGATGTCCAGGCTGATATATCAGTAGCTGCTGTACTAGTCCGGGCTCACCATTGGTCGATACTACACTTAAGAAATCTTATACCATGCGAGACAGCAAGGTGGACCTCCGGTCGATCAACTTTTTGCATACATCATTAATCCACGTCATGTCATAAAGTGTCGTTATCAATCAGTCTATCTATACAAAGCTAACAACAACCACGCTACCATCTGTACAACCATACTGATGCCCCCATCAGCCTCAAGTGGTGGAGGAGGTAATCGACTCACTGCGATCCTGTCCCTGTCCATAGCAATGCTCGTGGGATTTTTTGCTGGCGTCTGCAGTTGCAGGTGATCCGCCACTTCTGCCCAAGCGCCACGCATCGGATTCAATGACTCGCCAGGGCCCGGACAGATGTAAAACTGCTGATCAGGTGGGTGCCAACACACCTAACGCACCTGACGATCTGCTCCAGCTCGAGCTGCGAACCTTGTCGACGTGACGATCTTCTCTCCGTTCACAGCTCCGCGCTCAATATCTGTCGCCACAATCGTCCTGACGAGGCGCGGTGCTCGCATGACCACAGGAAGGCTCGGCCCAATTGCCCGCTTGACAGGCATCCTGGGACTACTGAAAGTAGAGGGTGATGTCAATACCGGAGACAGAGTCGATTTTGCGGTTGATGCCCTAACGGGAGTATCGGGAGGGCGTCGTGACGTGAGAGCTTGACGGCGGGGCGGCATTTCAGACCCAGAGGAGGCGTCTTCCCATTCGAGCTCAATAATCAGATGGCGTGTCGCGCACTGATCTCAGCCCATGCCACAGCGATGCGACTCACCGTCATGTAGCGCCCGTGGCCTTCGAACCAGTTGACATTCTCAGAAACCCCCGGAGCTATATCGGTGAGTCGGTGTTGTCCAAGCATCTCTCTTTCAACGATTCCAAAAGTCCGAATAATGCCATCAACAGTCATTGCCATGATGTAATCCTCCAAGAGGTGGATACCAGCGCAGATGTTTGTCTGCTGGCCAAACTTCGTCACCTTCTCTCCGGTTCTGAGAGTCAGCCGGTGACGCGAAGAAGATCCCACCTCCAATCCCACACGACGAGCGCCTTGTCCGCTCCTGCCGATACGAGCCATCTGTGATTGATACTTTCAAGATCAGCTTGGTCTACATGTGACCTACGCTACGGCTCGGATGCCATGAAGATGTCCGGAAAGAGTCCTCCAGATCTCCCCGTTTCTCCAGATTTGAATACGTCCGACATCATGGGATCCCGTTACGAGAACGCCTTCGGCTTCGTGGTAGTCCAAACACGAGATAGGTTTACCAGGAAGGATAGTAGGAGGTAGAGACTCTAAAAAGTTCCAGATGCGAATACTGGGCTTCAGCGGTTTCTGCAAGACGACTTACGTTCCATCATAAGACCCGCTGATGATAGTCTCGCCTCGAATCATGATAGATGTCACGTAGCTCGTATGCCCCTCGAGCAAAGTGACCTCGACGGGCTACTCAGCGTCAGCGTGGTAGGTTTGTGAACGTACATTGCCCCTCCGCCAACGAAGCTCGCGCTCCCACAATCGCCGAAAGTGTGATTCACACACGTCTGCTCCAGTGTGGCCTATTTGCCGACACATACGCTGCCAAAGCGCGGGCACTTGAGTGATAGCGTGATACCGTTTGGAGACCTGATATGAGCCTTCAGCAGAGCTGAGACTCACCAGTCGGATGTGCATGATGTCCGAAAGGTCCAGATAGGATAATATGCGTGCCGATACGTTGTCACCCAGCCTACCTAGAATATCCCCAGTCGACTTTTTATATTTCTGCAGCAAGGCAATCTGCGCATCCACGTCGGAAGGATGACAACCTGCCCATGAGTTTTGCGATCTCGCGAAACACTCACTGGCCACTATCTCGCCAAGAAGTTGGACTCGCTGCTCTCTGGACAGATTCTTCACCGCACTGCGGCTGTTGTCGCATTGATCATGTAGGGCTTTCAACTCATCGTAGTGCCGCTGCAGTGTATGGAGGCGGGAATGAACCTCATGAAGCTCCGCGGATGACGAGGAATGCGCTCGAATCAGAAGGGTCCTGTAGTGGTGCACCTGCTTCGAATGCCTATCATCCTGTCATTAGCTTGGATCCGGGATCGGCCACCCACCTCTGCCTCAGTCTCCGTTCGGAGTTCCCAGTCCTCGTGGTTGAATACACCATTTACTGGAACCTGTCTGGCTTCCTCCACCAGATGCTCGGACCGGGGAGGGGTGTCGGTGAGCTGCTCGGCCCATGCCGGTAGTGTGGTAGGATGCTCGCTCAGTTGATCTGCAAAGCTCTTCCGAGGATTGATAGCAAGTCGCGTGCCAGCGAGACCTGACCTCCTTGGGACTACAGCGTGAGGCATTCTGGCGCGGTCAATGACATGACTCAACAGTTGAAGTCCTGCCGACAGTTGAAGCCTTATCGAGATCAAAGCGGACTCGTTTCGGGGAAAAAAAGCGAGTCGCGTCCAGCGACAATACGATTTTGCAAGTATGATACATCAAAGCGCTACCTAAGGACTGGTCTCTTCCACATCGCGCTGGCCTCCTCAATGCCAGGAAGGGAGGCCCAGGGCTTCTCGTCTCTCCTTCCCATCGGAGGAGAAGTAGGGGACTTCACCGACAGACACTGCGCGGTCGCCGACTCGCAGTTGTTTGCCATAGTCGAATGTGGCCTTCCCGTCAGCTTGGATTAGAGCATATACAAGCTCACGGTATGGAAGTTGCTCCTATTGTCCCAGATGGCCACGTCTCCTCGGCCCTCCTCATTTTTGGTGGACCATGAGAAGCGCACCTGCAGGTCGTGGTTCTCCTTGACGAGTTTCTACGAATGAGCAAGAAGTCGGCAGACTGAACTCACGAATAGATATCCCAGAAGCAGATCCGATTCGTCCTTGGTGACCCCCAATATCCGCTTGGTGAACTCTTGATTGACGAACACAGACTTCCACCCTGTCACTGGATCTGGCAGCGCTCAGCACTCACTCTCACCACTTTGACTCACTGACGCGGATGACAGGATGGACGGCTCTCAGCGAATCCCCGTGGTTCAACGGACTTCCTCGCTGACCAGTTCGCAAGTCGATCCCGTAGGCACCGACTGCGTCCTTGAAAACAGTGCCTTCGTGCAGGGCTTGGAGACCCTCAAGATACTTGGCGAATTCGGGTGACAGCCTAGAATAAACTTCGTATCCGCTCGCCCAAAGAGTATCGCCTCCGCCTGTCTCGGGCGCAGTGTGTATCTGCCATGTCAATGCTAGTCAAGCACAAGGGGAATTACCTTCAAGATCGCATAGTCGCTCGGAGCAGGTTCAAAGGTGATGTCGGAATGCCAGCCGGTCGAGGCAAGCTTGGAGCGGTCTCCATACGCGTACTCGAATCGTCTGGCGCTAGTGATTCTGGCCAATTCAGCCCGAGACCACCGCATCCACTTACATGGAGATCTGATCGCCTTTAGGCGAGGTGTCTTCCGTGGTAGGATGTATGTGCAGGGTTGAAGTCGAAGGTTTGCCTGTCAACTGCCACATATCAGCCTGAGCCCGAAAGCTGCACCAACCTCTCCAAGCTTCTGTACAAGCTGTTTCTCCTGCTCAGCGGTGATATCCTGGTTGCGAAAGAAGGCGACGCCGCGCTCAGACACTGAGCACTGTTTCAAAACGACCCGCCACACTAGACGATGACAACCTACCCAACACTGCAAGGTCGCGCAAGAGAGCATCCCTGTCCGTGGCGTTGAGCAATGCTGACAGCTGGACACCTCTGAACTCGGTTCCAATCGTGGGTGTCGAATTGAAGGACTCGAAGATGTTCAACGTGCCATGACTCTTGAGCGGGACAGGCGAAGTCTTGAGTGAGAGCGAGCCCTTGGTGAGGGAGGAGAGCGTTTCTGTGACTGTGGTCATGGTTTGTGCTGTAGCTTGAGGGATGAGGGGCAGCTGTTGAGCAGAGCTGATGACTGAGTTGAATCGTGCAGCGGGAGGGGTCTCCGCCAGCGATCTGTGACCGATGACGCCACACTGCCAGCTGCTGTTGCGTGATCAATGCTCATTTTCCCAAGTATTTGCCACCTGATAAGACGTGATTCATGAAATTATGCATAAAAGTCCGTGGAAATATCTTGCCGAAGACCCGCATTACAGTTCTGCTCGTTTTGTCTGCCAGCTGTGTACGTCAATGTGCTCAGCGCTCGGCGCATTGTCAGACTATGAGAATGTGCTCATCTTTGAGCCGGTCCGTCATTGCAGGGTGCATCGCATCATGATAACGAGGTGGAACCGGTGACCATCAATTGACGGGCTTGGTCATGTAATCCTGGCAAAGCGAGTCGTCTGAGCCTAAAAGGGGCGAGAGTGGAACAACGAGCTACTTCCCTACAAACAAGAATGAGGTACAGGCACATAGAAGAGGCTTGAATATACCCTTTTCACCGAGTCGATGATCCGCGGCCGTGACCGGTGAGGATCGAGCGATAATGCGAGAACGAAAGCCTGCCGCGATCTCCATCGTCATTCGAAGAGGCGGACTTTTTGCTCCCAAAGATTCCTTCTGTCGTCTCCTTCAAGACTCGAGCAAGCTCAACTTCGTCCATCTGAGCGACTCCTGGCTGAGGAGGGTGAACCTTTGCGGTAGGTGTCATCTTCTTCATGTTGTGCTCCATTCTCTGCAGCATGTCCATGATCTCGGTTCGGAACCCTTCAAAGTCTGCCGCCTGCTGCGCCGAGAGAGTCACTTGTGGACCAGGACTAGTCGAGCGAGTCAACTGCAATTCTCCCATGATCTCCGATCTGAATCCGTGGAGTTCGGTGCGACGATCTCGATTGGAGGCTACCATCTGGTCAAATATCTTGTCCAGTTGTTCACCGTGATCATCTTGCGAGCCTCTCTGAAGCTCTCCCATGAGCTCTGTTCGGAGACCATTGAGCTCGATCCTTCGATCTCGGTTGTTGGCTTCGAGCTGGCTCAACAGCTTGTGTAGGCCCTTCTGATGGTCGCTGCTGGATCGTTCGATTTGCTTGACCACATCCGCGAGCTTGTCCTCGATCGCGCACATCGTTCCAACGGTAGCATGAGCAGATAGTGAGGATAAGATTTCTCGTCTCACGGTGTCCATCTCTCTTGCACGATCGCGACTGGAGGACTGGACTTGAGTGACTAGCCGACGTTCCAAGTCGTCCACACGTGTCACCCATATTGCCTCGCTAGTCCCAGTGCGCGTCACGCCTACAGCTCGCCGGAAGACCTTTGAAGCTAAGTAGCCAGAGGTGAGGAGAGTAAAGGATCCGAGAGCCCCGACAGTCGCAATGGTTGTGTAAGGGTATTCCCGTGCTAGATCGCGGAGGAAGGACGGCGTGTTCGAGTGAGCGGAGGGACCGGAAAGATAGGCAGACGAAGCATCGAGGTAGCCCTGTCTGTATGCCCGGGCAGCGGTAGCGTCTGCATCGTCAGCTTTGAGCAGGAAGCGAGATGCTCACGGCGATCTTCGGGGTTCTCAGGGCGACCGAGCTGGACCATCTCGACAGCTATGGGTACTTGATGGGTCACGGACGTGGGCAGCTGGTCTGGGTCTCTACCTCGCATTCAGTATCGAGCCCGGGGATCACGTCGTATGTATGCACCAACGCTGGTGAATGATTTGATTGATCACGGACTGATGTGACAAAGATAGGGCCAAGCATTCAGCCGGATAAGCGGACTCTCGCGCCGGGCAGACGGGTGGCGAACTGGAGAATGCCGTAATTGTCGCGCGACCCGTGGGCGACAGTCAAGTTCATGTCCGGCCTGGATACGCGTACGTCGGTCTCAAAAAGAGGGAAGACTGGACCGGGCACGATATCGGGTATAAACAGGCTAGAAGAGGGGAATACAGCGGAGTCTACCAAAGTCAGCACCGAGCAGAGGCGATAGATGCTGTCTGAGGGCGGATCCCTCCTTGGGCACGGAACCAAATGTTCAGATCCTAATCCTGAGGCTCATCTATGCGGGTATAAGACGAGACGCTGGGCTTGTACCTCCTCATCTGTATGTAATCCGTTGTCCATGAGGTCTCTCAACTTGACGCTCTGATTACGAAGGATACTATCCAAGTATGACCCTCAAGCCGGATGGATCTGTCGTGGGAAACTCTTAGACCGGTCTCGTTCGTCCAGCCAAGCGCTACATGCTGCCATGTTCTCGCAGAAAACATCGCCTCACATAATCAAGATACGGAATTAGACGTGTATCATCCCTGATCCACAGTAGAGTTCGCCCTGCTTCAGTCCATCAGACTAAATCCCCTGCAGCTTCACTCCCCTTGTATCACGTCGAGATGCAACAGTGGCAGGGCCACATTTTGGGAGAATTACTTACATAAGCAAGTCTCGTGGCATGTGTCTCTCTCACAGTCTCATCTGCCAGCTCAGCGCGATAGATTATTCGATCGCTCTCATCCGTACAGCGGTATACACAATGGTGAGCACGTCATGCGAGCCAAACCCCATCTGACGCCTGTATAGCCCACCGCAGCGGATATCAAACGAAAAAATGCAAACTTCGCAGCTCGGGCTCAGGCGGGAAAGAGAACCACACGACCCGCTCGAACTGGTCAAAAGCAGAGCCTCGGGATGTGGATGTTGCTTGGGATAGGTTTCTTACTGGTCGGAGGAAGTGAGTGGAGAAGCTGATCACACACTGACAGCGTAGCTGTGGTCGAGCTGGTACGGATGATCTTCATGAAGGGCTAGTGACGATGGGACTACCGTGTTGACGACAAAATCGACATGCATAGGGCCTCTTATACAACAGTGGCTACCGGACATTCTATATGACCAATCTTATACAGTTTCCTCTTCGGTCTCGCCCTCTGTCTTCTCAAAGAACCCTCGCACACCTTCGCTCGTTCCCATGATGGCCTCATACGCGGCTCTACCCTGTTCGGCCTCCCAATCCAGTGCTTCCGTCTCAAGCTGATTATCACCATAAGGACTCAGCCCGACGACACAGCTTGAACCAGCTACTGAACTTGGCTTCGCTGTCTCGCTGACGTGATACGACTCGAAGATTGGCTCCGGCGCCAGTCTGCGAAGATATGGCCGCAGAAGTTCCTCCGAATCGGAAGGCTCTGTGACAGTCGCACTGATGTATAACACGTCTAATGGTCAGCTGCATACTCATTGACTACTCACACTGCCCGGCAGGGCACGATCCGGTCCCCTCACCCATCAACAGGCCTCGGACGACCGGCTTTCCATCCACCGGAGGAAAGATGATCATCGCGGTATCGTCTTGCTCAATTCCTTCGTTATCATTCTCTTCACCCAAGGCCCTGTCTTTGGCCAGCGCCGCCGGGAGAGAAGACAAGATGGCGATACAGTGAGCACCAAGAACTCTTTCCGACGGCCCTGGCTCTTTCAGCAGCGGGGCCAGGAGATCCGGCGCGGAAATGATGCGCTTGGCGATGACTGGCCGAGGATGACAAGGGATGGAAAAGGTCACTTTGTCGTCGACGTGAAGATCTGTCATCCTGGCCGAAGGGCCCAACACATATGTACCTCCATACACTGCACATGCCCTGTGCCAAGTCAACACGGCTCCTGTTGCCCACGTACCTGCAGAACCCTTGCGCAACTTCGCCTGCACCTCCGTACTGACCGACCAGAAACGCCCCTGATCCATATCGGCCAACAGATTGCAGATATCTCTGGGTCCTCTTGATCGCTGGTCCAAGCGGATCGGAAGGCCCTGAGCAATGCGCTATGGCGTATGTAACTGTCGAGGCGAGATCGGGCGGCAGCTTTATAGACTCGGTGAGAAAATCCAACAGAGCGTCATTCTCCTTTCCTGGAACCGTTCAATTCCATTCCCCCCCAGATGAACCCACCTTGGATAAGCTCTGAAGACTCGTGGTCTCCCGCTGACAGCATCAAGAACCGCATCAACTTGCGTTTCTCCATCAACGACACGCTCTGATCTCTGAAGATCTGCTCCTTGCTTCCTGGTACACGACGAAAACCTCCCGAGCTAGCTACGATCACGCTGTCGAGCATCTTGAACGATACATATTTGCTGACATCGGAAGCGATCAACGTCTCGATGAGTGCTCCTCGAGATGGCAGAACGGCTGGGAACAGGGACAGGGCGTATCGTCTTCTATCCTTCTCCAGCTTTTCCGGGAGCTCCACTGGGTGTGTAGATCCACAGACCTTTACGTATTCTATCAACTCGTCCAGAGTCAAGGACGCTTGTGCCGATCCATAATACTCGTTCGGGTCTAGATGCAGGACAGACTTGCCGGCCTTGGCCAATGCCCTGGCGTGTCAAGGCAGCTTCTCTCTCGGCTACTCACGCTGCGGCTATACTCTCTGCCAGTCCTGTTCCAAGGACGACGACATCGTACTCATCCGAGTCGAGTCCTTGGGCCATGGTGTGGTGCTGAGGCGTATAGACGTGAATGATCAAGACCCGGGGCACCCGGTGACGTGGCAATTTCACTCTCTCCCGGCGCCACGACGATGTGGTTGGTTCCTCTATTTCTTTTGCATCTTCGACGACGGTCATTCCACACCTAACACGCCATGGCGACATCTCTGATCGTGCCATTGGCATACATCTCAGTCTTGGTGACGTCTCTGGCAATCTTCTCTCGCGTCTACAGGCGGCGGAAAGCAGGTGAGGACGAGGAACGATCCCTAATCTATACTGACGCTTCTCTTCCCGTCTCTCTCTCTCTCTCTCTCTCTCCCTCTCTTGACATTCAGCCGCCGTCAAATCATGGGAGCCATGGTTTCCAAAACACCCAGCAAGAGACACCTACATCTCGCTCGTCACAGCCTCTCAACCTGACCCTTCCTCCTCTACCCCGAATCAAGTCCCTCTTTCCATCCTCAAATCGGCTCTCCTGGTCCGAGCGACGGCAGACGTCAAGCGAATCTGGCGCATAAGAGATGACAAGATGGCTCTGGCATCATTACACAACAGAGGTCTCGTAGGGGACGATACGATGGCTAGATTCGCTGCGGCTGAAAAGGAATTAGAAGCGGAGATCGTTGACGTGGTCTCTGAAGCCAATACCTTTAGACAAGGTTGGGGTCAAATGATCTTTCAGACTGCCACGGAGATGGCTCAGGCAGAACGAACGAGAGAAGTCGTGTTGAACATTCCACGAGTCAAAGTGATGGAAGGTGAGTCATTTCACCCTCAGAGCCGCTTAACATCCAGATCGAAAGCTCGCCCATCGACGTAAATACGTCCCTGGACCAGCTGTCAGTCACGCCGCAACGCCGGTCAACACCCCGGCAAAACCCAACGCTGCGGCGGCCATAACGATGGCGGCGGCAAATGCCATCACTCCTTCGCGCCAGAGTCCAGCGCCTTCTTTACCCGACGTAGAGGCTTCACCGGCCGAGATCAAATCCGGCGGTTCGTCTGGAGCTTCCACACCCGCCAAGGTATGCCAACGATAGAGAACAATCGCTGACAGTAGAACACGCCCAGTAAGAAGAAAAAGGGGAAGAAATAGATTGATGTCAATGTATGCAACTGCCACGACATACTGCTTGGACCCAGTCACTCCCTCGTCGTTATGACGAATCCAATCATTCGCGCCGTTATATGACATGTATGACGCAAAGAGAGCGAGGAAGAGAACACAGACACCACTACTGCACACAAAAACTGTTCGTCTCGTTCTCTATCCCCTATCTCATCACAATACCCTTCTCCGCATTCACCTTGTTTGGCCTCCTATCCGGGTGATCTAATCCCAATGCGTCGTCTGCAGCCCATCGGTGGTCGTAAAGTACGTCGTCTGTCTGGGTCAGCTGGAATCCTACCACCGACTCACCATCCTCAATCGCCGAGGGTTGCTTGAACAATCCAGAAGAGACAAGGGTAAACTTGAACCTTGAAAAGTCCTTTTCTCCAGCTCCAATTCGCTCTTGTATACGCTTCTTGGTGTCCACAAATCTCTCGCCCTACATTTCAGCACGTCGAGCCCACCTGTACTCACCTCTAGCAGAACAAATCTACATGGAACACCATGCGGACGAGCAATGTCTCGAGCGTAGTGGAACAAATTGACGATCTTGCTGTTCTCTGGCGCGTTGATCTCCTCAAGGGGTACTTCCTGAGGCAGCGTCAGACCCCCGTCGCGACCTCTCTCACCTCTGCAAAGAGCTCTGCTGGATCCTGCAGATTGCCAATCATTTCTGATCCAGTGTACTCTCTTTGAGCCCGACCAGAAGGCACAATGTCAAATATACGGATCTTGCCACTGCCACCAGGTGCAAGCTTGACGCTCTTTGACAGATTCTCCGAGACATCGTTGAACGTGCTCGTTTTGGGCAGCAAGAATGGGTATGTGGTCTGGTTTCAGCGCGAAGCTTAAAGAGACACCCACTTCCTCCTTGTTCGTCCGTCCTGTCCAGACCAACTTGAGAGCCTTCTTCGTTTCCAGTTCAATGATGCTGATATCCAATAGCTCGTAATAAACAATGACATTCGGGTGAGCACTGTAATAGTTGGTGCCAGTGATATCCGCCACGCTCTGATTCAGAGCTCGCTTGATCACGGCTTTCGGTTGAGAATTGGATGGGTTGGAGGAGGTGAATCGAAGTTTCAGTGGGTCATGCTTGAGATAGTCTCCGACGCGGTGCGCCATCTGCGGGTCTGAGCTACGCCCTTCCTCACGCAAGACTCACGACGTCATAAGTCATCTTTTTGCTCAACATGAGATCAAAGTCTGGTGCCCGACCAGACTGATCCTCATTACGAGCTTTGAATTGAACGAGAACACGGTTCTGTAAAAAGTCGTAAAAGTTGGGGACATTCGAGTAGAGTGATTGAGCCTCGAGATCTTGAGCCCTGCGAGGTGTCAGCTGAATTAGGGGTTGCACTAACTCCTTCTCGGTCAGCTCGACTTGATACGTAATGACGTCTCCATCCTGAATCTCGTTCTGGTGGAAAGTCTGCTTGGTCTTCATGCCTTCAATCATGCCAGCTTTGATTTCCTGTACGGTCAGCGCCGAACACCCCACCACTCACTTCATACAACTTGATCGGTGTCGAACTCGGCCACTTCATCTTTTCCTGAATATACGGCAACAAGTCGCTGACTTTGCTGTTCCTGTTGACGAAGACCTTGCCCTGGCCCTGCAAGGTTTGCCTAGAGCAGTCGAACCATTTCAGGAAAATCATATACGGAGGGTTGTTCGGATCGGCGTGAAGCTGGAGATAAGCTCGACTCGGCGTCGGATCAACTCACAGCATTGAACTTGGCATGATCTGGATTATAATCGAGATATAATCTTAGGTCCGCGGCGCGAGCGGCCATATTGTTTCGAATATAATCCATGGCTAATTCGGTCAGTTTTTGCGCCCGCCCATCTCTTATAACCTACTTTGATTGCCATCACTGTCATGTATCGGCACATCAGGACGGATGGTCTTGTTCTGGCGATTGACCAGAACCCAGAGCCTGAAATCCCTCTCGTTGATCTTAAACCATTGAGCGATGCGTTGCTTGAACGTGGAGAATGGCTCCGTCTTGAGCACACGGAATGTCGGCAATTCAGTCGCAGGAAGGTTCTTGTCGTCAAACGAGGCGAGGTCAAATCCTTGATGTCGTGAGAAAATGTCGTCGGTAATGACCTGCCGGAGTCAGCGATTTTAAGGCAATGATCGTACCTTCGCCGTCAAGTATAAATGCTGCTCATCCTTCTCCCTGCGCTTCAGCTCGAGCTGTTCCCTCTCCGCATCAAGGCGAGCTTCTGTCCTCTGTTCAGCCTTGACTCAACGTCGGATGACTCACTCAGATGTGATGGCGTATCTCCCTCTGTGAAAGGCGCAAGAACGCTGTCCAGTTCCGTCTCCCTGACATATACCAACATGTAGGCGTTGGTGAACTTTTTCAATGTTCTCGCTTGCGTTCGTTGATGAGGAGGAACCAATCCATTGAGCATGTCTCCACCATAATTGTCCTCAAGGACCTCCTTATCCGTCACGGGCGTCACTCGGTCATCGTCAAACTTGAGCCATCGACCATCCTTGGTAGGCTTGATCAATGCAAAGTAATGACCTCCATGCAGATCTCCAGAGTGGACCAGGACGCCATGCAGTTTGTAGACATGGGAGGCAGATCGATCGGCATTTTCGTCAAGGAATTCGCCGAGATCAATGGAGAATGGGAATTCGTGACGATCATTGATCTGAGGGTCAGCAAGGCCCCCCGACACAGGTGCTCACCTTGACCAAAGCGTCCTTTTCGATATCGTATTCGAATCGTCTCAGCTGCACGTGAAGGACAGGGGGAAGGGTTTGGAAGATGACTCCCTTCTTCGCGTCCTGCAGACCGTATCCTTCCGCCTGATACTTGTTCTCTCCATCAAGCGTCTCTACAGAGACATAATCTCGGAATGAATCGCGCAGATTCTTGATCCCCTTGATGGTGAGCTGGATGTCTGATGGTCAGCTCTGAATACCGTTGCAGAACTCACCATAAAAGTCCTCTGACACTGAAGATTCAAAGTCGACATTGATACACTTGATGTAGTTCTTCATCGAGCCCTTGAACAGTTTCGGAATGGCACCTTCTGCCGGAGTCCCCTGAATACAGTGAGCTACTTCTTCCACCCAGCCTACCTTCATCTTAATTTCCAACTTGTCCTGCAAGATCCGGCTAAACTCTTGGACATCATGTTGCATGAATGAATCGAGCGATTTCCAACCAAAGGATTTAGTGAGCTCGGTAGTACCTATGTCATTAGCTCTGAATCGCTTCCATACTCACTGACGGGGAGATTGGAAGTTTGAAGGTGGTAGAATACGCGTTGTAAGGCTAAAGCGAGACTTTCGGATGGTGTATCTTTGTCGGTAGGAATTTGGTACACGGCCTGTGAAGCGTGTGAGTTGGTCCATAAAGACTGAGCTCACCTTGCGGAAATAGTTTGTGCAGAATAATGATTGGAGGAGAGAGTTCATGTAACACGTAGCGCCTTGGTTCTTGAGCCCAACATACCCCGTCTCCTTCTTCGAGTCGTAGCTGGGACCGAATCAGCTTGCTACTTAAAAAAATCACTCACTTTACGAAATTGTGCCATAAGACACCCGTTGGGTCCTTAAGCACTCTAACAAAGGCAGTAATCTCCACCTCGTCATTCTCTATTGTAGGTCTAGATTTGCCATTGGCAGCATCAACACTGTAGAGCTTCCGCAAGTCGACAAATCGAGTGAAACCCCAGTCGCATTCCTCGGCGACGAAACGGTGGTGAGCGTCTGTGAGGTAAGCGGCGAACTATGTGGTAACTCACGGGAAGAAGTTTGGATGGTGGGGTCTGTGGGATTGGAGATGGCCAAGCAGAATTGAGCACAGGCGTGCCATCCCTCTGGAGCGGTCTTTGGATTTGCGTAATCCAGATAGACTGAAACCATGTCATTCGGTTGACCGTTGGCATTGCCTTGCGGGAAGAGAAGTATACGCCTAAGAGAGATTCAGCACACAATCTTGAGCCAGACTCACCATTTGTGACCTCCACAGCTGAACTCTGGTCCTACTAATCTCTTTGGCTGCTGTGACCAATGTTCGATCCGCCATGTCTGAGCTTGGAAATCTTCAATCTCCAAGCCTAGATCAGGCATCGCCTTCTGGGCATAAGCTTCGACTGAAAAGAGTCGAGTCAGGGAGAGGCTTTCCTTCCGTACACATCGCTAGGCTCACAATCGTGTACATTTGGAGGTTCCTCCACTTCCATCCGACCAGCATTGTCGTCAATGACGATATCCGCCACGTCGTTGGACTAAGGGTCGGGTAAGCGTCAGCTAGATCTCGTAAAGGGGTGCAAGAAGAATAGACAAGTCATATCCTTGGCCTTGTCTCTGTGGTCCCCAACTCACCATGGCTGAGTCACCAAGTCAGACCGGCGGAGGGAGGCGAAACGAAGGCGTGAATCGGTTGAGAACGGTGGATGAACGCGGCTGATGCAAGACAGGATGTTGGGAGCAGGAGGGGGTCTCTTGTCCTGTAGCCTTGAGCTACTGGACTATACGATGACAAGAGGTCGCAGATGATAACAAAAGGGTCGCTTTCACGATTGAGATGAGTAATGTTGAAATCGCTGGACCACGTACGAGGTGACGGGGGAGGGGGAAGTGAGCGAGCTGCGGCGACGAGGCAGGGGAGGGGGCGAACGGAATCAAATTCAAAAACGGGGATGAACTGCCATGCCAACGCTGGGCGGCTCCTCGGCGTTATTAATCCTTAAAAGTGGCACCCTGCGTCGAAATGGCATCCTCCCTACTTTTGACACTTGACTCACACTCCTTTGCATGAACATAGACAGCATGCAGCACATGGCAAGACTCAAACCCTTCACTCACACCATAACCCCCCCCCCCCCCCCCCCCCCTTCCCACTCCAACCCGCGGTTCTTAGATCCGAGACCAGGAGGGTACCAAGACGATGGATCGAAAGGTCATTCTCTCCCCCCCCCCTTCCCGTAAGGGACGAGAGTTTCTTCCTCTTTCTTTTCCAGACATCTTCCTCCAAGCGCTGTAATGGCTCCTGATTGGTCTTTTGACGAGTCAACCCGTGGAATAATAGATGATGGTTCACCTCGCGAATGATCATATCGTCTTGATATGGTTGTTCACTTCTTTTTCTCACAAAAAAGGTCAGAGGTGGACATGCGCCGAGGCTTCTGAGTTTCGGAGGAGATACCCTAGCTGGGCTCCTCTCTTTATTCGACCCTTGGCAGACATTGCAATTAGTCACTATACAACAATGTGAGTCTCATCTCTCTCACTCCCACCCTCCTCCAAAACCCTCCAACCCCCGAGCAATGACGAAGAACAAAGATTCTAATCGTATTCACACTATGTGACTCTTTCGAGAGAATGCGCTTTCATCTTCAACGGTATCGGAGCTCTCATCGTTCTTCTCCCTTCTCCGTAGGCGTCCGAAGCCACGCTGACAAGCAATTGCAGGTCATAGCCATTTTTTGCATGCATGCCTCTATTCTCATACCATTCATCACCCTCCTCCTCAATCCCTATCACAAAAGAGCCATTCGTCGTCATACTTTCCGTCGTCGGCTCTCCAGAATCGGGGAAAGATTGAACAGAGCCAACTCATGGATTTCGGCTCGTCTCGAGAGTGGTATACCTATATCACAGTGGGTCGCAGTCGATTGAAGAGGTGGATACAGAAAAAGAATGTTATGCACAGTTTCAGAGCGTACGTGTATCGGCGTTCGAGTCGTGTGTTGTCATCTTCATCTGCGCTTTGACCGCCTACTCCAGACAGACCGCCTTGGCAGCTTGCACACCTTGATTGAATCCATGTTCCCACTCCCAAGCTGCCTTGCCGAGAGCTTCGTGTTGCGATTCGTATTCTTGTTTTCGTCGACCAGCCCATTGGCTAACGAAACCCATTTCAGAAGGTCCGTCTTGGGCACCGAGGAACAAGAGTGCATCGTCCCACCCTTGCGAGAACCCAGGTGCAAAGACTGCAGGGTTGGGCGAGCCTCCATTCGCTTGCCAATACGAGGTGTGAGAGTCTGAGTTTCAGTGCGTGCGATCAACTCATTCACTCACTGTGAGCATCTTGCAATTGTTGGTCTTTGACGTGTCCCGGGGGAGGACCTTTGAATCGACCTAGACCAATGTAGCGAGGCATGATCTCTGCCTGAACCTCATCCTTTGCGGACCAAGACGAGTCCCATCCTTCGCTTTTCTTCAAACACCAGAACCACCAACCGGCTGAAGACCTCTTGTACAGTTCGAGTTGAGCTTGGACCCAGACGCGTTGATGCCTGTCTCTCTCTTGATCAGGCAAGTGTCCAATGACGTCCCATTTGAGCGCTCCGGACCATTCTCCAACGACGAGATTGCCTTTAGCCTGTTTGTACCATCCATCAAATTGATTCGCAAAGTCTCCGTGAAGGTTTCGAGCCGTCGTATCACCATCGAATTGGGAATCTGGTCCTGCGAAGCATCTGTAGAGGTGATGGTCGAGGACGACAAAGCCTTGTCGATCACCTGTCCAAGGAGCATAGTGAGGAGTGTCCCAAGAATCATGGACGTAAATTGGGAAATCAGGTCCGATGGTCTTTTGAATGTCTCGAATGGTTTCTTCGTAAAACCCTTGAAGTCTATTCTCGCCTCGAGCAGGTTCATTGAGGAGCTCCAATCCGATCACATGAGGTACAGCGGCGAATTGAGAAGCGAGAAAGGTCAGAGCGAGGTTGGTGGATCGGATATTGGCTTTCTTGTCGAACAATCGAGGTTTGTGGAACGACGTGCCAGAATGGTCTATGAAGGCAGGTAGGTGAGCGTGAACCACTGGCAAGAGGAAGTCTACACACCATCTGCATTCTGTGCTCCGGCAGCAGCGTGAAGATCTGGGCAGACCGTCAGCGGCTTGCTGGTCTGTCCCTGGCCGACTCACCGACCAAGACGCCGAGCCCATGGCTCCCAGCGGTCTCGATGGCTCTCTGAATTCGTTGCCATGCGCCCTCAAAAACGTTTCTGTGAGGCTCAAAGTCTGTATCTTTGAGAACGTCCGGAAGAACGGAGCAGAGATGGTAGTAGGCAATCTAAGCTTGAGGTGAGTGATACACGACCGACTGAACCGCGCCTCGACTCACTGGCAGTCGGACACTGTTGAAACCATGTTCTTTGATCCATTTCCAATCATCCTCCGTGATGAATTCGTCCCAGTGCCTTTCAAAGATCTCTTTGGCTTCTTGACCTTTTGCAATGTCCAGGTCACTTTCACCAGGTGACGCCGCGTTTCGGAACGGTCCAGGGGTGATCCATTTCTCAAGGACGAACCATGAGCCGAGGTTGACTCCGAGTTGTTTTCGATATCGAAAGATTGACTCTGGGCCGAGGCGAGGGGTATGCTGTGAAGACGACATGACGGATTGAGCGTTGTGAGTGGATGAAGATGAAGTGGACATTTTGTCCTTGAGCTTGTCTAATATACCCATGGTGAGTGATGAACTGGTACAAGACGTCTGCGCTGTTCGGATCCGTCGAGGTGTTCTGAGAGACAATGCCAAGATATATCTCTCTCACTGTGTATTGGAACCGAAAGGGAGGATGAATGTAAAGGATGCCAGTCTCAGTCTTCAGTCTCAGGCTCAGTCTCCCTCTTGCGTCATCATCCGACCAAAATCTCCGATGCACGGAGCATAGCCGGGGCGATGGGGGCTAGTCACCCTTTGGGGCCAGTCGCTGTATCTACTACCACCTGTATCCCTTCATATGGCATCACCCCTTACAGCCTCCATGGCCGGCGACTTCGAACCTCCTCGTGATGATCACAATTGCTAGCCTTCCTTCAAAATCATCACTATCAGCCTCCTTTGATCACTGCCATCGTGCCAAGCGTTGAACCTGGCTCACCCAACGGAACATTATGCATTCCTCCTTTCCATAGACCCATCAGGGTCCAAATTCTCATCGTCTATCGTCCAATTGGCCACCCAGAGTTCTCTGCAATACATACAATTCTGCTTCCTGCCTTTCTTATCCTTGTATTGTTTCTTACAGGGTTCGTCCGGTGGGCAAGCAGGTCGATTTTCGTATAGTCGGCTCCGTTCAAAGTCCACAAACAGGACTCTGTCTGTGTTCTCGTTCCACAGGACGTTCCGAATTTCAGCATCACCATGAATGACCTGATGTTCGTGCATCTGCTCGAGACAAGCGAGGATCGGTCGACGATACCTGAGCCGGAAGGCGTCGGGGTCGCGTCGTTTCAGGTGAAGGATGGGTGTACCACCATACGAAAGGAAAACCAGATATTTTATAGCTTTATCCCCTGCGTGAATCTGGATCTCCTCTTCCAGAGTCAGACTGCCAGAGCAAACCGGCAAGATGTCCCCCTGGAAAGACTCCAAGCGTTGATAAGCCTCCACTTCCCTGTTGAACCAATATACATCATCTGTGTGAAAGCCCTTGCCGATCAAACAATGTCCAGATGACTCGAGAACCAATTTCAGCATGGTGCCTCTAACACCTGATCGTCCAAGAGATCGGCATATTCGAGTTCTCGTGCTGCCCTCGGCCAACGCTCGACTGAGGTCCTCCTGCCATTGCTCGAGTCGAGGTGCCGCCGAAGCACGATGGATGCGCTCATTGGGGCAGTGGGTGCCTTGAGGCCCTAACGCCCCATTCCTAAGGGATCTGATGCAGTCTTCAGAACAGTAAGGATGCGATTCGACAACGTGGGCGATTGCTCGGCGAGTAGAGCGTCGCGGCTGGCTCTCCGCCTCAGGGACCAGTTTGCGCTTCCGAGGCATAGTTGCCTAAAGGGCGTAGAGCAGTGCCCACCACCCAGGAGCCAGCGGTCCTCACACCGGCAACCCAATGACAAAGCCTACATCTCCTGATCATAAAGAGAGAACGTGTTGCTTTACGCGTCGACTGGACCACGCGACGTGCCACGGCCACGTGCGAGTGACGTCCTCTCTAAAAGCTTAATAAAAGTTCCGGGCCCACGAACATGGTGCATGACCTTGGCGTTTGGACACTGTTGAGCAGCACCATGAGCGAGACCGGAGTGAGTGAGAGGATCCTACGGTGCTGCGCCCGGTCTATATAGGATGAGCTGATCATTACTGAGCAGCGAGAGAGCGTAGACGAGCGAGGCTCACTGCTCAGCACCAAGTCTATGCACCCCGAGCCGGTGAGCGAACTTCGGGTCCGTCTGGGTCGAGTACCTTACTGCTGTGGGACTCCAAGGACACCGCTACGAGTGAGTTCCGGTTTATCTTTTCGTCCGTACCGGTATATGTCCCTGTAGGCTCTTCGTTCCTCCTCCTTCCGCTGACCACACTGTTCTTCCAGAAATCGTCAAGAGGATCCGAGCACTCGTCATCAAGCTTCTACCCGTTCAAGTGGAGATTGACCAGATATCAGATGCGACGTCTAGCATCATCACGCCAAAGGTTATCGAAGCATTTGCTAAAGCGGGTGGTGATTTCGCAGAGGCAGTTCCATTCTGGTGAGGAAAACAGATGGCCTCACCTTGAGGAATGGAGGACCGTGCTCACCCCTTTACTCAGTCTCCTGCGTGCTAGAGCACTCTTCATTCGGGAAGGATATCACAATCCTCCAGACTATGATGAATGTCGATGTAGAGCGGTCGCTTGTGAAGTCTTGGCGAGGCGGATCGTCCATATCCTTCCTAAGGACAGGTTGGAATCGGTCATGAGTGGGAGACATCGATACAGGGAGAGTGATGGAGATATATCAGCTCCTGTCAGCTGTCTAGAAATGGCGATTGACCAGCATTGTACCGTGAGTCCTGGTGTCTGACGAGAGATACTATACCGATCTCATCGTATACCAGATCTTCCTGTCATCCTCGGAATCGCAACACGTCGTCAATTCTCTCTGGAGGGGAGACTGGGTTCAGCGAAATAATGAAAGTGGGTCAGAACGTGAGATCCGGCCATATACTGACGCGACCCTGCTGCAGACAACGACATTGACTATGAAAAGTATGAAAAGGTTGAATCGGGTTACTTTTGGGACCATATCAACCCTCAGAGGCTTGGTGTACCGAGGTATCAGACCTTGTTCAGGCAAATCACTTGGCTAGTGTATCTATTTGGTAGGTCAGGAGCCGCTAAGGTTGGGGCTCATGAAAATCGTTCAGTCTACTCCCGAACTGTGCAGAGGTGAGCTGGCTTGAGCACCTCCTGTGTTGTACCCTGCTGATCACCATGCAGCCCCCTCGAGTCGCTCGACCCCGAACACGTCTTTGATGAATGGGAGATTGTGCTATACACCATGACCCTTGCGTACCTGATCGAAGGTGCGTCGATCCCATCAGCGCATTGGCTGAATTCAGAGCTCTACAAGCTTTTCAAGGTCATCAGGATCACTCCCAGGCTTTTTGCGACCATTGTGAGCGGTCCTCAGCTCACAGCACAGCGTATCGTTGACTCGCACTAGAATTTTTGGACCATCATCAATTTCCTCACTGACGGCTTGCTGGTCTCTGCATTTGTACTTCGAGTGATTGGCCTTACACTGGATCAAGAGAAAGACGATCAAGCCCAATACCTACAATTCAAAAGTTTCCAAGTGCTCAGTTGCGTCGCCCCATTGATATGGATCAAGCTTGTGCGTTACGAGATCAGCAATAATCGTGACTCACTTCATTTCCTCAGTTGACCGTGTTTGACGGATTCAAAGTCGTGGGAACACTTCAGGTCGTCGTGTTCAGAATGCTGTGAGTAGGCGGATAATACTCAAACTTCAGGCTGACTTGTTTCGAGGCGCGAATCGGCCATCTTCTTCATCTTGTGAGCGAAAGGTCCGCAGACGACGCTGACTACCAGGCTCGCCATTATGGCTATTGGATTCTTGCAATCACTCTACGCCCTCGATGCAGCGGATGGAGAAGCGGGAGGAACGGGAATAGTCATCAATGGTTTGATTCAAGCACTGTTGGGGTAGGCAGAGGTCTCTCTCCTGATCTAGTTGAAAATAACAAGGATTCAGATCTCCAGACTTTGACACGCCGTCATCCAGATTTGGCTACCCATTTGGCTTGATCGGTCGGTCGACCTGTCGAGAGCGCGCTCACGCCAATTTGCAGTCTACTATTCGTGGAACTTTCTCGCGACCATCATCCTCGTTAATGTCCTCATCGCCTTGTTCGGCTCTGCATATTCTGACGTCGAGGAGAATGCGACGGACGAGTACTTGGCCTTTTTTGTGAGAAATCTCATTTTGCGTCCAAGTGACTTTGCTGACCGTACCAGGCGAACAAGACCATCGATCTCAGTAGGTATCCTTTCTGACAGAATTAGAGCCGCTGATAAAGGCTCCTCGCAGTCCGTGCACCAGATTCATATGTCTAGTGAGCGTATTGAGGATACTAAGATGGTGCAGGGCTAATACTTCGTTAGCCCCGCTCCCTTCAACCTTCTGGAAGCATTCTTTATCGCCCCACTGGAGTGAGTCGGCTCGAGCAATCGCACAGATTGCGATGCATGACAGGAGAGCTTCGCTGACCATGAAACTCCCGTTGGCAGGTGGATTCTCCCTTCAACCTGGTATGTCAAGCTCAACCGAATCATTCTTTCCACCATTTTCGCGATCCCACTCATCATTATCGCCCTGTTCGAATCACAAATCAGTCATCCAGCCTCACGCAAGAGGCTACAGCTCTTGTTTGGCGATACGGGAGGCTCAGCGCGGGAGGAAGAAGACGATCCAAAGGTTTTAGACCCTGATGGAGGAGAAGATGACGAAGGAGAGATCAGTCGCGTATCGTACAAAGAGCTCGTGTCAGAGTTCCCCAAGTGAGTCCTGGGCCGCTCTCATCTATGCCCTCCATGACTGACATGACGATGCAGCACGACGATCACTGAGAGCGCTGTGATTGAACATGAGATGCGAATCATGCAGAAAAAGCTGGACGAGATGGAACGTTTGCTCAAGTCTTTAGCTGGAAAGGAGTCCAGGGAGAGGGACGAGGGGAAAACCTGATCATGGCGCGCGGCGAATCGATGCGGAAATAAGATAGAGGAACGTCTCGAACATATCTCTGTATCATGGGTAGACAGAGGTGCAGCACGCATTTGCAAACATGAAAACAAGAGCGTTCAAGTTCGCTCAGGGCCAGGCTTCGGCACGATTCGGTCCGGTGGCCCTACGGCGCGAGGCCCGAGGCTCGGTGCAAATGTCAGTTTAGCCGTTTAAGCGAATATTGTGAGGGCGATCATTTACCGAATACAAGAACCCAAATGCATTCCTGTTCTGCATCCCTCTTCCTTCATCTCACCATTTCTCAAGCTGACATACCCAAGTCTGAGAATCTGTTGAAGCCCGATACCATGGCAGCTGCCGTTGCCAGTCCACCGAACACCAATAGTGCTGCACTCGCACGACCTCAATCCTCCATGTCAATGTCCAGTATGACGTCTACAGCGAGGCGAGAACGTAAAGAGGGTGATGTGAGTGAGCTCCAGGGTACATTGTACAGGTATTGGACAGATGACTGATGGGGCCTGTACTCAGATTGGATCCGTCTTTGCTTCGCTCGCTGGAGAAGTCGAGGTAGAACTTCCAGAACGATTCAAAGTGCTCAAACGGTGCGTAGGGGTTTTTTCCAGCTCTCGTGTCCGCTTGTACGGTAGACTGTGGAGTCATTCAGAAATATACAGGGGGCTGATGACATGGGTACCACAGGGAGATGATTGGAAACGAGACCAACCAAGCTGCGCTTCTTCGATCGTGGAGTAGTTTGATACAGAGGTTGGCGGATGTGGCAGATGAAGTCGAACGACGAAAACAAGATGTAAGTGATGACGAGTCAATGCTCGCTATCGTGGCCTTTATGCCATGCCATGCTGCGTGTATCGACTGCTGACCTATCATTCGATCAGTGTATCCCCACTGCGACCTATGACGAGCTCTTGAACCCATCTACCCAGTTGATAGAGTCGATCAAGCGATGTGGCACCGTGGTTGTGAAAGATGTCGTATCGGAGGAACAGGTGAGCCGATGAACGGTGCCGTAGTTGTCTTCATCAGCTGACCCGATGTACGTTGACTCGTTAAGGCTCTGACATGGCTCGATGATATAAAAAGCTACATTCGAGCCAATCCCAGCGTCAAAGGTTTCCCAGCGAATGACAAGCAAGTTTTTGAACTGTAGTGAGTGAAAGCAGTCTCCCCCAAGGTGCCCCCATCACGAAACTGTCTGACAACCTACTCTTTTCAGCTGGTCTAAATCTCAACTGGAAGCTCGAGCTCATCCTCGATCACTAGACATTCAACGAGCTCTCTTATCCATCTTTTCCAAATCAGACTCGACGCCCATCTCGCTCGTCCCTTTGACATACGCTGACCGACTCCGGATCCGACATCCTGGAGATGCAAAGTTTGCTCTCGGACCTCATATGGACGGAGGAAGCGTTGAGCGATGGGAGGATCCAGCTTACAGGAATGTATATGAGAAGATCCTTCGAGGCGATTGGGAGGAATTCGATGCGTGGGAGATGGGTGGGGTGATCCTTGATGCCGTCAACGATTTAGGCTGACGAGCTCTTGCACGCCAGACTCTCGAGCGACGGCCGTTCAAAACATGTACGATGGTGCTGGATCTGTGAGTGTCTAACGGAGCCCTAGTAACTCACCAATCTTTTTCAGTGTGGCGTCTTTCGAGCTTTCCAAGGATGGACCTCGTTATCTGACACCGGTCCATCGGAAGGGACGTTGAAAGTCTATCCATACATCAAGGAAATGACGGCATATACTATCCTGAGGCCATTGTTCAGGTCAGCAGAGTTCTCAAAGAGACGTCCAAACATGTTCGACGCTGATCATGGACATTTGCAGAGAAAAGTCACCGCGACACGCTTGCTCTACCCACTCTGCTTATCTTGACGCATCGAACTGGGAGCTCGACCTTGAGTCTTCAACCTTTCCCGGTTCTCCACTGGGCAGAGGGCACGAGTGCAACGACAAGACTCATCCCCACCTCCAGCTCAATCGAACAATGACCAGTTTGCCGAGAGTCAGACCAGGAGATCAAGCTTGGTGGCACGGAGGTGAGCATCACAGCAAAGAGCTTTAGACCACACCGAGAGAGGCGAAGGGATCCTGTGTGTGACTCACTTCTGTGTTATTCAGACGCTATTCACGCCGTCGAATCTGTTCACCGTGGTTCGCGAGCTTCTTCCGTCATGTACATTCCCTCTGTCCCTCTCACTCTTACCAATTTGGAATATTTGGCTCAGCAAAAGGAGACCTTCTTAGAAGGTCGACCAGGGCCTGATTTCCCAGGTGGAGAAGGGGAGAGCGAGTTCCAGGGAAGAGGAGAAGAGAGTGATTTGAAGACTGACGAGGCGAGACGCGGGTGAGTGAACTCGATGCTGCGAGGACATGGCCAGTTGACATGGTACTCCAGAATGGGCTTTGAGCCATTCAAGATTGACGAGTCGATGAGTGAAGGCGAAAAGCTAGTCAGGAGGCAAGCGTGAGTACGCAGAGTGTGCTATGTGGATTCAAGCTCATCCGAGGGATTTCAGAAACGCGATTCTTGGCTTTTGATCTCCCGGTCGAGGCCGTCTAGCTTGGGTTCAAAAAAACTGCTTCTTCTTCTTGTATTGACGCGTTTTCGCCATTCCACCATCCATGCATATTACTGTGTGATGGCATTCTGTGTCGCATCTCCTAATCTAGCCTTGTGGATCTTGATATCCTCCACTGGTCTATCATTGTTGTCAGTCCGTACAGCTTCTAAGCGTTGAACAGTCTTCATCCCGGATGATATACGGCCAAAGATCGTATGTTTGCCGTCTAGGAAAGGTGTGGGTGCCTTGAATGGTTTGGGTCAGATCGGACGGCCTATGGAAAAGTCACGAGAAAAGACACGACTCACGCAAGTGATGAAGAATTGTGAGCCTGGAGTGGAGATTGTCAGTACGTCTCTGATGATGGCATCGGGATTTCCCCTTATCGCCTCGCTGACGCTACTCGCGAATGTCGCCCACTCACCATTTGTATTTGGCCCAGAGTTCGCCATGGCCAAGATCCCCGCTCCGACGAATCTCAAATCAGGATGTATCTCATCTGCAAATTTATCTCCATAGATGGATGTTCCACCTCGTCCCGTGCCAGTAGGGTCACCACCTTGAATCATGAACCCCTGAGGGAGAGATTGCTTAGTGAACCTTCTGTACTTGATGTCCCTTCTACTTTCGCACTACTCACCGGGATAATACGGTGAAACAGGACTCCATTATAGTATCCTCTCTCTGCAAGTTTAGAAAAGTTGTTACATGTCTAGGTTGATCCATTAGCAGAGGGATCCAACAGGCGAGACGCGAATTCAAAGTCACCGTTCCCCCAGCACTCACCTTTGGAGCATGATTGTTGTACAATTCGACTGTGAATGACCCGACGGAGGTCTCAAAAGTGACGTAGGATGCGGAGGAAGATGCCATGTTGAGGGGGGGTGGGGGTGAATGGAGAGATCAGGCCACGGGGGGAATTGGTGTTTGCAGCGCTGGATCGACGAGGCTTTGGAAGTATGGGTATTTGGGCTGAGTAAAGCTATCGTGTTCCTCTTTCAGTCCTTGAGGGACAGAGAGATTCCTATGGAGCAGACAAGGTGTAAATGAATGAGTGGAATTGCAGCTTTTGCTTTGGAAAAATGGGTTCAGACTATCCTCGAGTCCTCGATAATTCCGTTCACAATTCCGTTTTCGAAAAACCTGAGGATCAAGGTCAATTGAGCTTCATAACATTCATTCAACCTTGAGTGCTGTGAGGTTTACATCAAGCAATCCATGACATGGCGAGAAGAGGGAGACCTTGTAACATCTGACATTATGTCGACCGAGCTCGATGCCATACTCGAGTGTTCTGACTCTCTGAGTGGCCGGTCACCCTTTGGACCATCCCTGCCTTTCAAACCCCAAGCGGTGCCTCGCAACCACTCCACCTCCCTTTCGATCTTCACAGCAGTCATGGCATCAATCATCATCGATCAATCATCAATCATCATCAATCATCCATTTGGACAGACTCGTGACTTACCTGAAACGCTTACTCTGCTCTTACTCACTCATACTCACAGACTCTTTCCCCCTCCCCCTTGGTATTCAAACGCCGGAGTGGACTTCTCATGTTTCACTTGTTTGTTGATGGTGGCACAAGAGGACAGACAGACAGACACAGACGGTTCATCATGAGGATGGAGCAGGTTTCTGTCCGGAAACATCTGGAAGAAGGCTAGTGGTCGGGTCATGATGATCATCTCCCCCGCCATCCGGGTTCCTAAGTCCAGCTCACGGGGACAACTATGACGCACAAGTATAGGTTGATTCCTCAGACTGCTGCAGCCAAAAGATCCACTCAAGAAAAGCAGCAACTCCAGTAAGCTCTCGCCCAAAGTCCTACCTACCTGCACACACTCAGCGGATATCGACTCGAGGACCCGCTTCTCGAAACTGCGATCAAACAGCTCCTCCCCCAGACACAGTCTCCACTGTTGCGAGGACAGAGCAGTGTGAGTTCGTGAAGAAGGGTTGGAGGCGATACAGCTGCAAGTGGACTTCGAAAAGAGTAACAGGTGAGCCTTGCAGCCATGCTACGCTCACCACTCGTAACGATAGCCAGAACGCCCGCCAGCCCGCACTCACCCATGTGCAGCCTACAACCCATCTACATCGGCCTGCCTACTCCTCCTTTTTCCAGTCCTACCCTTTGCAAGTCTGGTATGCTACGTGGCATATTCAGTAAAGATAGAGATCTACTCACTGAGAAACAGCGGTGAGCAAGCCGGACCTTGAACGTGCCTATATGTTTTCTCAACTCAGGCTCGACACGCTACATCAACTTCACATGACACTCCTCGAGCCGTATCACTCTCAGACGATCCATACGCATCTCGCGGCGATACACTCGACCGGTCGAAGGAGTAGAGTTCTGGATGTAGGAGCGGTGAGTGGGCCGAGTCAGGCGAGACCGCGCCCAGCCCGTGGCGCGATGACTTGTCGAACCATGCTTCCATTCAATCGCTGACCACCGCTCAGGGTACAGGTCAGTGAGGATCCCGCGCTCAATTCACATTGTCTCACATCCCGCTCTTCAGGCGCCTGGAGCGTCATGCTTGCCAATGCTCAACCGTTCTGCGACGTCCTGGCTGTCGAGTGAGTGACTCGGACTTGATCACTCAACACCGCTAATCTTTCTTTCTCTCTCTCTTCAGCATCAATTGGGCTTCTTGGATGACTTCTGCAGCGCAGCATGGTAACCTCGACTGCCAGACTCTAGGTAAGGCACCTGCTGAATGAGACAGCTAGTCAAATCCGCGACTGACAACACTTCAGACATATCCCTACCAATACCATTTCCTCCTCATACTTTTGGTACGCAGGCGCCTGTTCGCCATCGCTGACGCCATGCTCAGACATCATACACGTCAAGATTCTTCTGCTTGAAATACCAGATTACTCGGCCATTATTGAACGACTCGCAGTGACGCTTCGCCCAGGGGGACTGTTGATTCTCGTCGAAACTGAACCTCGTTATGTAGGTCTTGGAAGACTGGACGTCTGCCGGACTGACGCGCCTCTTGCCCAGCTTTCTTCCAACGGGGAAACGTCTCGCTGTATCAGGACATTAGACGCGTGTGTGAGGGATGCATACGCAGCGCGAGGAGGTACGCGGGCCTGGTGTGGCCAGCACGGGAGACTTACAAATTCCTCAGTGGACACTACCCTGCCTGCGAATCTGCTCCAATGTCTCGCCTCATCCCGAGTCTTGTGAGTGGCGTGAAAGCAAACTGAGCGACCCCTTGCTGGTGCTGAGTTATCCAGTCACACGCCCGCATTCACACAAGAATTAGGCATGCCCACAGCAGGCTTCCTCAGAGGTAGTAAGTGATATCATTGCTCATGATCCTCACCACTCGTCGATCAGGTTCTCAATCCTTGGCTCGAGCCGGAAGACTCCATAGATCTTTGATCGAAGCCAACATTGCCAAGATCATACCGATCGTCCTGGCCAACGGGTACGAACAGGGACAGATACGACAGCTGGTCAAGGACTGCATCGAGGAGGTGAGTCAGCAGTGAATCGTAAAGGTCCAGCACTGATCTCAAATCGATCCAGCTGTCGAGCCCTGATTCGAGGCATTACCAGCGTCTTTTTGCCGTGTACGGACGAAAGATTTGAGTACACAAAACGATGGACATTTCATGGTGGTGAGCGGAACGCGAGACTTGGCGTCTGACTTAGTGGTATGCCAGGACATGAACTATTGGGCTCTCATACGGCGCACTTCAATACGCTCATGTCACTCAACATCGCATCCCATTCACCGGATACAAATATTGGATCTTTACAGCAAGCACAGTATAATACATATTTCACAGAGTCAGTTTGGCGAATCCGGATGACCCAGGCTTGGAACCATAGGAACGGGCTCTGACTGGTCACAAAGGGGGGCAGGTTTGGGCTACAGGACAAAAAACGATGCGGTCTGGGACCAAGCAGAAAGCATTGGAAGCATCGCCTCTCAAACACGAAGAAAAGGGCCAAATAGACATGTAGACGATGATAATAGCGACACGATATCTTACATCATGCAATTCCATACAGTAGTACAAGTATACGCATGACCTGTACAAGGATCTATCTGCCTCTACCTCCTATCATCGAGATCAGTCCCTCGCGATCGGCTTCTGGGGCCCAGAAGACTACCGCTCGACCAGGATATGATGCTGATGATGAGGGGACGTCGATAGTGAGTGATAGTAGCTGGTATTGACCATTGGCGTTCTGTGAGATGTCTATTCAGCGACGACTATGTGATCAATGGATGGTCAAACAAACCTTCACATAGTCACCCTTGACTTCCCCGACTTTGTACGTGCCTGGCGGAGGCAGACCTCTCGTGGCTGTGCCACTTCGATCACCTCGGGTGTTTGCATTTGAGCCATTCCGTAGCCCTGAGAATCCACCCAAGAGACTTCCTAACCATCCAGATCCATCCTCGGCACTCTGTGTCGTGTCCACTTCCACATTCGCGATGTTTCTCTCCTTTCCCATACTCGCATCTTCACTCGAGCCCGTGAACAAGGAAGCCCCGCCATCTATGAAGCCAAGATATCTCGCAGCATCGTCCAAGGACGTAAGGACCAAATGCCAAGATGATTTTGCCCAGTGAAGGGGTTCAGGTTCATTCCTTCCTCGTCCATGGACCCAGAACGTGATGATCATATGATCTCGACCGGAAGAAGGATGTCGCAAGAGCGTATGAGCGACGGGTGTAGAGCCTCGTACAGGAGCAGCGGGCGTAGGTGAGTGGGTGAATGTTAGAGGCGGTAAGAGGTGAGCATCGAGCTGGGAGAGCGTTAGCTCGATTGACCGAAGTAGATGGCGGAGGCTGATGAGGAGGCTGACGAGGAGGGCTCACCGCATCGCTCTGCCTGATTTTGTCGACCGCTTGGGAGTACAGAACGCTGGGCGAGTTCCTCGCAAAGAGCTCAGTGGTGAGTGACAGTGTCAGAAGGATGAATAATCCTCCTCCGAAGAGAATGACTCCAAGGTTCCCAGTCTGTCGGACTGTCCTGCCAACTAAGCGAGACGTGTCAGTGTCATTTCGAGTCCATCTATCTTAGCCCCCTGCGACGACTACAGCGGCTCGACCCCATCGACTCACGTTTACCCTTTATACCCAACTCTTTCCAGCTCTTCCAAGTCTTGTTCCTCCCACTAGGTCCGACCCCCAGAGGAAACGGTCCAACACTCTCTCTTCCGTCCAGATTCGATTGTCCAGTCCTGACTCGAGGACTCGCATCAAGGCTAGGATCAGTCCGCAAATCTCGATGAGTCGCATAGGTCCTCTTCCATGAAGTGCCCGCTGAGTGAGAAACGGCAGGCGCTTGATATGTGATGCGGAAGAGTGGCATCGCTGATCTTCCAGCCACCAACTTCGTACAGCTCATCAAGGCAGGCTGTCCCATGAGCATGGAGATGGCGAGTTTGCCGCTCATCTTGATTCGCACGAGCTTCCCACCAGGAGCACGAATGAGATGTACAAAGCTGCAATAATGTTCGGTCGGCATCTCGCCTGGGATATCTCTTCCCTCCGGAGATTGAGAAATTTGATTCCGTCTCTGAAATGTTCGCGCGTTTCGAAACGCTCGTCGTTGCTGCTGCTGAGTCTTTTGCGTGTCGAACCTTTGGAACCCGACTCATTTGAGCCTCTACATCCAGCTGCTCCCGCTAGCACAGAATAGTAGATTGGGTCAGAACACGTTCCGATCAATATGGCCGCATCAATGTTTCAACGAGATCCCCGAGCGGTCAGTCGCTTCTTCGCTCAGCTTGGGCCTAAGCTGACAATTGCCTTAGGGCCTGTTCTTGGGTGGTTCAAGAACAACCGGTGCAGAGGTCAGGGAGCAAAATGGTGAGCCGAGTCGTTCAGAACAGGGAATAGCAGCTCATCCTGCACAGTCCTTGCCTGTCAAACCGTCGCCAACGTGTTGAAATCATCTCTCGGTCCCGTTGGGTGAGCGTTGACAATATTGTCGAGCAATTTTCATGTCTCGCCAACTCGTTGTCGCACATGCGCTGATGCACGCATCCCACTAGTCTCGACAAAATGCTCGTCGACAACGTCGGGGATGTGACCATCACGAATGACGGAGCTACGATTCTGTCTCTGCTCGAGGTCTCCCACCCGGCTGTGAGTGTCCTTCTCGAAAGCTGGTCTGCGCGCCCGACGTCGTCCTGCTCTCAGCGCATTCGAGCCAGCTGACGCACCACAGGCCCGTATACTTGTGTCACTCGCCACGCAGCAAGACAAGGAAGTCGGAGATGGTACGACTTCTGTCGTGCTCCTCGCTGCGGAATTACTGAGGAGAGCGAATGATCTCGTCCGCAACAAGATTCACCCAACGACAGTCATCACCGGATACAGGTGAGCTGCATTGTCCCTCTGAAAGGTCTCAGCTCACACCACGTCTAGACTCGCTTGCAAAGAAGCCTGCCGTTATATGGCTGAGCAGCTCTCGACCAAGGTTGATAAATTGGGCAGGGACTGTCTCGTCAACGTAGCCAAGACGTCCATGTCGTCCAAAATTCTCTCTGCGTAGGTTCAACTCCTCAGCCGTAAGGAGTACCCAAGCTGATGGTCTTCAGTGATGACGACATCTTCGCCCCGATGGCTGTCGATGCCATGCAGGCCGTCAAGACTATCAACGCAAAAGGGGAGAAGAAATTCCCGGTCAAAGCGGTCAACGTGCTCAAAGCCCATGGAAAGAGTGCCAGGGAGAGTTTCATGGTCAAGGGATACGCTTTGAACTGCACAGTGGCCAGTCAAGGTAAGCTCTGCCTAGAGTGCCTAGATATCGCATTGAAGAAGCTCATGACTGTTGCCCAGCGATGAAACTCCGAGTGCAGAATGCCAAAATCGCATGTCTCGACATCAACCTCGCCAAGCAAAGGATGCATCTCGGCGTTCACATTACCATTGATGATCCTGAACAACTCGAAGCTATCCGTGCGAGGGAATCTGAGATTGTCCTCGAGCGAGTCAGGATGATCCTCGCCGCGGGAGCCAATGTCATTCTCACCACGAAAGGAATCGATGACCTTTGCTTGAAGGAGTTTGTCGAAGCTGGAGCGATGGCTGTAAGAAGGTGTAGAAAGGAGGATTTGCGTCGAATCGCTCGAGCCACAGGGGCCACCTTGGTGTCTTCCCTCGCCAACTTGGATGGAGACGAGACGTTTGAAGCTGCCAGTCTTGGGACGGCAGATGAAGTGGTGCAGGAGCGAGTCAGTGATGATGAGTTGATCCTCATCAAGGGGACAAAGGTCGTCAATTCAAGTTCGATCATCCTGCGCGGAGCGAACGATTACATGCTGGACGAGATGGAGAGAGCACTACACGATGCTCTGTCCATCATCAAGAGAACATTGGAAAGTGGTAGCGTCGTGCCGGGTGGTGGAGCTGTCGAGACTGCCTTGTCAATCTATCTGGAGAATTTTGCGACGACTTTGGTGAGTTTACAGCCGATGTCACTGACTACCTGCTTTGCTAATTTTGCTATTCTCAGGGCTCCCGAGAACAATTGGCCATTGCTGAATTCGCTTCTTCACTCTTGACCATCCCCAAGACACTCGCTATGAACGCTGCGAAAGACTCCACAGACCTCGTGGCAAAGCTCAGAGCCTATCACAATGCCGCTCAGAGTGCTCCCGTGTCAGATCCCAAACGTGGTCTCATGTTCTACGGTCTGGACCTCATCAATGGCGAAGTCATCGACAATCGCGCCGCTGGAGTCTTGGAACCCACTATTTCAAAGATCAAATCACTGAAATCTGCCCTAGAGGCAGCCACGAGCTTGTTGAGAATCGATGATGACATCAAGGTGGCACCAGAGGAAAAAGAGGACAGAGATCCTCATGGTCATTAGAGCAATGCTGAATAGAAGACAAAACGGTCCTCTTGTCATCATGATGCATTATGTACAATGAAAGTATTCGTAGTGGGATTGAAGGCTCGTAAGAGGTACATAAGGAGGCCTAAAGGTCTGCTACTAGGATCTTGTAGTCGCAGGACATCACAGCTCGATCAGAAGACCGTACCATCACTGATGATATCGATTGGAGCTGCGTTTTGTATCAGCGAAGGGCTGGACGCGACAGCTGGAAAGACTCACGGCCTCCACCCTGTCGCTTTGTCTTTGCAATCTCTCGTCCACCTTTCCACGTAGCAGCTTCGATGACTTGAGCGAGGGACAACTGAGTGCCGAGCTTTTCGCAGATCAATGGATGGCAGTGATTCCTAAGCGATCAGGGATCAGTACAATGTAAATTTACTTGAGCATCACTTACAAGACACCGATAGTCAGTGCTCGCCATTCTACGATAGCGGGATGCGAAGGCGCAAGAAGAGGGGGTTGATCTCTGCCCCTGGGATAAGCATCCGGAGGTAATGTCTCGGGTTTGATCGTCAAGGCGCCGAGGTCGACTAGAAGACCACCGTTCCGATACTAGACGATTGTGAGCTACATGTTTCTGAGTGGTAACAGAAGTATTCGCTCACCTCTGGCAGTGCAGTCTGACCTCGTCCTCTGTCCACTTTCCATCCGCCCTCACTTTCGATCACCTCGACGAGAGAGTAACACAGCCATTGAGTGAGCTTGTGGAATGCCACGAGATTGTCCCCGGTAGTTCGATCGCCCGTTAACGATCTTTCCAGGGACGGGCAGGGCCATACATCGCCCAAGGGGAACGAGGGATGGTCCGGGAGAGTGGTCCGGGATGGCCAAATAGGCAAAAGAAGCTCGAACAGGGTGCTCCACAGAAGTGACAAAGGTAAGGTGTCGGCGGATGGGAGTCTGCCTTCCAGGTAGTCTGAAGACGCGAGTCAGAAGTTGGGCTTCACAGAGGAACAGGTGCTTACTGATTATCTCGCCAGGTCTTCCTGAAGGGCAGATATCTGGACGATCCCCCAAAGCTGATCCAAGCTTGATCAAGAGCTCGCATCTGCCTTCAAGACCGGCCATAGGGTTTGAATCAGACACTTGAAGGTGCTTTGCAAGCGTTTCTACCCTCAACCCTTTGAGAGCTTTGGCTACGTGGAATATGAGCTACACGAGCCACCCGCCGCGGGGACCAGACCAGCCACTCACCATCGACCTGGAGCTTGTTCGCATTGTTAGACGAGAACACACCCGCGGTGAACATTTGATAGCTCGCCACTGCCAGTCCTTCACTCCGGCCTCCTTTCCAGGTCTCTCGTCCGTCGGGACCGACTTCAGTGTACACCCAATCGGGTCCAGCGCCTGCATCCAGAAGGACCGAGACGACGTACAGGTCGATCAACGTCAAGGTCTTTGCGATGGGGTCCTTGGGACATAGAAGAAGAAGAGCTGGAATACGGCCCATCCGTGCGTCCTGGGCCTTGGTGGGTGGTTCGAAATGGGTCCGACGAGAGGTGGCTGCAAAGTCAGGTTGAGCATTTTGCCATTAGACTCACGAGGCACCTGTATAAATGCGTTAGAGGAAGGCTTAGAGAGAGGTCTTCCTGACAAGCTCACTTTGGAGAGATCACCATAGTCTCTCGTGATCAATGTGACACAGTAGTCCACGACATCAGCCACTTTGTCCTGGTGGAACGTCCAGTGATCCACCTGACCGACTTCGGCAAGCGCAAAGACCTGATTGCATCGGTCGTGCACTGCATCGAGCGAGCGAAGGTAGGTGACGATGTCGGGGATGGCTTCGGCCATGTTGGAGATGATGCTAGATTGTGCGATGCGCTGAGAGAAAGTCCTTGACGATGGTATGGTACGCAAATGGGATACCAGTGACAGGATCGATGCGAGCCAATGGTCGACTGTCACTAGTTATGGGCTTTGTAGAGCTGGGTTGAAAGGAGAAAGGAGTATCTGGAGGAGTCGATCTTTGAAAATGAAAGGGACAGCTGAGTCCTCAACACATCGGTGGCAGATCACTGTTACGATCCACCCAAGGCCCAATGAACGCTGTACACTCGTATAACCAAGTTAATCGCGTCCATTCGTAGCTGTACCTCGAGCCGATTCGGATCATTTGCCGAAGTCCCGCAAGTCTCAAGGAGTCTCGGTTATCAAAAGCACACACGAAGAGTATGACGTGGAATTCTAATACAGCGTGTACGGGATATGAACCGGGGGGAGCGTGTTATGTCTGTGCTAACCACATGACGATTGACGAGCATGTGTCGTTGAAAGAGGCTACTCAACTGTCGGGCGGCATTGAAAGAAAATCCGAGCAGTATCGGTGTATCAGATTGAGACAGCTTGCACCGTCCTGACAGGCGCCCCCATAAGCCCCTGGCTTGAAATCCACGGCGCCATGCCGAAGCGTGGCGGGGGCGGAGTTGATGGCTGTGAGTGACTGCCTGGATCAACTGATAGACAATCAGTAAGCTGAAGATAGCTCAACAACGACAGCCGAGGAAGTGGTGTGTCAAATTTCTGCCTCTAACTATGACTCTGACTCTCTCGACAGACTCTCACTGGCCCTCCCAGCAGTACCGTCACTAAAGATCGTCATATCCACCCCAACATGTGAGTTGGGCGCTGGCAGGGCTCAAATGGGTCTCTGGCTGACATCTGAGATTCTGATTCCAGTAAAGGCAGTACTGGAGGCTTTTTGGGCCTCATCACTGTGCGTTATATGTCGGAGACGCGAGGTGATCCGCTTGAGCTCGACGTACTGATCACGCATTTTGCTTTTCAGGGCATTGCCGTCGTCCTACTTTTAAGTCTATTCGCCGGGTTTTGGATCTACAATCGTCGTCGAAGGCGAAGACAACACCTTGTTGGCAAATCTCGCGCTTCAGTCTTTGGTCTACCCTTACCTGGCACATTGTCCTCGATAGAGGGCCATGATGACACGTGGGATCCATACGCTGATCCTCTTCCTTCTCCACATGAGGGAGGGAATAGACCTCGATATGCTCGACAGAGGAGTGAAGAGTGGGAAATTCCTCCAGAGACCCTCTATGCTCCCACTCCCAGTAGGATAAGAGGAGGTTCACGACGAGAAGGCGATCCACTTGGTGAATGGGAAGAGATGCCGAATTTACCTGGAGAGACCACGGCTCCCTTACGATCTCGCTCCCCTCGGCTGTCACCACTTCCATTCGGATCAGAGACACCGCCTCGCCAACCCGAGTCGAAAGGGAAAGGCACGCAGAGAGCAGAGGTACAGGTCAATCCTTTCAATTCTGAACTTGATCCAGAGAGGTTATCCCCTACGAGCAGCCATAGTGGAATGGCATGAGTTGCTGGCTGGGCATCGGACATTCAAAACGGACATACACGTTGTATCAGCAGACAACCTTACCGCGACCAATCTCTAGAGGATATGCATGTTATGACAAGATTTATGATACAAAGCTTGAAGCAATGCAGTATGTTTGTGATATGGAGAAAAGGCTACAAGGAGCATATCAAAAAGGGTTAATCTGGATGCGGATATGAATGGCGGCAGAGTGAAGGAGGTTCACAAATTCGGGACAAAGCGTAGTGCCTTCTGCAAAGCAAGAGCATCTACAACCTGCGCTGATGATAATGAGTCATGTCCTGAGGGACTGAGTGAACTGAACAATGATCGAGTGCGAGAGACGATAGCCGAGAGGGTCTTTTGAGCAGTCTCAGCCTTCATCTGATCAGCCCGGAGCTGCGCCGTCTGCAGCACAGAGTTCGACAGTCCGGCAAGGCTGTTGCAGTCAGAGGCGTGTCTCGGGCTTAGAACGTACCGGGCACACCAAACTCCGAAGGAGGCTTCTGCGAGACCGCTTTTGAGTTGGTATAAGAACGTTATTTCTTTGCTGCCGTCTGGAACATCATTGGACCTTGCTACAGTGACTTGTTCAATCTCACCTGGCATTTTGGTCTCTTCAAAGCTCATATGCCAATTACTGATCCGCTTCGGCATCTGAAGACATGAGTTCTCGTCGTTGGATAGCCTTGCACCTACTTCACTGGCCAATTCTTCCGCTGCGGCAGGGTAATGGGTCACAAAAAGCGTGTTGCAGCCGACCTGGGCTATGTGTGACAGGGTCGCGTAAGCTATGGCAACACCGTCATAGGTACTGGTGCCTCGACCAAGTCTGTGTTGACCGTCAAAACAGTCTCAGACAGGAGCTGAGCTGATCGACCTACTCGTCGAGAATCACCAGACTTCGGGGCGTGATCGTTCTCAGAATGTCACTGGTCTCGGACAGTTCCACCATGAAGGTGGACTTCCCACGCTCAATCTCGTCCGCAGCTAATGATCTGATCAGTATGATTTTCCCACTCAACCCAGGATGACGCCTACCTCCCATACGTCTGAAGATGGGTCAGCTGAATACTGCAGTTCCCAAGTCAGGCGACTCACGTCTGAACTGTATCATGTATGCCAAGAGTCACACTTGCAGCCGGGACGAACGATCCAATTTGAGCCATGCAAACGATGAGAGCCTGAAGCATTAGACTAGTTGCGGACTAGGGACCTCAGAAAAAACTCGCTCACCGTCGCTCGAACGCAAGAACTCTTTCCAGCCATATTTGGCCCCGTGATAACCTTTGCACGACCGTCTCGCTCGGAGAAATGGATGTCAAACGGGACGTATGCTTCGTCCCTAAGCATTTCTACCTGACGCAGGTGTCAGCTATATTCGAAGCCGACGGTCGGTCGTCTCACCATTGGGTGTCTACCTTGATTGATGTGAAGCGATGGTTCCGCCACGAAAGTCGGCTTGCAGTAGCCGCTCGCGGCTGCTACCTGCGCCAAGCTGATCAAGCAGTCTACGATTGCAATCTGCCTCGCCACGACCAGAAGAGAATGGCATTCCGAAATGTCCGCTTGGAAATCAAGAAAGGCTTGTTTCGATACCGCTGCAAGGGTTTCCCTGTGTTGTTCACGCTCTTTGATGCTGACGTCGTCAGATGAGCGAAAGGGCGCGTGACTTACATGTTCAAGACCTCAGGAGTATGAAAGCGAACGGCCGTTTTGGTTCTGCAAGGAGTCAGCGCTATGGCTTTCCAGTTCATGTCCTCACGCGCTGATCTTGACCCATTTTGCTGGCACGGTCTTGGCATCACGTGTGGGCACCTCGACCAGATACTGGATGATCAGCGGGGTCTCATCATAAGTCTGAACTCACCTCGATCCCAGCAACAGTAACGTAGTTGAGACTCGGACGATGCAGCACCTTTCTGACCTGATGCAGATGCTCTTTCAATTCTGCCTCACAAATCGAGATGCACTGGTTCCATCAGACATGGATACGTGAATGGCACTGATCACCTCACATCTTTGGCATCCTGAATGTCTGGATATCTGTCGGGATCTGCCCAGAGACCACTCTTGTCATCGTTTCTTGCCGCTTTGATATCGATAGCATCGAGAAACCGCTTCGTGGTATCCTTGATGGTAGGCAACATCTCAAGAATATTGTTGAGAAGCTTGGACTTGAAGATTCCTTTGACTGTCGCTTTATATTCCGAGGCTATACGATGCAGTCCGACAAGGATGGTGGCAAGCTCATTCGGAGTAGCCTAGAGCTATCAGTAAATCTGGACTCCACTTGGCCTACCTTTCCGTATTGAATCCGAGTCAGACCCTTGATGAGATCGGGCATGTTCACAAGCAGGCTGCGGAGTTTCTCCATGTAGTATGTTTTGTTGCCCATGATCTCTTCTATGGCATCAACCCGAGCCTGCAGTGCACTGCAAGATTAGGAGCAATTATTGCGGTATGCCCACCTGACATCCAGTAACGGTCTTCCCAGCCATTCCCGCATGAGTCGTCTTCCCATCCTCGTCTTTGTGTGGTCAAGAACTGCGGAACGTCAAATCGTTGTTTCTATGTCGCCCGTCATCATACGTACGCCACAGGAGGCTACCGTGTATACTGCCATCCGTTTGATTGCGGTAGATCTCCCTAAAGAGTCAGGGAAAGTTGCGTTACGGTTCAGCTTACAAATTGATCAGGGTATTGCTCGACAGCAGCATGTGAGCGCGGTTGATGAACTGATGAGGATACTTTAATAAACTGTTCAGTCAGAGCAGATGGGAACTGACTTTGACGAAAGAGGTGCGGTGTCGGAAAGCGTTCTCGAGACCGAATGCTACGCCGACACGTCAGCTACTAAGTCCACTCAGACTATCTTTCGGGCTCACTTTTCATATGCTGAACAGCCAGATGGAGCGCAATGACAACTTGCTTGGGAAAATCGACCAGCTCCAGGATCGTTCCACCATCTGAAATTGCTCAACGTCATCAGCACCAAATGAAAAACTCACCGTTCATATCGACATCGCCGGCATGGGCTGTAGCCTCGAGATCATCCTCCCCTTCTGATCCGTTCATATCCACATCATCTTTTGTGAGATCGACGGTCTCCCCGGCTCTAGTTTGAGAATGGTAGAACTTGGTCAGGTCATTGAAAGCTTTGCCATACTTGGGGACATCGGGAAAGCGCTCGACCCTGATCGAAGCCGAACTTGCTCTGTCTTCTGTCAGTTTCAGACGCTAGACCTCGGAAGGCTTACTTGGAATGTCCCGAAAAATGCGTGAGCACCTTTTCAGTTGCGGCACTCAATCCGATTTTAGGAAGCAGCAGCTCAGCAGGTTGCAAATGGGTCAATCGAGTTTCCAGCTCGGTGCGGACCTGCGAATCTGAGACGGAGTATGAGCGCCAGGATGCGCTGATTGCTTACCGTCAAACTCATCCCAAACGACCTCGCCTGTAGACGGGACAACGCTGACGACGGCTATGCGGACGCGTTCGTCAACTGCCTGACCGCCCATGCCCTTCTCAACGATCGCAACCAATGCATTAGTGGGAGGCGGAGCAGAGCCCGGTAGAACGGGATCATCGATGATATTGGAGGATGAACCAAGTGATGGGTCCTCGACATAGCTGAGTGGGTAAGTCATTATGTGGTATGTGGAGAACGGCAGCTTACGTTGCGGCGGTGAACAGATGAGTGAGCTTCCTTGTGAAAGGTGCATTTCTGTTGTCACCGACTTTCTTCAGAGCGGCAGTCTCCAGCTGCGATATGACACCGACTTTGTAGCCCAAGGATATGAGTCTATTTGATCAGTCCTTGCCATGAAATGCGCGAGAGCTCACTTTTTCACGTGAACATGAAGTCGGTGGACTGGTACGGAGGCAGTGTAGAAATTCCGGCTCGGAAAGCTATTGCGTGAATTAGTTCGTCTTTGAGACAGGACGGGGCTTGGCTCACCAAGCTATGCCAAGCTCCTTCGAGGCAGTCTGCAACATTTCAGCAGCAGTAGATTCAGTACTCGGCACCCCTCATACCTTCGCATCGTCGCCATGGAATCTTGATAATGTTCAGTGTAGTCCGGCAACGATGTGACTGACTCACTTGTATTTGTAGCCAACTGTGTGGGCTTCAGCACGATGGCGTCAAAGACTAGCCTCACCTTCCATGAAAAGCAAAACGTCTGGATTCTCCCCTTTGATTTCCATGAATTGCTTTTCCAACGGCGTGTAGGTCTGACCACTAGGACCGACTTCTTCCTCCTTCTTCTTCACGCGCCCAGTCTTTGACTTTTCGTTGACTCCAAATCTCGCCATGAGATGATTTCCGACTCTCTCCGCGTTCTCAGCTGTCCTTGTGTCCTCCTCACTCGCATCTAGAAGGTCCAAGCCTGGGGTGTCCTGCCCTGTGCGTTCGCCTGCATCATCACCATCCATCAACATTTTTCGAGCCTCGGCGGCAGCAGCCTCATCCAGTGCCAAGGATCTTCGCCTAGGTATTATTCCACCGGGCTCTGCCATTCTCCGTTGCCATGCCTCGTGTCTCTTCTGCTGTTCCTCTGTCCGACGTTTGGACTCGCCAGAGTATGGAACTGATCCCGTGGCAAAGGTAGGGAAAGCACTGCCCGAAGGAGTCGATATGACTTGCAGGGATTTGGGAAGGGCATAATCGGAAAGAAGGGTAGACTTGGTTCGAGACGAGGCAGGACGGTCAGAGGTCACGCCCTCATCTGACGGCAATCGAGAGGTTTTCCTAGAGGAGCTCGCCGATGTTCCAAAGTAGCTCGAAGTAGTGGTGGTCATTGCCTGACCATCGCAGGACTCCCCGGACAGCTTCAGCCTCTTTGATGTAGGCAGCTTGGCCTCCTCGACGACGCCATCTGGCTCATCATCGTCAATGATTATCGGTGTATTGTCCTGGACCTCAATCACGGATATTCGAGTTGATGGAGGTGATTTCCGCTTGAAGAAGCTTGAGATTGCTGGCCTGAGAATATAGTTTTTCAACTATAGAACAGCATTCAAGACCATCGTCACTCACTGAGAGTCATCCTCTCCTCTTTTCTTGGGCGTCATGACATTGCTAGGATTTGCTTTCGTGCAGGCAATTGCAGGAATGGTATTCAAAAGTTAATCACGAGCAGTTGACGGCCGCAGTGATCGAGGCGGCCATCGCCGAAAGCGAGGCACAGCTCATACCGATCGTCGGCATGATCTCCGCGAGGATTGGGGCAGCATGCGAGTCTCCGCGACTGGGGAGGCGAACCTCCATGCCTAACTGGTCACCAGCGTATTCCTCAGAGACGATGAAGATGGCCGAACTGTCCTCGTAGCTTTTCATATGCAGTCACAACCTCGACCTTTGCTCTGCTTCAATTTGCCAAGTCCCAGGCCCAGGGGAGAGCGGGATCAAAAACGTTGCCCCCCCTGTGCCACCCGTTTTCGGTGGAGGAGGGCCCTCTTGTTCGGGTCACCGCGGATTATTCCAACTCTGTTCCTTTCGATTATCAACAACCAAGTCTGCATATCACTTTTCAATAGACGACGAGCGCTCGACGCACTGCGCGATGTTCATTCCGATGGACTGTCTTGCTCGTCCCGTCTGATGGACAGACTCTCCTGCCAGAATATCCGGAACTAGATTGTCGCCAGTATTCGCCCGAGGCAACTCGCCGAGCTAATACAGCTTTCTCATGTCGACCACGTCCAGCGCTCAAGCGGGGCCGAGCGTGCCTAGACAGGCTCCCAATCTCGTAACATCAGCTGGTCCGTCAACACGCATCAAGGATAGAGAGGGCAAGCGACAATCAGACCCAAAAAAGCGACGGAAAAATGCTCTAGGATGGAAGCGGTATGCGAGTGCCGAGGAGATACAGCGTGCATTCAAAGCATTTGGGGAGCATTGTGCTCGTAATCAGGTAAGACAGCAGACTCGCAGGGAGTATCGCTGAGGAAATGACAAAGATTCGAGTCCTGCTCATCGATTGTTTGGTCATGACCAACCTATTCTATCCAGCTCTGTCCATCTATTTACAGCAAAAGTTCCCGCCCTTACATCCGCCGGCACCGCCGTCTCACAACGCTCATCGATATTCATCGTCTTCTGGGTCAAAACGGAGAGTGACGAAAGAGCATCCATTATCTTTACTCAGTACACCATGGCTTGATACATTCTTCCCGTATCCGCCACCTCTGCTACCGCGATTGACATGGGAGAGTTGGTGGTCTCCGGATCCAGGACAAGAGACAACGTTAGGCTGGTCAGGTAGCGAGCTGAAGTCACAGCTAGAGGATGACGAAGTAAAGTTATTGCGAGTCGGATGGACAGATGTAGGAGGAATTTTGGATCATGACGAGACGGGAACATGGAATGAGCATGACGATGTGGTCCTCGACTTGATCCGTTCAACGGCGGAAGAATGGGAGGCCACCTACTCATCAGAAGGTGAAAGCTGCGTCAGGAAGCTCGAGAGAAGTAGCGATGGCCTGGTCCGCCCGTCTGGTCCATGTGTCGTGGTATCTCCAGAAAGCAAACTCGAAGGTCCCCTCGCCATCTCCAAACTGGTAACAGGCTCTCCTGCACCCGAAGGATCCCCAATTTCTCGTCCTCAAAATTGGCCACCAATAGCCGGCAAGGTGTACAGGAGCGCAGGAGTCCTTATGCGGATACCAAGTGCTTCGGCAACTGATTTTGAGGAGCGATGGGCCAAAGCGATGGAGGAGGTTGCATCGACCGTGACAGGCGAATTGTTCCCAGAGCCCCCACGGCCAGCTGCGAGACCTCACCAACTAGGCGAGACAGTCGCTTTAGCCGTGAGTTTTCGAGGTAGACGTCACGATGGCTCGTACTTACGACCCTGACAGTATCGATCTGCCAACACTTCCTCCTCTGAGATTCAGGTCACAGTTCCAGATCGACAACTCGTTGCATCTGTCGTGCCTCGGTTCATCATCATCCTCTACCTAATCTTCATAGTGCTGCTAGGCTCTCAGCTGTCGACGGCCACGCAGGTCCATTCGCGGTACGGTTTGGCGGTGACGGGCATCGTCCAAGTTTGCTGCTCCTCAATCATGTCGTACAGTGTGTTGTCGCTCTTAGGCCTGCAGATTGGTACGGATCCGCAAGCTGGAAGTTTGCCCATGTACATCCTTCCCTTTGTGGTGGTGGTCGTTGGAGCGGAGAACATGGCGACTCTCGTGAGCTCAGTAGGCTCTTCGGGTCACTAACGAGACTGCAGACAAAGGCCGTCTTCTCTGTACCCTTCTCACATTCTGTGCCAGCTCGCATAGGTATGGGACTGTCAAAAGTAGGACCAGGAATCGCTTGGGCGTCCTTTACCGATTTGTGCATTCTCGCTCTGGTGTCATTATGCGTCAACGTGCGGCCAGTGACAGAGTTTTGCCGATTCGCCTCCCTTGTCATCATCACGGACTGGTTCATGCTGCACACGTTCTTCTTGACGGTGAGTGAGCCATATTAGCCGGAAACTGAAACAAGTCAGGTCCTTTCTATTGACGCGCAAAGACTCGAGCTCGCCGATGTGCTGGCGAATCCGGACGGAACCAGCCCAAGAGCCCGCTCTGCGTCCTCGGGCAGGCCACGTCGGTCCTTGTTGAGACGATGGACAAGGGCTCGACGTAACAAATCCGGCAGTCTCATTATCGTGAGTCTTGCCTGGTGATATTCTGCTGAAGTCTCCAGATTCTCATATCCATCGGTGCTATCTACTACGTGACTGAGAGTCGCAGATCTCCGGCCACAATCGCTAGCCTGTACGGCTACACCCCTTCGGTCGCTTCCATCCTCCCAAAAACCACCCCATTCATCACCTCAGCCCATCAACTATTCCACCTCACGCCATCAGAACAGCTTTGGCGAAGCTTGAATCCCATGAACCTCGCTCACATCAAGATGTCTGTACCGAGGGCATCACTTATCATCCTTCCAAAAGTTGGACACAAAATGCAACCAGCAGGCCTGCGGAGACTACAACTACCAACCTCGCGAATCCTTCTGCCTCGCCTTAAACCCATTTTTTACCTCTTCAAGGTCGTCATTCTTCCGCAAGCAGTCACAGCTGGAACTTTGTACGGACTCCTGCTGTATCTACTGAAGGACTCCCAGCTGCTAGATTCACAACGACATGCTCTGGGAAGAGTCGATCCACCTGCTGGAGAACAAAGTGGCACGGAGGCGCTCGATTCCGGCGCCGTCATCGATATTCTGCCCTGCAGTCATGCGGTCGATGTGGATCGGATCGGCGTGACTTCAGATGGCAAATTAGCGTTGTCCATCGATGGGGACAACACCCTGTTCTTATGGCGTTTTGGACAGTTGGGCACCGGTACCAGGGAGACATTATCGACGTCGGAAATCAAGGACGATCCCATCGTCGCTTGTCTTCTGAATCACGATTGGGCTATCCTCGGTTCTCAGCGCGGTTACTTATACGTTTGGAAGATCGGGGAGAGCGGACCTGCGAGAGCTCTCCAGCCCATCCCGATGGGCGAAGATGATTTACGCATTTCCGCTATGTCTTGGGGAGCTGCTTCGCCGACCGACCCATTTCAGCACCCTGGTCCCACGGGTAGCCTACCAACCATACTGGTGGCGATGAACGATGGCAGCGTGATCTCAAAGGGTCTGTCTGACGCCGTCTCAAAAGTGGTTGTGCCGCCGTGCGGTGGAGAGAACCGGGTCAGGACCTCCTTTCTCAATCCTCTCCCGGATCTTCAGATAATTATCTCGGCAGGACACACCCTCACCAAAATGCACACTCCAGCCGCCGAATCTTGGATTTCTCGCGACATCGCCGTATCCGACGATCCTGCCGACCGACTTGAATGCGTGGCAGCTTGTCCAAACGGACTGGCTTTCGCATTCCGATCGGGATTGATTCAGATCAGAGATCTGGACGGTAATCCGATGTATCATTTCAGATTGCCGTTAGAATCTCTAGTTCCTCCGAAAATTTGCAGGATCGAACTGGCCGCTCCAAACTCTTCAAAATGTTCCACCTGTGGCTCGATCACAAACAAATCGTTGTTCACGCTTGTCTCAACAGCCGACCAGGTCATTGTTCATCATGCGGCCCCCCGCGGTCATTCGTTATGCAAGTGTTCTCGAGATACCATGTCAGATGGAAAGCTTGGCATACCACCGCGTCGAAGTCCCTTGACTACGCCGCAATCGCCTCCACTTCTCTTGCCATCGTTGTCTAATGACAGCGCGGCGACCTCTCTTTCTCACCGAGCCCGGCGGCCATCCTCCATGGGTCGGGAGAACTCCTATAATGGTCATGCGGCAGTCCAGGATGACTTTGACCACCAGATCCTTGGGAAGATCACGACGCGAGGGGGAGGACGTTGCTGGCGAGTCGGATCACAGAAGGCAGTCGGATTAAGACGGTCTGGGAATGGCATCGATGAACGATCATGGGAAATTTGGACTCTGGATCTCGGCCAGCCATGGAATGGTCGAAATTTGCTCGTCAAACAATCGGCATTTGGCCAATTATTGCGCCATACCGAGACTCGGCAGTCTGACCAGGATGCAATGCGGATGCAAAGGGACGAGAGACAACTTGCGCTGAATGGACAGGTCCCGTTCCCAAGCTTGACTATCGACGCAACGGCCCAAACCGGTCTAGCTTTCGTGGATATCCGCACATGCGCGAAGAGTAAGAGCGGGATGTTAGTTGGCATGGGCAACCGAATCGCAGTACTTGAGACTGGGGAAATTCCCGAAACGTCCCGAAGAGGCTCGACGCTTGGGATCGCTCTTACTCCGCCTCCGCCGAAGAGGGAATTGGAGAGCAAGAAAACGACTTGAGAGTCACAAATAGACGCTATTCGTTCAAATACATAATATTGTATGCACCTACGCTGTGGGAGAACAGCTGAACGCATCGCAGGATGTCACGAAATCCGAGATTGGCTCTGGGCTGACTGTCTGATGTGTTCCAGCATCACAACGCACTGATCGCTCGACCTGCGTTACCAGCTCACCCCACTGCCGTGTGTATTACTTCCATCGACCTCGTCCTTGTCTTGGGTTTTCTTCTTGTTGGTTAGCACGATGGACATCTTGGTACGTGGAGCATCAAGTCCAGGCGTGTATCAATCAGATATTGATACTTCCGAGATTCCCTCAACCTGCTTGGATGGTCAGTTGACTCCTTTGTCGAGTCTTGTTCGCGGCCAATATCGGTTGCATCGCTCATGTGTTGGGTTGCAGGACCTCGTTCTACCCTTGTGGTCGAAGGCGTGCACTACAACGGAGATCTTCCGTGCGTATCCCGGCAAGCTAGCAAATGCCGAGCGCTTCTTAGGTCGTTCGAGGAAATCTTTTCGGCTCAATTGACTGCTTTGGACTCAGCAGACTGGCAAAAGGTAGGTCATAGTACTGGACATGGCTCACGCGTCTCAGGTAGAGGCGGGACTCGTACAGGTCGAGTCTCTGCGTCAATCGGACGTCAGCGGAGAGAATCATAAGGCACTCGACCAGCTTGAAGACCTGATCACTGAGCCGCTTCCAGTACCAGGTACAAATGGACTCAGCGTCGAAATCACGGCCTATGAGATCGGACAGCATGCCCCTGTTGAGGCTCCTATGGCGCCAGCGGAAGCCATCGACGCAGCAGATATCGACAGACACATCGATCAGTTCGGCGGCTTACTTCAGCTTCCCCCTCCGATCCCAGTTGTCGTTAATCAACCCCTGGGGGACGCACTCACAAAGGCAACAACGGACACTCTGATGGTGTCGCAGGACAACGCTGAAGATCCAAGCGTCGAAACACACGTACCAGAGGCGCTGCCTAGGTTGACGACTCCAGGCTGCGAGGTGGAATCCATGGACGTGGACATCGCATCATTGGTGCAGTCTTTGGATACGGTTGACCTAAAGCCTGCGATTCAGCGGACAGATCAACAATGCTGGACGGATCTTTCACCTGAGTCTCTCGACTCAATCTTTGATGCCTTGCAACGTCGGTGCAATCCGGAATATGTGGCAGCTCGCGAAGATATTGCAGAAGGAGACCTGCCGTCTGATGAGGCTCTCGCTGGATACCTGAGAGATTTCACCAACTTGGATTCTGATATCCAAGAGATACTTCGTCCTTCGATCCCAAATCGCGAGGCACATCGGCAGTCACGAATGGACCCAGGAACAGGAGGCAGGTCTAGAGAACGTCGTCATAGAAATTCCTCAAAGAGGGCTGCACCGGATCAAGATGGGCGATGGGGAACGCCATACACAGAACGTGGACACCGAGAGCATTATTCGCACCGCGCTATGCGAATCAACGCTCTGGGCCGACGCGTATGGGACCCTGCGCCGGGAATAGATCTCAAACCTCGCACGCGAATGAAGCAAGAGCAGTCGCTTCATACGCGGGTCAAAGAGGAGCAAGACCGTCTCATGCCTTCTACGGGAGCCTCTCATAGCATGGATCGTTCTCAACCTCCCTCATGTAGACACTATTCTCGACCGAGACCTACGCTCTCGACTATAGATAACCATCTCCGAGAAGCGCCGAGCTCTCACATCAATGGAGCCTGTAGCGGCGACTTCAACTCCGAGACCAAAAATACCACGGGGAAATGCTCTCGATCTACAATCGGGAACGATATAGAGGAGTGCAACATCAAGGGCCCAACAGCCAGTCTTCGACCGAATTCAGACAAGGGGAAATCGGTCGTCAAAACTTCGTTCTCGCCGTCAATGTCAGCCGCTCAGCGCAAACGATCCATGGTCTCCTCTCCATTGTCTGGACGATCGACGGAACACGCCTTCTACGGTCTCAGCCAGTCTAATTCGCCGGCAGCACCAGAAACCATGCTACCTGGCGGAGCCGCTTTCCCACTGGTGCAGGACTCAGAGGTCCTGATTGCTCCTCGTTGGGGTTATCACAGAAGTTTCCACTCGTCAGTGAATCGACTTGGCTCGCGCAAGAGGAGACGCTGCTCCATTCGAGACGCATGACCCCAGTGCAAACGTTTCTGAGTCATTTGGCGAAGCATGTATCTCTTTCGCTCCCCGCCATTTCAGCAAAGCTGGATTATGCGCACAATGTAGCTGAGCATGTCATTCGGAACACATAGTGGCAGAGGAGAGTCAGGTCCCAGGTCTATGTATTGGCTACAGAACTCTGCCTGAACTTGGTCTCTCCGCTGCCTCTGATCTACAGAAATGGAGGTCTGTGCGCTGAACCCCTCGAGATCAGCCAAACGATGCTTCTTACTTCGTTCAGTTCTTCTCTCCGTCCAGTTCTCACTCTCACTTGCTTCTCAGCTGACCCATGCTAACCTGACGCATCGGCTCAATCACAATGCATGCAGGGCACAAGTTCAATTGTTTTGAGGTGAGTTACTGGTGGCATTCTGAGCATCGATGGTCTCGCTGACTTGGATCAGTCCTTCGTCTGCCATTATACCGACCCTGTAGTTAGGAAGCTCGGTGAGTGGTGTTCCGCGCGCAAACCCATCTGTTCCCGCTGAGATCATCGAAGTTGAGCATAAAGAAGAATGGACTAACGAGCATACACGACAGCAATGCTATATCATGGGCAAACCTGATTTGGTAAATGACATCTCTGGGGGCCGTCGTGCTCACTCTCTCAGACAATTGGGATCGGCTACAGCTTCCATGCAAAACGACCTCGTCGCTCAGACTTCCGCGTGGACATCAAGCTTGATGGCCAGCTCGTCTATCGACGCCTGGTCAAAGAGCATTATCATCGACTCAGGGCTGTCGACAGGATCCTTCGTCGAGGCTCGCCTCATATGGCCTCCTTTGCGATCACCATTGAGGAAACGGTAAGACTGCCTATTGTCAGTTGGGATCTGACAAGGTCTCAGGACCTGATTGAACATCGGTACAGGCTAATGACGCCTGACTCTGATGATGGAAACGATGTTGAACGTGTCGATGATGATGATCTGGAGTTTGGCACGATCACCATCGAGGTCTATCGTGGGCATGTAGACCGCGAAAACCCGCTGCGCGAGAGTCTGGCATGTCACTTCACAGGACAGTCGTTGAAGCACGATACTCCAATACCTGTGAGTCAGCGTATCATGTTAGCAAGCGAGCTGAAAAGTTGCAGGACACAATGAGGGACATGGCATTGAGGATCTCGTCAGTCAGCGAGTCTGAGCGTGGCACCTGATCGTGATCTTTGACACTAAAGATTAGCTGTGACCGCCTGCTAGAGAAAGATGTCCGCAAGGCAACAACTTTGAAAGGCTCATTCCGCCCTCATGAAGACGACGAAGAGGAGCCGTGGTTCACGCAAGTGCACAAAGTGATTTCTTAGCTTGTCACGAGGTCTGACGCTGCAGTACCGAAGTCTCCGGGACTTGGACCGGGTCTGCATCGTGGAGAGCAAGTCTTTGTATTGGATCGACCTACTGACAGATGTAGATGGGATGTTTGACGAGGATCACCTTGGCGCCGCGTCCCTCTCAGCAGGCTACATGAGTGAGAGTATGCGAATACGAGCACACATTGCGGGATTAGAGGAGACAGTGAAGAATCTCCAGGTAAGACTGATCATCTCACCGAGCTGACACCAATCTAGATGACGGTCGCCGGTTTACAGGAGAGGATCGCCGAGCGAGGCTCCGGGTCCCGAAATGGCTCTTCACGCAATCTTAGGACGCCAGATCCTAGGGCTAGTGCTGGTAGTAGCGTGAAGAGTCCCATTGAGTTGGTCGACTCAAGTGAGGATGAGATGTAGGTAAGCAATGTACCAAGTCATGGATCCGTCACGTCAGTCTTCACGTCTAAAGGTATAGGGGATATACATCAGAGCTGGTTCGTGCCAGTCGATCTGCGTGGTAGGCAAGTTCAACGTCTGTCTGTATGCATCACCCATCAAGTCTACTAATGCACGATACAGGAAGTAGTCTGGAGGTATCCTCGCTGGTACAAGGGGGTCTGAGCGCTGAAAGTTTCCTTGGACAGAAATGATGGAGCACTTCGAGACCTACTCATCAAACCTGGTGTTTCTTCACCTTCCGTTTTGACTCTCTTGGACTTTCTGGATCACTCAGAATGCACGCTGGGGACGACAGGAATGGGTTTGAAGTCAGTGCGACGCATGGCGTCTATACGGCACCGAGCTAAAGAACTTGCAGTCCATGATCTGTATCGATCGAGACAGAGCAGATGGCGATCTCAGCAAGCTCGGTGAGTTCCTCACTCCTCACTCCTGAAATGTTCTCAAGACCTTACAGTGGAAAGATCTGCAGACCTGGCCCCAAACGACCAGATGCAAATCCCATCTCAAGAAGCTTTCGTAGCTATTGAAGAGGGACAGGTGAGGCTAGATCGTGGCCGGCGCTGAAGATGACCATTTAGAGATACATGATCGGTTTCAAGATCAACAAGAGGAAGCCTGAGAAGCTGGACTTTCTCATCATCGTCAAGGTGGACGGTCAAGTGATCTGTCGTGTACCTGTAAAGAATGGGTCGCACCTAGTCCGACTGGTCGACAGAATCTACACGCTCGGTGTTGATGGTAGAATAAAGGCGAATGCCTTGAGGGTGAACGACATGGTGCGGGTTGAATGGATTGAACGTTTCTGCGGTAACTGAATGGAGCATAGGAGGAAGACTACGCTGCGATGAGGGACTATCCGCACGTCGGGGAGATCGAGCTCGAAGTGTATAGGGGGAAAGTTCACAAGACTGTGGCGGAGACCAGTCTCGTTTCGGAATTCAAGACCCCCTCGGTCCTGCCACATACGAAGACAGAGGTGGGTTAGGCTCCAGACCACAAGGAGACACAGACATCGTGCTTACGTGCGACCCACAGAGAGTTCAACTATGTACCCAGTGAGTGAGTTCGACAAGTCACTTGAGGTCGCACCTGATCTGACACCTCACTGGAGTCTCGGAGAAGAATTGGACGGTGATGTCGATCCGCGGACTGCTGCTTTCAATGTGGGCTTTCAGCATCTCGCTGGAGATGAGGGGTCTCCATGGTTCACACACGTGTACAAGGTATGCCCATGAGTGACCCTTGTACCAGCAGGCCACTGACCCCACCCAGTACCGCCTACTCTATGACCTGACTCGAGATGACAACGTGCTGGCCGGTGTGTTGCAGTTCGTGGCGCAAGGTACAAATCGCGCTTCGCTAACTCTCAGATCAGATCCCACCGGTGGTCTGGTGGTCACAATCCCTCATCCCGGCAAGCGTGGACGTACAGCTGCATCGAGAACCAAGGGAAATCATGCAACGACAGATGCCAACGCACGCAACGATCAGCGATTCAGGCTATTGGAGAATAGGATCATAGCTTTAGAAGTACGCAAACTGTATGGATGTCACGACTGATCCCTTTCTAGCAAGAATCAGCGGTACATAGAACCGCCATCTCCGATCTTCGAAGAGCTGCCGACAATGTCGGTAATGACGGTCAGACTTCGAGCCCTTTGACTGAAGAGAGAGATCAACATCTGGATGACTGGAACATCCTCAGCGAATTAGCCTCTGCTGAATGGCTCTCGACTTTGCGAGTGCGTCCTCGGCATGGACAATGAAGCATGCCAACACCCATACGGTCAGGCGTTGCTTCCTGCGTATTCTGAGTATTCAGGTGAAACGTTTGAGCAATTCCGCATCCGGCAGTGTAGCGATGCATAGGTCGTCCAGATGGCAGGTCCCGATGAGAGAACTCGTAGATCGTCACGCGTTGGTACCAAAGCACGCCTGTAGCCGTTTAAGTTGGACCGTATCTGAAGGTCCATAGTGAACCAGAAGTGATCCAATGGTCAAGATCTCAATGTGACCAGGGAGCCAACCATCATTGAGGCAGCTTATGCAAAGCGGGGCAATGTCATTAATCGTCAAGTATATTACAGGCATCTCGTCAAGGCACAGAGTCTATTCCCCAACGCGATACGCCACCATGGCCTGGTTGTGGAGTCAGCGCATTTACACCTCCAGCACCTCCTCCAGCCATGCTGCTCACCTCTAAGGAGTGCACATTCGTGCTGAAGCTCCGTAATCTGACTTGCTCGACCTTGCCCCGGTCGATGAGATGTGGATCCGCATCTCCCCAAGTAGCCGGAACAGCATCAAGCGAATCATTGGTATATGCTAGCAACGTGAATGTGCCTGTGAAATGTCAGTGAGGGCGGAAAGGTGATATCAGCGTCCCCAACTCACATTCACCGTCCAGTATCGGCAGGAAAGAAGTACTGCTCGTGATCTGCTTCATGATTTCCCTGATCTCCCCTTGCACCTCTTTCTCCGTCTTTTCCTTTCTCTTAGCTCCTGTTGAAGTCTTCTCCTTGGGCGCTGTACCGTTTGCAGCTGCTTCATCGGTGTGTATCTCGAATTGCCAGCGCTCGAGAGTCTCGTCAGTCTCAACGGATTTAATCGCGAGGACCAGACGTGAAATGGCAGAGGACATGAGCCATTCTGTACAAGTGAGCTTGAGGTGCCTAACGATCAAACGTACCCTGTACTTGTGCCAGGATGGTTTGCAGGTATTCTTTGACGCTCTCATCCGCAGTGATCAACATGGGTATACCGTATTTTTTGACCATTCTAGACATCAGCTCAAAGCGACTCTCGATGTAGCTCACCTGAAGTCGTCAGAAGGATAGACACCGCGCTGATATAGAATGCTAGCAGGTTCTCTCAGCCAGATCCTTCCCACTCGCAACGACACCTACCTATTGACGCTGTACTCGAAGAATTCAGTCACCATGGCAGTTGATCCCTTCAAGGTGATCGCCTGGTTGGTCCTGGTCGCCTGCTTTTGCGCCATACTGTATAGAGATCTCTGTCCTTGTTTTTCGCTTTTGCGATGCAGCCGTGGTGTTCGCTCTTGGCTATATGTGTACACTGCGTTGAAGTCCAGTGGTATAGCATAGTTCAACCCGGGGAAATCAAATCAAGCGCGTTGCTAGTGTGGTTGCCTTATTCGAGTTCCCCGTTATATCCAGTATATTGCCACCCGATTCGACAACGTTAGACGATGATGCACAAGGCGTCACTGCATAGATACTATTAATCTATTGGATCCCATTGACGCTTACAAGTCCTCGTACCAGAGCTATCCGCAAGCAACACAAAGTCATCGTCATCGATCAGGGAATCTTACACGCCCTTTCAACCATGTCGAGCTGGATGGGCTTCTGGGGATCACGGAAGAATAGTAGAGAAGCTACCAAAGATGCTATCGTCGGATTGCGTCAACAAGTGTTAATGTTGGAGAAGAGGGAAGAATTTCTGCAGAAGAAGATTGACGAGGAGCTGAAAAAGGCGAGAGCAAATGCGACGTCGAACAAGAGATGTGAGTGATGGGATTCATTCGGTGTCGAGGATCAACACGCACACGAGAAGCAGGCGTCAGCGTCTCGGTCATTTGGGGAATCGTCTTGCTGATGCCGTTGATCGTAGTGGCTACAGCGGCTTTAAGACAGAAGAAAGCGCACGAGAATGAGCTGGATAGGATCGCGGGGACGAGGCTACAGCTAGAAACACAGGTGTGTTCAAAAGCTCGATTGACCCTCCTATCTCCTCCCTTCCATCCAAGTGGTATCAATCACTCACGATCCTCGGTCCGTAGGCAAATGCGCTTGAGTCCGCGAACCTGAACGCAGAGACAATGGTAGCGATGAAGACCGGTGCAGATGCTCTGAAGGGCATACATTCGACACTGTTAGTTGAAGGCGATTCACAACGGCGGATTGTCCGACTGACGCATGACGCAGGAAAGTGGAAAAAGTGGATCAGACGATGGATGCAATCAGAGAGCAGATGGATCATGCGAACGAGATCTCAGAGGCTATATCGAATCCAGTGGGCATGGCGGGACAGTACGACGAAGTGAGTGCAAAACGTAGCGCGATTCGGGCATGCTTTTAGCTCACTATCACTTTCCACCAGGACGAGCTCAACGCGGAACTCGAAGCGCTGGAGCAGGAAGAATTGGACGACAGATTGGCGGGCGCAGAGAGAGCTCCGATCCATGCGCCTGTCTCTCCGACAGGCGTACACACCGGTCCAACGAGTGAGCTCGAAACTTCTTCCCAATTTGCAATCTGGAGCTGATTCCCTGATTTTTACAGGAGTAACCGCAACAGCAGAAGAGGACGACGAAGAAGCCCAATTACGTCAATTGCAGGCAGAGTTGGCCATGTGAGAGTTCGGGACCAGCTGGAAAGGCGTATCCTTGTCTGGCCCTCTTTGCATGATCCCCCTTTTGTTGTTCCTCTCCTCACATCATATGCTGCGGCACTAGCCTGCAGCATCAGACCTACTCTATCAAGAATGAGACCCTGTACAACAGTTTTTCCTTCTTTCTCGAGATTACCCGCATGCAATTGTATGATCGTCCCGTTCGTGATGCTCTGAACTCGAGTATGCTTGTCTGAACGACTGACTTTCGTAAAAGATCCTTACGTGTTTCGGTCTACACCATATTCCGGGTGGACGCCATTCAGCGAGCAGCGAGAAGTATACACTTCTGGCTAGATGAGCTTTGAGAGGAGCGGAGCAGTAGTCTGTCAATAGCAGAGAATCTACGATCTTATCAGATAACTTACGGTACGAAAGTCTTCATCTTTTCCCGAGTCACTTGAGAATGCCAAGACGCCTCGTCGAAGCGATAACGAGACATTGCATGTAGCGCCCCAGAATAAGACTCTGGATGGATCTTGAACAGCGAAGCAACTACAAAGGGCGAATGCGAAGCAGAATGATCCACCGTCCAAGTCCATCGAACAGTCCCACCAGTTGCATGCGCTCCCTTACGAATGTTAGACCACAATCATACTTCTCCTGCTATCTGTCTAGCGTCCGTGCTGAGTTCTGGCCGACCTGATGGGGAGTTAGAGTCAGTCATCGGGTTCTCTTCAAGACTTGTCATCTGACACCCACTCTTTGGCCGGCCAGAACTAATACTTCAGAATAATGTACAGGGCGTGGATGATTCCTGAGGTATAGTTAGCGTTCGTGCTCTCAGGATCGTACGAGTCGACTTGCCTGGAATGAATCCGAGAACTAGTTGCTGGCGTCAGTACGATCACCCAAGGCATACAAGCGGTGCTGATCTCACTGGTCAAGAGAATGTTGACTGGGGAAGAGGAATGTCAGCGCACTCGTCACTTCTCGTATGTCGCTTCGACTCACTGAGCAGGTCGGCACCACATCCTCGCTCAAGGAAGACTCCAAGAGGGGGGAAGATGACCGCAAAGATGATCTAAAGGTGAAAATGTCGGTTAGTCTACAAGAGATACGTGATGCGAGCTTGGACCTCTCTCACCTTGACGATATCGCCGCAAGCTGCACAAAGGGGGCGTCAGTATGGCGTTTCGCTGCAAGAGCAATGGGGATGAGTCCGTCGTAGCTGTACGCACTGAATGGCATTTTGACGAGAGGTATCTATACGACTGAGTATGAGCTGGTCGAGGTTGAGTGGCAATGTCTAAGGTATGTATCACAAAAAGAGTAGGAGGTCCACGAAGAATGTCTCCCATATGCTTGTTTTATAGTCTACAGGAACACGGAGACTTATCGACGTCATCATGTACAGCATGACGTGGTAAATAATGTCTTGGCATCTTGGATTGATAATGGGCCTGGAATCCGGGCGCCGAAAGGGGTCGCGAACACATATCTGGAGAGAGTGACTTGCAGAGAGAGAGCTTCTAAGGCAGCAGCAGCAGCTCTATCTTCCTCCCCTCCCCCATTGTCTTGATGAATGCTTCGACCAGGCGGAGATAGGGATACTTTGACTCCTTCATCAACGTCAAGGATCCGCTCATCATCCTTCATTTCGAGTAATGGAGATACAACATCGACCAGCTCAGCTTCAGGTGCGGCCGTGTCTGGAGGTGCTGGATCAACGATCAATGGCACCACTGGGAGTAACATTCCACCGCCAAACAACAGTCATG